TATTTATTAACATTCATTAATTGTATCAGCTAATTTTTTAAAAAGATGTAATACAAAAGGATTTTTTATGAAGTTTATCATCTCGACAAAAAAGCAAAAATGCCATTAAGAAAGAATCGGCTTGAAAACTTGTTGCAATAAAAAGTTTTATTTAAGAGGAAGTCCGCATAATGCGGATTATAAGGATTAGTTATATCGTCAGTGAATAGAAATTCTGCATGAATAGTTATCTGCATGAACGATAAATCGTAAATTTATTTAATTCACCATTTTATTTTCCTAAACTTTCTTGAAAATATAATTTCATCCACAACGTTTACTTGGTTAGAAGAAGACCTCAGGAAAATTAACTGAAACGCCAAAAAACCAAAATCAATCTGGGTGTTAAATCAGATGAGTGGATGAGTAATTGTATTGTTGTACTAATAATGTTGGCTAGTTTTTAACTCGCTAACTAAATATTATATTATGAAAAATTTTGAAATTATAATTCACGATAATATAATAAATTAATGAATTTAACAAGATTATGAGACCAACATTTAAGATTCTTACTAATCATCGAATTGCTTTCATACATCGACGAATGGACGACTGGAAATCGGTTGAAGTTCATAGAAATTAATGAAGTGGTAGGAAAACAAATAAGTTTAAACAAATTTAAAAGAAAAAAGTGAGCATCAAAAATGATTATTAAATAATAAAACTGATGATATTCAGTTATCTCAGAAACATTAAAAGAGTATCTCTGAATAGAACGCAAATGAGCACTATCAAACCGGTTTCAGTGAACCTGTCCAGTGCGCTTTCCTTACAATAATCTTAATAGTATGTCACAGTGCCAAAAATCTTTGAGAGAATGGGATGGTAATTTCCACTTTTCAGCATTATAAAATACCCAAAAACCAATTGTTCATCGTCAAACTGTTCTGATAACTGAAGTTCGACATTGCGTAATTTTGCGGCTTAGTGTGTGATAACCCGTGTGATAAGCGGACAGATTCTAAAAAAAAATTGCATGATATTTCGAATTTAATACAAAAAAATTTATATAAGACGTAAAACCACAATAAAAGTAAAAGAATGCCAATTAATCACCTTGACTAAGGTTAAAACTGAGTCGAAACTAAATGATCTAACAGCCACATGATGCATAGAAAATACAGTACAGTCAATACCATGGAGTTAAAATATTCTCATAAAAAATGGATATTTGTGCAAATATAATGGAATATTAGTAGGCAATATATTCAAATAAAAAATAAATACAAATTAAACAAAATTAAAGTAAACAAAAATTCATGAATTTTTTTGATTCATGATCAACAAAATGTGATCATCATAATATTCAGTATCATATCCAAGCTTAAAAGCAAATTCTGCCGAAATATAGAACAGAAGTGGATACATGATTTCTGTCACGGCCATCATAAGGATTCCAATTAGATAGCTCTGAAATCACCACTCACTCTAGCCCATTTATATTTATGGGATAATCAAGAAATCTTTCGATTAATAAGTTGCGCTGCATAAATTTTTCGTAAATGCATAGTTAAAAAGTCGACAGTATGAGTAGTTATGAGAAAAGCAAAAGATAAGAAGGTGTGCAAAAGATTCAGTTTTTATTGTTAAAATGTTTGCTCACCGAAGTGGCTTTGCCATAGGCAGTCAAATGATCTGGTTTAGTCATTCAAGTCGTTTTGAGCTACAGTGAAGTGAAATTATCGACTTTGTCATTGAAACACTGAATCAAAAAATGCCAGCAAATTAGTGTTTGCGCATAAGAAAATAGAAATAAAACTTAAACTGATTACATGTACAAGTGGAAACAATTCATTTTAAAAAATAAAATAACATAATTTGCAATGTTATTGTAAAAGTGCTGAATAAAATTTTTTCATTCTTTAAAAGTCCCCTCAAAATTAAAAATATTTATATCGATAAAATTGAATTTTTCATTTTTTTGCAAATTGTTTTTTCATTTTTATTCACCTAATATATCCAATTTCCTCGTTTTGATTGAGCAATATTTGAAAGAAAATTTATTTTTTTTCACTAAAGTTTAGTTAAGAAAATAAATTTAAATTTAAGCAACAATTTATGATAAGCTTTAATTTTTTTTTAATAAAAAAAACTTGAATTTCTCATTCAAAAGATGCATCAGCCATCAATTAACGGGATTAACTCATTTAGCATTTATTTTTTGGTCAGCCACGCTTTTTTTCTTAATAAAATGGTTAATGGAATGTTGTGCTTCTGAGAGTAAAGGATTAAAATGGCAATCTGAATCGATAAAAGAAATGTGAAAAATAGCAGGACCAGATTTGTTTGATTAGGTCACTTGATTAGTCTAGAATAATGATGAGTTCAAATTAAAGCAAGTCAATTTTTAGTAATAACAATTATAATAATTATCTCAAAAAAGGGCCGAGAAATATTGAAAAATTAAAGAAAAAGAGCCTAGTCTTGCGGCGACAAATATACCAGAAACATGAAATGAGGAGAAGGAAAAGGCACAAATCATGGTTAAGAATATTATTATAATGTAATAATATAGAAAATATAATAATAATAAAAGAATACTGTCTAAGCCGTAAATATTGATGTATGTATGTATGTTGTACGTTATTGAAACAGCTATGCCAGCATGGATGCAAAAGATCATCTAAATGCAAAGTACTAAAGATATATCTGGACAATAAATATCTTGTCGAACCAGTGACAAAAATGCGTTGTAATAAAAAGTCGATTTTTCCAAAAGGATTTTACTAAGAAACAATTAGAGATGAACGGAAATACAAAGTGGCGGTGGAAAAGTTTTTTATGGAATTAAAACCTCAACCTAAAAAATTGAATGGTTAAAAATCTTAAAATGAAATGTGAAATGCCTTGATGCCTTCAATAATGGTTTTAATTCTGTGAGCAGTTGATTTCATCGGTTCAAAATATTGCTGCTTAGAAGAGTACAAATTTGTGCATCTCCTATCCCATAGCATAGCAAATTTAGTCTTAATAATTGATAAACCAGCACTTTTTTAAACTATACCTGGTTGACCATTTTACTTGTAACAACGAATTGAGAAATTTCCTCATTTTGAAGTTATACGAAAAGTAGAATTACATAGATTAGTCGAGGTTAGACCATTCCTGCGCAGCATAAATTTATTGTAATCAATATCGATTCTTTTAAACTGATAAACAAACGTTATGTAAAAAAGAAAAATTTTTATTTGTTAAATATTTACCGCCTCCGATTAATTTTTCCACAGATAGGTATAATTTATTGACAAAAATTAAAACCATACAAAACCATTCAATCCTGGTCTTTGAACCTTAATCATTGTAGACTGGCGAAAAAATCGTATTTGAATAATTGGCAAAGTATTTGTTTCACAGTAATAATTATGCGCTGCATTCTATAATCATAATATCAATTATTCAGCTATGAAAATAAATTAAATCGAACGTGAAACGAAATATTTTAGGAAATTCCTTCATTTCGATTACACTATTATTGTCGTCGAATGTCGAATGCAACGTGCAAGGGACAAAATGCCTCTTTTATCTCCACTCAGTTAGATAATCACAATGCAGTTGAACAAGTGGAGATGGAGTTAGGAAGGAAACCTGATAAAAATATTCTACTAAATTCATTGACGACTTAGAGCTCGTGCGGCAAAATTTGGTCTCCATAACGAAGAACGGATGGTTTGAGAGAGGTTTTCGGGAAGAGCATAGAAAAGAGCCTTGATATGCACAATTTTATAATTTTTATAATTTTACGGAATTCAGGTAAAATATTGTTGAATTCTAACAAACTCATTACGGTACAATTAAATACAGCGGAAACTGTTAGGATTGTGTACCTATTGACCAAAGAGTAAACATTCTCACTACATTAAAGGCAATATTATGGCAAAAAATGCTACTATCAAAAAAGTTATTAATTACTCAGTAAAAATTTAAATACCTTATTTTGTACAAATATGAATAACATCAAATAGAAATATTTTTATAGAATTGTATCGAATTCTCATGAAAACATATCAAATTTTGCCAACAAAGGCTCTTTTTGAAATTAGAATTTTGCAATAAATATCGAATCTTTTAAATTCTTCATAATAAGAAGTATATTTTGGGTGCCTAGGAATAGAACAATTTGAATGAATAGTTTACATAATTAAAAGACGATGGTAATCTAATCTAAACTTGAGTATTCATTTTCTGAATAAAATGATAAAATTGAACTTAATGTATCAGATTCTTAGCCTAAAGCCTAAACTTTTTAACTCGCTGCCTTGATAGACTATAAAAATGGAAAATGGCTTCCGCATAATTCATACGCTTGAAGATGACGAAAATGTGAAGAAACTTACTACTATTTTAGCAAATTTATTCCATTATTCTCCATTTAATTTATGATTTATTTATTTATTGCAACCAACACGGAAATGTATGACTTTTGTTTTGAAAAATTTGGTTGAATATTATTAGGAAGAATTATAGAAGTTAATAATACCACAGATTATTGTACTGATGACAGTTTCAAACTATCATGCAAAATAAAGCGATTGTATGGCAGATACAATTGGAAAATCTCAAAAATCTCAAACAAGTCTTATTGTTTGCAATTGTTTGCAATAATTTTTTCAACACTAACGTACTTCGGTATTTTGCTTTTAGCATTTTAACTAATCTTAGAAGCCTTGTAGCGATCGTATTATTTATTATTTATTTAACAGCAAACAAAAAGGCATCAATGAAGTGAAGAAAATGGAATAAAATTCTTTGACACCTCCAGCAGGAAATAGGAGATCGTTGCTGAAATTGTTGAAATTCTTCAATTTAATGATTTTCAAATGTTTATTGTTTATTAGTTGGAACAGATGAAAGAAAACAAGCACAGAATTTTTACAACGTTTTTTACTGCCACTATCATTGAATCAAAATCAAATTTTAATGCAAAAATTTCAGCTCTCGGCTACTTGAACAATAGTTCATTACAAACGATAAAATACTCCTGATTTATATACAGTTGGTACTCCAATTTCAGGCACAACTTTGAGAGGAACAATTCTTTTGTAAAAGATAATTAAAAGAAATAATCCAATTAAAAGCATAATTATATGTGATATGGTGGACCATAAGTAACCAGATGATTCAAATAGTATTCTGAAAATGATTTCAATGGAATTTTCTATAATATAATAAGAGGGTCTGTCCATTTTCTTGAATTGCATTAATAGCCCATAACTTATATAATAATAAAATTAATTTTAAACTAACGTTAAAATAATTGGTGCAACACAGCGAGCAATGCATCCACCAAGTTCAAATAATCCTTGCATTATTCCCTACAAATATCCCCTCTAATCTTAATTAAAATGAGAATTTAACATTAAAATACTTTCAATATGTAAGCAATTAGAGGCACTCTTATTGTATGACTCTTTTTTCAATTTTTTCATAAAAAAAGATAAAAGTTATAAAAGTGTAACAATTATTTTGTTTTTTATTTATAAATATATTATTTATTAATTATATAAATATAAATTATAATAAATATAAATTATATTATTAGTTATAAATAAATTAGTTTTTCTTTTTCTTTTTACAAGAGAGATAGATAGAATGCTCGAAAATGTTTTGTTTTCAAGAACAACATATTCTCCATTACGCAAGCCTTTCGTGAAAAAAAGAGTACAATACGAAAAATGTTTACTAAACCCTCTGAATCTTTTTTAAAGTTAGCGTACCAAGCATTGCACTAAATTTTTCGAAAAGTCTCACTTGTTTCCGTGGACCCAATATTTGAGAAAAAATAGTTCCAACTGGCCCAGCTAAGTAAGGAAATGCGAAACCAAATATTATCGTAAAACACAATATGTAAGCAGTTAGAGGCACTTTAGTTGTATGACTACACCATTTGTATTTTCTGAAGCAACCACCATGCAGAGATGTATCTTCCATAGATGAACTGCTGTTTACATCTAAAAAAAGATAAAGATGAAGATAAAAGATGAAGATAAAATGTTTTCATCTCTTCCAAATGTAAATAACAATTATTAAAAAGCATAACCTATTTCTACGTAATCAAGTGGACCGTCATAAAATGGCCAAGGAAAAACAAATAAATGATATAGAAGAAAGCACAAAAAGCTGAATATCATCAATTTCCTTTTATCACTAAAATCAATTCATAAAATCAGTTTATAGCTATAATTTTAGCAAATTAGTAATTTTTTACTAATTACTTTTTATATTGTTTGAATAAATAAGTTTCGACTTATTCATTTTTGAAACCACAAAGATCAAATTTAATCTGAAAACTAATGTTTTGACAAAAATTTCACTAAAACAATTAGCATCAAAATTAGTTTTATAATTATCGTAATTAGTTTGCTAAAATTCGTCTTTCGTCCAACCCCATTCTTTAAAATGATTGGATCAGTTTCACTTTATTGGCTGATATAGAAATGAGATTAATTAAAAGACTAATCTTTTTAAAAGATTAAGACTAAAAAAAATAAAAAACTTACATTTGGCCAATAAATGTATAAGCAAGAACCAAATAATTCAAAACACTTAAAATGCAACTTATAAAGAGAAGTAATCCATTGTAAAACACAGCTTGCGTATCAGTCCACTTATAAAGACTAATTGTGAGAGGTGTTGCGATTCTAAAATAGCCTTTAGAGAAAAATCGCCCAAAAATTTGACTATTTATTATTAATTTAACTATCAAGTTTATTGCAAATTGCTGGAAAATTTAATGCCATTACTGCAATTACTTTCTGCCTTATTCATACGAAAAACTAACACTTCAACGTTTGTACTAATACATTGCACTGTAAACCATAAATACATACAAATTAATGCTGGTACCTTATCGAATTTGGGAATAACAATAAAAGCATCTGAAATTATTCCTCATCTCTGGTCTATTTAAACAAAATTTTCACTTTTTTGATCATCTGCCATCAATATTAATATTATAAAAGGCTTTTAAAAAAACTGTAAATCTTTAATTTACAGTATAAGGATAGAATAGCTCAGTGGATTGCTGCTCAATTGGGAGCGCCGATGCTGAGGTTCGATTTCCTGTAGGAGTAAACCTATACATAATTCTGGGTGATGCTGGCGACTCATCTCTATTTCTATCGCCAAGAGACTCCCTGGCATATTGCTCAATATGACAAGCCAGTGGAGCGAGTTGAACCAGTACTAGTGAGGACTGAGGACTCTTGAAAAAAAACTTTAATTTAAGTGCTAAAGTGAGTTTTAATTGAATACCAACTTCTTTTATCTACTGAAAGAATTCCAGCATAATTTTCTTCAAAAAATGCGAATAGCATGAATATAGCTGCATTCGATATTAATACCATTAATAAAGCTGGTGTTGTATACATATTCAAAACAATAACACCCAGTGAAAATCCTTTTTTGCCAATTGGAGTGAATAAAGCCTACAATGCATCATTAGAGATCGGATCTATTATAATCATTTGTAATATATTCTAGTGCCACCTGCAAAACTGGGCCCATAGAGAGACCACCAACAAATGCACCAATCGCCAAAGATACTGCTTTCGTTCGATCTTTTTCCGAAGTTGCTGTTGCACAATATGTTCTTAAAACAATTAGGTTGCCTGCAATTTAAAACTGACAATGGCTAATTTCTTACAAGGCTTCATTCTTTTATTTTTGAGTGCGCAGCTTAATTCGGTGACTCATATATTCGACTCATTTTATTAAAAGTGCAGTTTATTGAAGGAAATGATTTGTCATCTAAAATAATTTTCTTTGAATTAAACCCACATATTATCATATCATATTTGCAAACCTGATCCAAAGCCAACTGTAAAACGTGCAAGAAGCATAAACCACTGCCGATTGTCGCTAAAAATAGGGAGTAAGCCATAAATAAAATTGCCTACTGCCATAAAAACTAGTCCACATGAAACCGGGTAGCGAGTAGACATAGTTTTTTGGTTCCAATATCCGAAAGTCCAGCTTGACATCATTTGGCCAATGTTGAATGAAGCAATAATCCAACCGAAGAAAGAAAGATCTGCATGAGGATCGATCTAAATTTTGAGATTTAAGTCATTCTTTTTTTTTTTTTTAATAGCTCGCATTATTGGTTAGACTTGCTTCGCTGACTGCAAGAGTAAGACATTTCCAAATGCTATAGCTAATAGAAGCTACTCTTTTTTCCACTATCTAAGCCTATGCTTTGCTGGGCCGCCAATATGTCAATCTTTTCTGATTCTGATTAAAAATCTAAATCTCTTCTGATTTTATCAATTCAGATCTTGATTGGCCTTTACCTTCCGCGCTTTTCATATTCATCACACGATTTAGCAAATAGCGAGATGCAATACCTGCTATGAGCAGGTATAACGAAAAGATAAATGGACTAACCAGTATAAATGAGATTTCACTCGGCAGACATTTAAAAACAGGCACTTAAAAAAATATTTTTTAGATTTTAAAAGTCAAAGGTAGATCGCTTTTAAACATGTTTTCTCACTGGCTATATTTTGTAATTAACAAGATAACACACACTGCAGTCAGATAGATGAATTTTCATTTTGTTTCTGATTTTGTTTCGGTTTTGTATCACCAGACGAAAGAACACAAAAAACTTTGGTTTGAGTGGATCCAAGATATTTAAAGCCTATCTCTTGATAAATTGATAAAAATATATTTCATCAAAGTAAGGTATATAGCATGAAAAAGTTTCCTCTTATTAATACATTATCGATGCACTATCGACCATCTTTTGCATTCCCTCAACTATCAGCAAAATGATTATTCATATTCAGCGAAATAAATCCTGAACCGACTTTTATTTCTCTTGAATACCAAAAAGTGGTGCCCATAATCCAAAATATAATTGAATACTACAGGGAAAAGACACAGCTCTGATTATTTCGGTTCCCCACATATACATATATATCTATGCCGATCTACGCTGGTAAAATGCCCTTATGAATCGAATGACCTATGAGACGTATCGCATTCCATTACCCTTCAGAGAGCCGCTCGATCAAATAAACTGAAGGCAACGGCAAAATCAATGAAATAAATGACGGTGGTTTGCCAATATCTGAAAGGATGTTTTCATATTCTTCTTAGCGTTGAACATTGCAGACTCATCTTGATCTAAATCCAGCTTAATCAGAAGTGCAGCTTCGCTTGTATTGCAATAAGTTTATTGTAAGTTTAAGTAAAAAAACATTTTCCCAGAGATATCCAGTATGCTAATTCGCTACCACAGATGTCCTATTATCCTTTTTGAATATTAGTAGGACTACTCAACAGTGTATTGACAACTGAAGCACTAGGTTTGCTTTGGTCCGCCATCTGGTATTAGCTCTTTTTTCTGTACCAAATTTTAAGCTCCGAAGATCGTATGCATAAGTTTTATTCGCTTCTGAGCAGTGAAGATTGTCTTTTGTATTGGCCAGCAGTTTTAGATATATTATGACTCGAGCATTCACCTATGTTTGGGATGACAAATGGTGCATCTTGTTTTTAAACCTTAGTTTTAATCTTAAAGAATTCTCTCGGCGTTTATATACAGACGAGATATTTGCTCGTCTCCATTAATGGCTCTAAAGCAGTTATCCTAGCTCGACAGCTCATTCTATCCACAAACTTAAGAATTATTTCACCAGGTTATGTTTGCATAGTTATGGTATGTACTACCACGCTGGGAATATCACGCAGATCACGTAAGCCGTATTCACAGCAGAATCACTTGGAAGTATAAGTATAGTTGGATCCTCACCCATTCGGACCTGTTTTCTAATAGGTTTAATACTTGTTTAATACCGTTAAAAAAAGAGATAAGCGAAATTTTCAATCACAAAGAAATGAAATTTAAAGAATAGAAGGTGTTTTATTTCTTTATAGCCATTATTAGTAAAGGAAAAAGATAAAATAAATATATAAATAAATAAAATAAATAAATGATAAAGATGCAGAAATAACTCCTTATTAAATGGCAAGGTTAGTTTAGAAATTAAAAATTCAGAAATAAGTAAAGGCAATTTTTTTGAAACGACCGCATAAATTTTAAAAAATCGAGTTAACAATATAAAATTAAGTGGTTCGAAGCTTACTGAATTTAGATAAGGCCACATTGAAGTATAGAAAATAGAAACTTGTATGCCTGTTAGACTCTGGACCATGTAACTAATCCAAATTGATTTCCATTGTGTTTTACGGTGATTGAGCAGTTCATTAACTTTCATGCTAAAATAATTGCAAATCCATTTAAATTTTCTAAATTCATAAAAAATATGTTCGAGGAGATATGTTCAACTACAAGAAAACGCGTGAAACAAAAGCTTCGAAGCTTATTGTATTAAAAATATTTTTAAGCAGATATTTTAACTGAAAAGATTCTTATCACTGGTTAGTATCCATTAATTCAACGTTTTAATTTTCTCTTCAGTAATTAGAATTACATTCGATCGTACCGCGATTTTAAAATTGATTGAAAGTCGGATTTGAAATAAGTTTAAAAAATGAAGAAAAATTACTATTAAAGTTAGTCGAATTGGAAAATATCTTATAATAAAAAAAATTATGATTTAGCAGCAAATCGTAATTATAATCCATATTAACGCAATTGTCATTTGACGTGCTACATGTTGAAAATAAAATTGCGGAATTTTATCCGATTACAGAAATTAGAATTCATTCGCCCAATCGAAATGCAAATTTATTTTACATTATCGGGAATTCGCTTTTTAGCTGAAAGATCGACCAATAATTAAACTTAAATCCGTTTGAGCATTTCGCTTTGAAAAATCCAAATTTCCGAACTAAATTTAACTTAGAAATTTATAAGGCCACTTCACAGTAAAACAAACCCTTAAATATTCATAGTTCAAATTGCTACTGGTTTTTTTTTTCGTTTTTGATAATGGAACAAACCTATAGGGCAATAATTTCGCATTCTAACTGCCCTAATATGAGAAAGAAATCGAAGTTATTCACCAATATAAAATTATTAAATTTTGATGAGCAATAAGCTGCAATAGAGAATTCAAAATATTCCTTATTGTAGAACAAACAAGATAGCCGAGTACTTGTCGCTCAAATTATATTTTCGAGGGTCGCGGTTCTATTTTGACAGTAGTAAATATACTGAATCGAAATCGAAGTGGAGTTGGTGATCGACTTCTATCGCCAAGTGGCTTCATGACAGAAATTTCTCATCATATTAAAAGCAAAATGGTGAGTACAAACCACTCACTAACTTCGCTATTAACCGAATGTTGCTGGCGATTCATCTATGCTTCTGTACTATACTATACTTTTGTCATTCATCTAGCAAAATTGTTTTATCCATCGAGTCAGCCTAATCAGAGATGCTCTTTAAAAAGAGATTGCAATTTATTATTCTTATATTGAAAACTCTCATCTTATTTTGAATCCCTTTCTTCCTACTTGTGTTCTTTTTATTTTCTCAGCAATTTAGTAGAATAAGACGATTACAAGCCTACGGATCCATGAATCGAGATCATACATTTCTTCTCTTTCTCTCCTGATCATATCGTTTCTAACATCTTGGCTTTAATGGTCTGCAAGATTTGGCTGAACCAACATATGCATCAATTCCTGAGAATTGATTCGATCAGTGCACACCACTTCGGTAATGAAACACCAGTGCAAGTGGCATTAGAGTGAGTGAGCGAATCATGCGTTTTATTCGCATCTGCGCATAATCTGAAGAGGATCTCAGGACCAGGAATTTGTGCGTTATTTTATGAATATTGCAGATAATTTATAGAATATCTTCATTCAAATATTTTTCGAAAATTTGGCCAGTGCATGTCGTTATTTTAAGTTCAATGTTATAGATCTATTTCACAGTGCTATTCATTTGGTAAGGTTGATTTTAGCCTTCGATTTTTGATAGGGAATCTTTTATTTCTTTCTTAACCACCTTCGCTTTTGAATGACTTATCTTTATTTAAGATTTAAGAAGTTGTAGAGAAGCACGTAGCACGGATAGGCGGAATTATCTTTCATGGCCTACTTTGCGCAAAACCCGTTCCATTTTCCTAGCACTCATTCAAATCCTAACGTACTACTTTTACAATTGCAAATTCTCCATCAGCGCTGTGTCAAATTCATTGTCGCAGTCGATTCTAATTTTTGCAATTTTATAATTTAAAGCTGCTTCGCGAGTTTTGAAAGTGTTGGTGGGTTCATTCGATTTCGTTTAAAATAATAATGTATCGGTAATTCTTTTGGACTTTGCGTTATATTAAAATTTTATTTTTAAAATTTTTGTTAAATTTTGATTTATTAAATTATTATTATGAATAAAAAATTATAGGAAGTAAATATGAGCAATTCAAAGACAAAGTCCACCAACTTTCAGTTTAGCGCAGCAAGAGTGCTGCAAAAAACTTCGGCAAATTTCGACGCTGTGAACACAAAATACGCGAAATGCAATAACTTATAGCGCTTAAAACTTAAGCGATTCAGTCATCTCGAAAATTCCTAAAATTTATGGAAATGGAAGAATAATTTAGTTGCACAAAATAATAGTTCCAACTATTCGCGGCCAAATGGTAATTCGCATTCAGTTCCATTGCTTCAGTTTTCCAGCATTTTGCAAGCAAAAATGTGTAAATATTTTCGAATCGAACGAAAATTTTTTAAAACACTTAAATTTGGTTTAATTGTGAATTGCGATTTTATTATTTTCTTAAGAAGAATTCAGCTAAAATTGAATTAAAAGCAATAAGAGAATTAAGAATATTACATTTGCATTATATTTTATGCAGGAATTTAGACCGTTGCTGAAAAAAACTGTTTGTGGTTCTAATACACTAATTCAAGTTGGTTGAAGCCTTAAAAAACCCAAGTAATAGCAGCATAATCGAAGAAGAAATCTACGGTTCAATGTGGAAGTTTAATGAATGGAGCAAGAGGATTCATGGATTTATAGTGTAATAATTAATGGCGCAGGTACATTTAGTGACTCGTGCTAACCGATATGAAAAAAAATTTATCATAAGTACGACAATTCTAATTTCAATTCTGATTTTAATACGCTTAGAAGTTTTCCGATTTTCACTATTTTATTCGAAATTTTTAAATTGCGAACTCCATTTTGAGCGTTCAACCAAATTTTTTTTTAAAAGCTCTTTTGTGGGAATTTGCAATCCAAAAAGAAATTGTTTATAAGCAAAACAACGATAAAATGAAGGTGACAAAGATGAATTTACAGAATCTACCAAAGCCAAAATGTTATATCATTATGGTTTATAGGTAAGGATAACGTTAAAATACAAATGAATACAAATTCAGTGAAGCCAATTCCTCAGTAAGAAAAGCAAAAGACAATTTTCTCCCTAAAAACTCCTCTAAGAACTTTTCCCTTCAAAAAATTACAAATAGAGAAATAAACGCTAAGAATAACAGTAAAATTGTGCTAATAATTTATTTTCCAAAGGGTTGAACATAATTTCATTACAGCATAAAATTTACCGAATTGTCATCCCTAACTAATATAATTCTTCAATCAGTTTAATATTTTCAGTTTTTTATATTTCTTAAATAATGAATTTGCACAATTAATTTAAGGAAACGGGAAAAAATTCGATATTTTCATCTCAAAAAGATGTAAATAAAACAAAGCAAAACATAAAAAAACTAGAAAATCCATATGTGCAATTTCATAATTCGCAAATTTGACCAATTCAGTCCGGAAACTCACAACTTTGGTCCATAATATTTTCACTTTCTTTTTTTATGATCCTATAAAGTTTCCTTTTTCGATATATATTTCTATGAAATTCTAATAAAATAATATTTTACTCCATAGATTTTCCAATATGCTTAATAGTATAAATAACTAAGAAATTGATATTGAAGGATCCATGACGTTTACATCATTCATGTGAAAAAATTACTGTAAATCGTGAAAATACACAAGAATGTCAAAAAGAAAGGCAAGATTGAATGAATAATGCGACAGATACCTGAGCAGATAATTTCTACATATTATAAGCGATAGAATACTCCAAATTTATATGGTGTTGGCACTCCAATGTCAGGTATCACTTTTAACGGGACGATTCTATTGTAAAAGCTGAGTAATAGAAGTAATCCTGTTAGTACCATAATTATATGCAACAAAGTGGGCCACAAATAGCCAGACGATTCGAATAATGCCCTAGAAATCCCGATCAAATAGTTTGAAATGAATTCAAGCGAGTGTTTGCGAGCAGTTATTTGATGAAGAGTTGAATCAATGGGCAATAATACTTACGTTAAAAAAATCGGCGCAGTAGAACAAGCAAAACAACCAGCGAAGGCAAAAACTCCTTGCATCATTCCCTTTAATTATTCATTTTATTTGTTCGAGTGATAAAATTATTGCAATTTGAATGAATAAATATGGAAAAATTTTTAGATTGATGAAATTTTGCAAAAAAATTTTAAAATTCTTATATTGAGCATAATTGTTGATTTATTGAATTAATGATATTCACCTGTTTCCTTGGACCTAATATCTCGGAAAATATAGTTCCCAAGGTAGCGGAAAGATATGGGGAAGCGAAGCCAAAAACTATTACGAAACAAAACAGATAAATCATTAAAGGCACTCTTGTTGTATGACTGCACCAATCGTATTTTCGGTAACAACCACCATTTATGGAAGTATCCTCCACAAAAGCGCTACTGGCATCTTTAAAAATTAATTATAGATTTCCAAAAAAAAGAAAAATACGAGATATTAATCCATTTAGTTGTAAATATATTGCTTATGGTAAACCAAAGCGTCTGCTATTGGCTCGTATGTACCTTTTTCTCCCCAACTAATCGCCTGGCAAAATTGTTTTCCTGTTGTACTAATAGTGAGTGGAGTCAAACCATTCAGAAATGTATTAATTACTTTTACATATTCATCTGTATTATTCATTTTTCATTTTTAACTATATAAATATTCACTTGTTTTGATATACTGGAGCGGACCTTCATAAAATGGCCATGGAAAAACAAGCAAATGGTACAAGAGAAGCAATAACAAGCTGAATACCAACAATTTCCTTTTGTCACTGGAATTCATCTAACATACTTTAGTCTACTAATTCAATTTTTTTGAACAATTAATAGAATAAATAGAATTAATTGCCTAGGCTTTATTTTTCGCTCCTTCAATTTTAAATCATCTAACTAATCAAATTTCATATATCTTGTAAATATTGTTTTTTTGCTTATGGATCATGAGTTGCATTTCCTTTTTCACAATTATCTACACAATTTACAATTCACGAAATCATTTTATGGTTTATCAGTCTTTAATTTTCTCATTTAAATTTCTCATCCAATTTTTCTTTTAAATTCTTGAAGTAAATTAATATTAATCTTTCCATTTAAACCAAGTGGTATAGCGGTATTTTGCTTCGTCTAGGCAAACACCATGTGTTGCATAAATAGCAAGGTGCTTATCGAGAATTCCCCCAGGCCTCCACCATAGTAATATTCAGCCAGCCAGACCAGTAAAAGTGATTGCTGTTAGTTAATTCCTCAGTAGCTGTTTGATTTGCATAGAGCGGATTTTAAACAGAACCTTAGACCTTTTGCTAGATGCGTTAGTCCATTAAAACTTTGTTTTTTTTTTGTCTATTTCTATCAGACTCGCTCCACTGAAATGGCTAAATCGTTCATTTACTTACAATAAACTACTGGAATAAATTCCAATCATTTAATCATTTCTCTGTGCTTCCTCTGTTATTGCCTTGCGAGAGAAAATTGATAAGAATATTTTTGAATTTACCTTTTATTCGCCCGAGATCCCAAAACAAAAATATCATTTATATTTTCTTGACTTGATTACCTTATGTTTTAGTGTTCACTTTCTAATTCTCATATATCTTTAAACAAATGTTTTAAATGATCTTAAATTTCCATAAACAATTAAATTTCTGTTTAATTCTGTTTAATTCTATTCTGATTAAATTTCTGTTAAGCGATTCGTTTCTAAATAAACAGCTAATTGGAATGAAAATTTTACTGCAAAGATGAGTCGAGTTAATAATCAGGGAAAAACTTACATTCGACCGATAGACGAATAAGCAACTATCAAATAATTTAAAATACTGAACGCACTGCCAATAAAAAGGAGTATTCCATTATAAAATACGGCTTCTTCATCGGTCCATCTGTATAAACTCGTTGTAAAAGGTGTTGCGATACTAGAAAAACGGGCATTGCTTACGGGCACCTTTTAAAACGATGTGTAAAAACGATGATATTTTTTATATGGACGAACAATTATGGAAAATATACTGGAAAAAGCGCAAATTCTAAAGTTGAGCCTCTAATATTATATTGAAATTATACATAAATTATATTAATTATATTAATTAAAATTAAAAAACTAACAATATAATATTTGTACTTATACTTTGTAGTGTAAACCATAAATATAAACAAATTCCAACTGCCACTTTATCGAACTTCGGAATGACATTGGAACTATCTGAACTTATCATTCATGATCTATGAAAGATAATAAGAAAATGATTTCAAAAACTATAACCTTCTGACCTATCTGATAAATTTCAAATTTATTTAAAAGATTTAGAAATGTGGCTTATAAGCGTGAATCACAATATAAAGTTATATCTAATTGCAAGTTATACCAAAATAATTTATAAACCTCTTTTGTCAGGTTTAGAGATAATTCCTGCATAGTCTTCAACGAAAACAGTAAAAAGCATTAAAATACATGCAAATGCGACGAAAACCATCAAAAGCGCTGGAGCCGTATACATATTCAAAACAAATACACCGAATGCAAACCCTTTCTTGCCAATAGGAGTGAATATTGTCTTAAAAGAAACCAAAAGAAAAAGTCCAAACTTTTAAATCAAAAAATTAGAACTTTCAAAAATTTTTTAATAAACTGATATAGATTAATTCGTAAATATAAACAAATAATTAGGATGATCAAGAGCTATGGTTACATCGATTTGAGCAAAGCTTCTTTTTTAAAGATTCATTGACCTTGTCAAACCTGTCATCATAGTTTCACTTCTATCTCTAAGAGACTCTTTGGCAAAAATTTCTAACTGCACTAACAGAAAAGTTATCTAGAGATGATAATTATGTTCTAACCATTTACTTTACAAGCACACCTGCAAAAAAGGTCCAAATGATAAGCCCCCAATAAAGGTACCGACAGCTAATGACATCGCTCTTGTTCGATCTCTTTGCAAACTTGCCATTGCACAATATGCTCTTAGCACAACCAGATTTCCTGCAGTTATAAATTTATTAAAAAAAAAAAAAGCAAACGGATGTAAAACTATTAAAAGATAATCAAGACCTGATCCAATTCCAGCTACAAACCGCGCCAAAAGCATAAACCATGAATGATTTTCAGTGAATGCGGGAAGTGTGAAATAAATTAAATTTCCTGCAGCCATAAAAGCCAGGCCACATGAAACTGGGTAACGGATTGACATGGTCTTCTGATTCCAAAATCCGAAAAACCAAATTGAAGTAGTTCGACCGAAACTAAATGAAGCGAGGATCCATCCAAAAATAGAAAATTCGACATCAGGTTCCACCTGAAACTCAGCATTTTTTAAAATCTGTGGAAAGTGGTTAGTTCTCACTATTTCTGATTAGAATCACTCCAAAGGCTATCAAAGAAATTCACTTTTTTTCGCTATTTTAGAAATGTGGCTTATAAGCGTGAATCATACGATAAAGCTATATCGAATTGTTATATCTAATTGCAAGTTATACCAAAATAATTTATAAAGCTCTTTTGTCAGGTTTAGTGATTCGATATTCCCATCCATCCATCCTCTTTTCTCTTCTTTTTCCCTAACGTGTTAAAAGTAAGCCACATGACCCCACTGACGCGGACCACGAATCTATCTGAATTAATCTTTATAGGTCAGTGATGGAATGGCTCAGTGGATTGTTGTTCAATTCGGAGCGCCCATGCTGAAGTTCGATTCTCCGCAGTAGTAAACCTATATAAAAATTCAGGTGACGCTGGCGACTCACCTGTGTCGCCAAGGGATTCCTTGGCCAGTGCGGCAAGCCAGCGGAGCGAATTTAATCAATAATGGTGAGGATTCTCCTAAAAAAAAACCTTAATAGGTCAGAAAAGCCATTCTTCTACGCAATTTTATTCATGTAAATCGGCTATCGGTTTACTTATTCCTTACAAATATAAATATATAGTGGGTACTATAGCTTTACTCGCGACTTTAGCCCTTTAGTCTCTTTTGTCTTTCAATAGTCAGCATTTGATATTAAACCAACTTAATATTTTTCCGTATTATTGCTGTTGTTATTTTATATTATATTACATCATTATATCGAATATAATATTCTGTATTGAGATTAAATCTTTGAAGCGAGCAGTATAGAAGTTAGTTCCGTTAGTTCCACTTCCAAAATTTGTTCTATTGTCGAAAGGTTAAAATAGTCCTTTAAAATATCTTTTATTTTCACAGGCTATTGCGTCGGCCTGGAATCGAACCGAGGCAGCTCGCAAGCGAGAGGACCATTGAACCACAACTGTGGATATCGGTTATCATTAATTATAATTAACGAGTGGATTAAGATACGAGTTACAAACTGCTTGTTTTAATTGATATAAATGAAAGGGGTTTTACGACAAAAATATGCAGCAAATCAAAAATAAAGCCGTGTATTATTTTAAAAAAACAATATCGAAATCAAAAGTTACTAATCCAGAAAAGAGAGAAAATCCCATTAGACATCTTGTCATATTCAAGCGCGAGCATGGTAACTGATTAAAAGCTTTTCGAAAAAAATTGATCTTTTCGCGCCCAAGTCACTTTATCATTTAATGCGCACAAATTGTTACACGAAATACTCTTTTCTCTTGCTGCACAAAACCCTTTCCAAGGGTTCTTCCAGGGGTTTCAATATTTTGTGTACAAGCACCTCGTTCCTTTCAAATCGAATTTATGCCTACTTAAAGCTCTACTCTTAATCACTCGATTTTTCAAGATCAGTAATAACAATAACCCACTTAGACTTCCCTCCCTTACATCGATTTCAATTTCAATTTCTTGTCTTGCAATTCCACTTCTAACGCCTCAAGATAATTTTTCAGTAATATTAAGATAAAAATGATCAATCGCTCATCATCGCCCATGGCTGTTCACGATATGGAATTCGCTTTGCATTTTCCTGTGTTTGACGTAGCTCATCTATTTATGTAAATTTTAAGTCGAATCTCCTTCGCACTGATGAATAGACGATCTCGTAACTTTCACTATTAATAAGATATAGTTGGAACACGCGTGAGACATAATAAAAGGTAGTTTTCTACCAGAAATGAATTTTACGATCCAACAATAGCAACGAATAATCTCAAAAGTTCATTGTCGCATTTCCATGAAACGATTGCAGCCGTAATCGAAGGTGTTTTAAATTCGATTGATCTTATGTTCCATTTTGCTATATGATTTATGAAATCTACACAAATGAAATCTTGAATTACATCGTCTAATTTTGTTAAAAACCCATCTTTTTACCATTGTGGGCAGCATCCATCATTGCTCAGTAATTCTTTTTCGTCATCTGACTTCGAAGTCAGCAGTATTCTTTTTTTTTTTAGAAGAAGTGCGTCAGTGATTTTGTTGATCAACTGATCTATCCACCTTTTTCGTTGAAAATTTATCGAGATGAGACTAATCGAGACTTGTGATTGGTGAGGATATTTCTTTCTTATATGAAGTAAGATATTGGATCAGTTCCCTCAGGTAGATTGCCGATGGAATATTTCCAAATTAGAGACGTTCTAGCAGTGGGAGATTGACGCATCGACAAATATATTAACCATATTCAAAATTTATTAATGGTGGTGAAGATGATGAATTATTGAATACGGTAGTTCAGTGGATTCATCGCTTTGGCCGACGCACGGATTTATAGAAAAAGATTTTAAAAAACATATTTTACATATCAATCCTTTAATAATTGAAATTGGAACTTATTCCATGCTGTAGGCCTGGGAGATCTAATCGTAGATTTATTCGATATGTAATGATATTATCGACTAATATAATAATATAAGAAAATGTTGGGTAATGGGGTTTATTTGATAAAAAGATAGAAATATTATAGTTCGATGCAAGATGTTGACTATTGAAAAATAAGGAAGGCTAACTGCCACAATCGTGAGTTTAAGCTACCCATAGGGGTTCAAAATCAACAGCTTAAGGGTCACTTATAAGGGACTTTTTGCAATATTGCACAAGAAAATGATTTATCTGATCAAGACAGATTACTTAATCTTTTATAGATAGATTCGAGGCGAAAACGACGACAATAACAAGCTATATTTTCATAATGCATCTGTGAACAAGTTATTTCTTTAATACCTCATGGAAATCTTCTGCATTCGCTTGTTTATGCAAACAAAATTACTACATTACACTAAAGGGTAGAATGGCTCAGTGAATTGTTGCTCAATTGGAAGCGTAGATGCTGAAGTTCTATTCCCTGCAGTGGTAAATATGTCCAAAAAATCCGGGTGATGCTGGGGACTCACCTGTATTTCGATCGCTAAGAGACATTTGTCCAATGCGACAAACCAGCGGAGCGTTTTCACCACCAGTGGTGAGGACTCTTTTGAAAAAAACTACATCATATTCTAGAAAAATTCTAGAAATCCTAATAAAATTCTAGAAAAATTCCCTATAACATCGAAATTCATTTTAATCTTCCGTGACCTAAAATCTCGACATTCCTTATTTTGATTTCTTTGTCAAAACCACAAATTTCTATAAACATAATATCATTTTATATCATTTTAATTCATGATTTATTTTCTAATAATTTTTCGTCAAAATTGGAACTTACTGAAATTAAATATGGCCACATTGAAGTAAAAAAAATAGATATTTGTATTCCTATTAAGCCTTGCACTACAAAAGTTATCCAAATTGATTTCCAATGAGTTCTATGAGTGCTCAACGATTCGACGGTTTCTATCCTCAAAAAATTTAAAACATGGGAAATGAATTCTTCTCATAATTGTGGAAAAAGAATTAAGCCTCACAATGTAACTGGAAAGATGCATGTGAAAATATATTTGGGGTTGGTGAAAATAATAAAAATTGGTTAAATTAATCTTGGATGACCATGTTGGCAGATCAATTTCTTCACACTTTTAAGCAAATTAAGTGAATAAAAAAATGTTTATTAATGAAGAATTTTATAAAAATTTTTACTTTTTTGATTCAATCGCCATTTTCTCAGTCAAATAACAATTAATATGCTTAAAGACAATAAAAGCGCGGAGAGAGCCGAATTCGCTGACACTTTTTCTATAAAATTATAAAATTTATATAATTCGTGATAATCACAACTTAAAAATTAAGTTCAGGAGTTGACTAATCGTAGATAATTGAAAAGAAACGCTTGTGTTAATGACCTGAATATTAGTGACTTCTCAATCTTATAGTATTTCTTATAGGTCATATGTTAATTTTCTATTATCTTCCTTCCTTATTATTTTGTTCCTCTGCATTCACAGCAAATCCACTGCTATCATAGATTAGTCTTTATGTATCTTTATGTAAATCTTTATCTTTATATTTATGTTATAGTGTAGCATACTGATTATCACTTAGAAAGAAAAGATGCAATTGTCACCATGCAATCCTTTGTAGTTTTGTGACCTGAGCATAGTGCTGCAAAATTTTCGCGGCGTATTAGAAGAAGATGATAAGTGGAGGATGGTTACAACTGAGTGTAGAAGGATTAAAGAGATAGAAAGGAATTTAAAATGCATTAAGAGAAAAGGAGCGAGGCTTTGGGGGTGTTAAACGGCAAATCAGAAGTGTATGAGATTCAAAGGGTATTAAAAATGTAATGGCTCCTTCAGTGAGGATATTCAAGAGGGGAATGATCGAGTTTAAACATCCGATTATATCATTTAATAAAAATCGGGACGAATTTTGACAAAATTCAGAAGGAAGAGGTCGAGTAGATGGAGTTTTTCTTGACAAACTAATATAGCATTAAATTATACGTATTACATAGATACTGTTATATTTCTGTCTATTGTCCGCTGTACTGTCCGCTAAAAATTTTTAAACGACCTCATTCATTTTTCATTAAGATTGAAAACTATTTGCTCCAAAGCCTCACATGAGATTGCAGAGATTTTGTAAATCTCATTTACGACATAATCGACTAAATCGCTGCGAAAATAGAGATTTCGAGTTTTCTTGTACCGAGCCAATTGATATGACATCTTCATGAATCTTATTCGGCAATTCGTATCTTCATTTCATTTCATGAAAAATCTTATTAGACAATTCATTTCTAAGAAATAAAAAAATATAGCAGGGATTTCTAATTTTGTGAGACCTGTTAAGTAAAAAGGCTCTTATAATAAACTCAATCCCATACGATTCCTCCATGTAAAACTATTTGTATAAATTAGTGAAATGTATATATAGTGCATAGGGAGGATAAGATTTTTCAGTTCAGCGAATAAAGCCTTACTTGGGAAAAAATAAATTTTAAAAAGCAGATCAAGGAAGGGAATTGCTTTGAAATCGAACTTGGCTGATATCTCTTTTATTTCTTTAGCATACTTTGCATGATTTCCTGATTTTAGATTTTAGAATCGCCATAATTTTATTTTTTTCTCTGAGCGTTTTCTCTGAGCATAGAGTCGAGTCTTTGAAACCTTGCAACTTTGCAACTCCGTGCAATTCCACTAGGTTTATCCTTATATTTGATCTTTAAAAATATATTAAATACTGATATTGATTACATTGATCTGAAAAATGAAAGGCTTTCGTACATTTTCCAGAAAAAAGATATAGTCGATCTAACCATGGGGCGACTAGAATTAGAAATAGCTGTATTAGCAGTAGATTATGAAGACTCATATGCAATGAAATATGTGCCTATCTTGTATCCAATAAAATAACACCTGAATTTTAATATTTATTTATTTATTGAAAATAAGCCAAGCAGGGTCCAAATGCCATATGCTTGTATTAATAACAACAGATTAAAATAAAATAACAAATAATTAAATTATTAAATTAAAATAACAATAAAATAACAAATAAGAATTAATGACAAAAACAAAAAAAAATAATAAAATAAAATAAAGTTAACAATTTAAAGAAGAAAGAAAGAGGAAATTACAAAATAATATAATATAGTATAATTCGAAATAACTATAATCGGATGGTAAAAATAGAAATTTCACACTTACTGCATAATATGAATTTTTTAAATAATATCATAAATGATATTATTCTTTTTTTAAAGATAGCTAGGGATGGCGCATAAGCTATGTATTTTATTCCAGGAATTAATATTACGAATAAAGAAATCATCGAAGAAAGAAATCATGAGTCCTTAGTTTAGTTTTTCACATATGGTTTTCTGAAGAAAAAATCGCCTATTTTTAGACGAGACTGAAATGATTCTATGAGGAAAGGATGAAAAGATTTTTTATATGGTTTCCATCTTGCGACTCATATTCTTATCCTAATAATATATGAGATAAATATGCGAACAGGGTTTGGAAATGAGAAGAACAAAAACAATTGTGTAAAAATGTAACATTAAAAATCTGTTGAAACCGAATAATTCTTCTTGGCTCTGTGGCACACACCGCAAAGTCGTTGCGAATAACGTCAGAATCCTCAGGGAAATATAAAGATCAGACAATAGCAGTCCACATCCAATCCAAGTATCACATGGATAAAGTGTGGAGAACGCCTGTTGAAAATCGTCACTCTGGACTCTCAAGCAATTTTTTCATCCGATTCGTAGCAAAGATGATGTATGATAAATAATCGGGGCATTTCAAATAATTTATTTAAATTTGACTGCATGGAGATTTGCTCTTTTAATAGCTTCTTTTAACAGTTTCTTCTATTTCTAAGCTCATTATTTCTGGTTTAGCTGGATACACTGTTGGCTATTAGGACAAAGCTTCTTGGCCGAATTTTTGGATCAATAGAATTACTCGATTTACTTGATTTACTCGAATTATTAAATGTTTACATGAATCAAAGATATTTCGAGTCTTCCAAAAAAAAAAACATCAACGTGCTTCATTAGAGAAGCAACTAAATTACTAATGAATAGCCGATCGATCGTTGAAGAAAAAAATTTAATAAGCCAGCCGCAATCTTTCAATTCGTCATAAATAAAATTCTTAAGAAGTGAGAGATTACTATGAGAGTCGGCGACGGGATGGGGCTCGTCACCATTCATAAATTTCTATCGCTTGGAACATTCACCGTATAAGATAAAATCCTACAAATTCACTTCTATGACAAATTTTCAAAATTTCAAATACGTTCATTCAGTATAATTTAATTAATATTGAAGAAAGCTTGAAATACCTGAAATATTCGTTTTATTTCCTCAAAAAATTTTTATAAATATAAAAAAATTTAAATATCAAAAATCGAACAATAAATTAATAATTAATTGCATGAAAAATCGCAGAAAAATTTTCGTTTTAAAGTTAAATTTAAATTTGTTTAGGTTTAAGAAAAAAACTGAAAGAAACTTTCACACACTTCTATTCAGATTGAACATTCAACTCATAAAATTCTCCTTTTCTTTCTAAGACGGAAATAAAGCATATTTAAGACTTTTCTAAATTAAAGTAGCGCAATAAATACGCAAACGAGCGGAATTGTCTTTAAATTCTGAATTGCGCACCTCGAATATCGCAAAATCGTTGAATTCCAAGAAAACATTCCCCGCTGCTAGTAATTTTTTTCTTTTTCTTCATAATTTTTCTTTTGTACCATTCAATTTCTCATTCGATTTCATGCAATTTTATAATTTTTTCGTGAACGAGACAATTACTAAAGATAGCTCAACGAAATCTGATGGAATAGAAAAATAAGGCGGCGCATTGAAAGAGGTATTGGCTGGTGATTGGCAGGCCGCGAGGTTGGTTTTCGAGAAGTGAGCTGTCTTCTTTGATAGACTTTGGAGGAAACGCGTACAAGTGGACATATTTATCGGACACTAACCCGGCAAACTATTCTATCCATTCGAAGAACACATCTTTAAAAGTGGAATTCGTGAGGCGACCGCTGGTCGGCGAGTCCGACTTCCACCAACGCTGTGCATTAGAAATGGCGTTTCCTTTGCAAAGCCCTATTTCTATACGTTGCTTAGTCCGCTTTAAACAGGCATCTCGCAGCTTAATCTTTCACCACTTTTAAAATGCACCGTACAGTGCGGCTTTCAGCATATCCTGGGGCATTTAAGGCTGACCTATAGTAATCCAGTGATAATAATAACTGCGAATAACGGATATTGATAATTACAATAAAAACTCTTAAGCCTAGACCACTGTCAATATTTCCCCTTCTATAACCGTCCCATTACATCAACCATTTTACCATTTTACCACTAAACAACACACACTCGTCTTCCATCATCGACTTCAAATTTTCATATTACTAAAAGTCGTCTTTGTTTCGTACCAGGCACATCCGCATTGCTGTTTTTCTTTGCAGTTTTAATTTTTTAACGAATTTTGGTAAATTTTACTGAATTGGGTTGTTTTATAATGGTTTTATAATAAAGTTGCGTGTCGAATGGTTATGGATCGAATAGACTTATCGATTGATGAAAAGGTTTTTTAAAATTACTCAATTTTAATAGTTTTAATAGAAAATGGTAGTTGATAAATAATAATAAATAAACAAACGATCAGATAGAAGCATTGGACCCGAACGATGTTTGGCTAATGCGAGCTGCGGCCGGCGAACAAGAGCAGATAAACACTGCAGAGGTAGGGCAGCGAGCAGCGAGCGGCGAGAGTCGTCACGACGATCAGTTATCATTCGAAGTAAGTATTCTGTAGCCACTATCAATTCGTTGAGCATTTTCTATGCAACAGTTTCCCTCGAAATCGCCATTAAAGAATAAACCATCGCTGAAAAAATCCAAATGCCGACCTATAGCACTCGCACTGTCCAATTCATCACCGCTGAGCCATCGTTTTTTCCTTCTTTAATTTTGCGCGAATATGGAAATATCAATTTAGGAGGTGAGTTATGAGTTTTGTTTTCTTTTTGAGCTAAAGCATCGCTTTGAGTGAGCCATAAATGAATTTATTCATTAAACCACTTTAAAATTTTCTCCATTCAGCAGCTACAGATTTGTTGTAATTTTTTAATAGTTTTCCTTTCTTTCAAATCATAGAATTTAATTCGTTTTTTGCTAGGACTCGGAACGTTTTGAAGAAGATTCTCTGTGCTCCTGGCAGTCGGATTCCGATTCCATTTGCCATCATTTTCGTGGATGGAATGCGACGAGTCACAATCCATTTAGTGAAAATAATGGTATTAAAGCCTTAATTCTTTCATTTTTCACATGTACTAACATTAAATATTAGCATATTAGCATATTTCGCTTCTAAAACAGGTTTAATGATGTCAAGAGAAGGAATTTTCTCGTTCCCCGCTAAAAAACCCAAAAAACCCGAGTCTTGATAAATTCATTGCAAATGATATAAATTTGGAATTTGTATTTTTTTAAATTTTAAATTTGTATTTTATATTAGCATATTAAATATTAGCGGAAAAAACATCATGCACTGAATTAAGCAGTAATATTGTTCCAGACAAATTGTTTATGAAAATTCTTCTTTAGTGTTTTCCTGAAAATTAAATATTAAATAAATAAATTTTTGTAGAATCAACATGTTTGGCAAATTTAAAAAGAAATAGTGAATTGGGGGCTACTATTTCAAGTGCGACGGACTCGAGTCAAATAAGCAAAAAGAGCAGTACTGATAGTAAATCATACAGTACAGGTGCGGCTGTTTTATTTTTGGTATAATTTGATTTATCAAAATTGAAAAATAAAATTTTTAAGAATTTTTAATCAAAGCATTTTTGCAGTATTGTCTCTTAGCGAATATGCAGCTCGAAAGACAGCCCTAACGTTCTCTTATGACATGATAGAATCAACTTATAATGCCATAATAAGATCCTATTCCTCTCAAGAAATAGCGGAAAAAACATCATACTCTGAAGCAAGCAGCAATATTGTTCCAGACAAATTGTTTATGAAAATTCTTCTTTGGTGTTTTCCTGAAAATGAGCAAGATATTCGACTTTATAGGTGTAGTTTTTTTTTGATATTTATTTAAAAAAATACAAATTAATATCATTTGCAATGAATTTATCAAGACTCGGGTTTTTTGTGTTTTTTAGCGGGGAACGAGAAAATTCCTTCTCTTAACATCATTAAACCTATTTTAGAAGTGAAATCGGCATTGATTGAACCTGTATTTCTGTATTTTCGAGTGAGAAGATATCGCTCTAATATCGCAAAATCGTTAAGTAGATTGGTAGTATATTGTTCATTATGAATGAAATATAGGAATTAATTTCTCTTTTGCTATTATGTTCAATTGCTGTTTGCTTTAGTTGTCTTGCCAATGGTAGTGTGGACGAGTATAATAAAGGTGAATATTTGTTCGGAGCTGGTGCAGTTCGAGATATTTTTCAAATCGGTTAGTTTTTATTTATAAGCTCTGTTAACACCAAGAACACCATATGTAGTTTTAAACTTAATTTACATGGTTCCATTTAACTGTATGGGCTTTGTGATGAAAAAAATATGGACTTCATTATTTTTCAGGCTACCATTTATCTGCCACAGTTAAAACCATTGTGACTCCGTGTGCGGTCCCAAGGAGAATGTGTGAAGCACAAAATCTTCATTTGCATCCGGCCCGTCTATCTCGTTCTTCACAAAATGTGTCCATAAGAATTGATCGGTGATTTCATTACTTTTTGAATATTGAAGCAGATTTGCTTTCCAAATAATGCTTGATTGAATTTATTTTTCAGATGCCGAATAGTGTCTTGTCAATGTTCTTGTTCTTCGAAATCTTCTTGGTGTCAGCATATTGTTGCTGCATGCTTATATCGCATTAATTTTCCCTTTAAGGTGGAATATCGCACAACAATATGGGATTCTATTAATGAACTTAATAATGCCCAACTAAAGAAGCTTTCATTATTTCTCATTAATGAACTTCCACGTCAGGTTCCTTTTGACATATGAATTTGTTAGTGCTCTTTTTTGAATATGAACTATAGCATTTTTAATGTTATAAATTTGACTGCGAAAAATAAAACCATATAAAAAAATATAAAAATGTTTTAAGTAATTTTAAATTTAATTTTGGAATTTACAATTCATCTTTAAATTTAGTATTTGCCCATCGCTCAACGTTTAATAGACCAACTACGAATTCCCTCATCCGAGATAACAGAAGCCACTGGTGCTCCTGATCCTACTGATGGAGGACATGAAGAAACTGCTATTTGGTCTTTAGAACTTCACTCACTTACAGCTAATATTAATCGCATTCTTAATAAGTTTTGTGCTCCATCTCCAGTTGTACATTGGTGAACATTTTATTTAATTAAAAAATGTTGAAGTTGAAATATTTAAAATTGTGATTTGAAACCAAATTGAGTCGAATTAGCTATAATTTTTTTCACCTTTCTAACTATTTCAGTTTTCATTTTCTTTTTTTTGAAAAATTTTATGTTTTTTCAGTGATGTGCAATATCTTTCTTCAAATCCGCCTCCGGTTGCTAGTGAATGGCAGTGGCTGTTACAACCTCATAGATCAAAAGAACCAGAGGGTTTTTTTTTATTTTTTATATTTTATGTGCTTAATTTTATATAAGCGGTTGGCTTTATTAAATAAATACTGAAAATCCTATGTCAGGCTTGTGGAATTTACTATCAATTACCAGAGAAATGTTTAAAAGAAGAGATGAAAATGCTCTCAACATTTTGCATACTATTACAATGGAATGTTTGGCTAGCTCTTCGGTAATTCACAATATTTTGCATCATTTTTTTGAATCATTTATAATTCTCGTGATTATTTATGGTTATTTTCCAAAATTCAATGTCAAGAGAATAATTTAGGTAATTTGGTGGTGGTATCAAACATCTTTGACACAATCTGGTGAATGGAGTATAATTTCTAATAAAACATCCGCTTCCTTTTTATGCAACCAGAAGGCTCCGCAGTTTAATTGCGCTTCGTTATGTGATGAAGTCGTTCATTTGTGGAGACTTGCCGCACTTAATCCAAATCTTTCAAAGACGCAGCGTATCCAGGTACGATTTTTTCTTGAAGTATAGAAAGTCTTGCTAATATGTTTTGTAAATGAATTTTTTTTTTTAGATTTGATAGTTTACTTTTTTTAGTTGGTGAGAATTTTCCAAATGTATCATAAATCAGCTGCAAGTACTATTTGGAAGATTATTACGAAAACAGCAAATTTCTGCGTACAAACAGTGAGATTTTCTTTCTTACGTATTTGTACATCTTTTTCTCGCTAGGTTATACTATTTATTGATAGTGAATGAATTTTTAATAGAAGAAGGATTGAAATATTTCCTGATTATTGTTTGCTATTTAAAGAAATCTTTTTGTCTCATTTGTTTCTGATTCTAAGCTTTCTAAGAGGTGCAATATTCTTTTACGTTTCAGATTAATTATTAAATAAACAAAATTTTAGAATATAGCTAACTCTCAAGGAACTTTTATTGTGGACCGATATCGTGAACAACTTTCACGTGCGAACGCTCGTTTTACATATCAATTGTTCCCTGGCTTCTTGCGTGCACTTGAAGCTTGTTATGTACCATGGAATAAAGTAAAATTTAGTGATTCCGTTGGGTTTCGCAGCAACGAAAATTGTCATAATTTTCAAAAAGTTCGTTTTAATTATATTTTTAGTTGTTTCATAGATTATTTGAATTGTTTGTTTTCTGATGCAATCCCATATAATTTATAATTGTGTTTATCCATTGATTTTCAGGTTCTGTCTACAATATTTACAAAAGTTCATTTTAATGTACCATCTAAAAATAGCTTAGAAGGAAGATTGCAAAGTGATTCTACAACTTCAATTAGTTCTCATACTCGTACTCGTACATCTTTCGATGATACAAATGTGCGCTCGAATTCTTATGATAATAAGGTAAAGTAAATTATTTTTGAGAAAATGCTATATTTGTGTTTTAATCTGCTTTGAAATAGAGTATTTGATCAAGAGTATTTTTGATAAATTCAATTTTTCAATAATTTTTTCGTTATTTTTTCTCAATGCTAAATTTTGGACGAACGATGCAGTTTTTTTTAAACGGAAATTTAAATATTTCTGGATCATGGATACCCGAAATAAACATTAAAATGTCATTTTTTCATCCTTCTTCGATTTCTGGTTTGGAAATTCTATTTATATATGCATAATTCAATGGATAACACTGATCTAAAATTTAAAAATTTTTAGGATAAAAATTTAACCTTTAAAACCTTAAAAATAAAACCTTTTAGGATAAAAATCGTTCATCAAAGAAACGAATTAAGCAAATGCGATTTAGCCGATACAACAATGAGAATGATCATGGTAATATTCTTGCAACTGATCCAGAATTAAGTGCAGAATCAGGTCAAGAAAGCGATGATGAATTCAGGCCTATCATTCCCTCTGATATCGAAACAGTCTCGCATTATATTTTCGATATTCATGACACCGATGAACAATCTCTTCGGTATGTTAAGATCTTAATTACAGTGCATTGTGAAAGTGCTTTTACAAAAAAGCACTTTTTGTGAAAGATTTTTCATATTCCATGTTTTTTCGTATTTTCATTTATAAAGTAATTGCAGACCATTTCCTTTCGGTGAAGTTCAAGAACTGTTTTGTCGTGCTCAAATACGCTATTCAGAATGGGATCTCATGTTTGCTCATTGCGAAGGTCTTATGGCACATGGTTTCACGCATGAAGCGTGCAAGTTGGCTGTTGAAATTGCTAATAAATTGATGTCGGATCCGCCAAATCTCGTATCACCTCCTCTTTTTACTTCCAGCTGCTCTGAGTGCGAAACGAGCACGCATGTTACCAATGTAGATTTTTTTTTGATTGTTTCTTAGCTAATTTTTTTAAAGAAATCTATCTCTCTATTCGATGAGAAAAAAAGGATTAATTGATTGCGGGATTTTTTAGCAATTAAGTGATCCAAAAGCAAAAAAAGGTTTACTAGCCGAGATTGCCATGGGAAATCCATGCAAAAAATTAGTTGATCAAGCATTAAAGACTTCACAGCTTGCTGCAAGCACTTTTTCTCGGTGAGCTTTAATTTCAATAGTTTTTATATTTTTCTAATCTTACAAAATTAGGTCAATTTTTTTCTGAAATAATATTTTTTTTCTGAAGCATAGTTTTATTGTCAAGTTTCGAAACGTTTTCTTTTTTAAAATTACCTATTCCATTTGCAGAATTTTATTTCTTGTTGAGGCGTTAATGAAAGAGCAACACACTCGGTTACTTGCCTTTCAGTTAGCACTAAAGGCATTAGAGATCCCACGAAGTCCTGCCGCTACCAATTTCCTTGAAGTCAAGCTTTATTATTATGTGAGTTTTAAATTTTTTTTCTTTTGTTTCTAATATTGACATGTAAAAATTCTGTTATTCTGAACGAAAGATCTGGTCTTGAAAAATTTTATTTCCAGGAATCAGAATTAACTGCTTTATTAAGACGAATGGAAATCGGTTCTAATGAACTGAAAATTCTCAGAGAACATGCACAAAATTTTTTGGAAACAATTGACAGTTTCATTGCCTCCGCAGAACCGCATGCTTTACCTATTTGTTTGGCACATTATCTTTTTGATCAGCTTTCAAATACACAAAGTTGCGACAAAAACAAAAGGTTACTTTTTGCTTATATATGCCTGTCTGATATATGCATTTGCTTTTTCTTTTTTTTATATTTCTGTTTTTTTTCCAAAAATCTTTTTTTTATTTTTATCATAAGGAAATAATTGCAAGCTTTGTGTCTTTTTGAAAAAATATTTTTGAATCTATTTTCCGATTTAATCTCACGCATTTCGGTTGTTTTCATTGTTTTCAGAAAGTTGATCGTTAAAATTCTCGTGATAATATTTTATAATGAACATCTGTTCGCATGTACAGTAACATAAGCACATGGCCCTTGCTTGGTTGTCCTTAATTGAAGTAAATAAATCAATATAGTTATTTTTCACAGGAAATTCACGATTTCAAGGCAAGGAAATATATCTCGTCAAAAGTGTGATGAGATGTTGGGATTTTGTGTTGCTGTTGGTGCTCTTGATTTAAAATTAATGGTTTCTGAAACAAATTATCCTATGCTTTCTGAAAGTACGAGGCGTCAGCAGGGTCAATTGGCCTTTATTATGTTAATAAAGTAATATTTATTTATAATTTCTAAGTCTCATAAGTCTCATGAGATAAATAATTGTATTTAAATTTCGATGTCTCATATTTAACGAGGTTCATATTGTCGTGTTGAGAGATAAGATATCAGAGTTCTATTTATCTTGCTTTCAACAAGAGAAATCATAGCATTAAAGAATTCCTGTGGTGCTGGCGACCTATCTATATTCCTCTCGTCAACTGATTTATTGGGAATTTTTCTAAACATCGAGCAGCCAGATGGGGCCAGCCTAACCAGAAATGGTGAACACTAATCACTTTTTTATTTTTTCGCTTTTAATTATGTCTATAATTATGAAATGGATGTCATATTTTACATTATATTTTACATTATAACAATTTTATTGTTATAGTTTTAAATAATGTGAAGAAAATATTTTAGATACAAAGATAGTCCGGATAAATTAGCGCTTATTCTTGATAAACTTCTTGATTCAAGAATTATAAATTTATATAAGTAAGTCTTATTTAATGTAGTCTATTCTTATTTTTTCCTCTAACAGCACTCATTGTTTCTAATTTGGCTAATCCTATTGTTAGGATGAGTCTCTTGATGTCTGTTAGGATGCCACAGTTATCAATAACTCAATATATATTAACTTCGTATCAGTGCTATTTGAGAATTTACCGTAGAGGTATTTGAAGATAGAAGTACATATAGATCTCCAATCGGAATTCACTTATAGTGACAAATTTACATCCATGAGAAAGGTCTAAATTAGATGTTTTGATCGAAGCCGAAACTTCATACCATCCAGATTTCTCTTTCTTGATCAGTACCATTTAGCCATGTGATCCACTAAAATTTAATAATATGAAGAATACAAAAGATTTCGATGATTTTAAAAAGGTATCAATATTACAGAGATCATTGTTCTAATGCAGCTTATTTTTTTGAACAAGACTGTGTACGTAACCAGTATATTGCTCCCAATTATCCGGATTTTGTCTTCAATTTGTTCACGTTCATTCAATTTAGAACCATGAACATAAAGCCTAAATTAAATCGTAAAAACTTTTTTATTTGTACTTCCATTTTAACTTTTGTTCTCTTTTAACTCATAATTTTTATTAAACTGATTGGTTCTGTTGATTAGATTGCAAGATTTACCAGTGAGTCGCTTGGCGTAACCAAGTAGATTAATGGAGTCAGAAATTTTGAACGTATAGATGGCTGAACAATATTTAAGTTGTGGTTTTTAAACATGGTATCTAAAGCTTGGGAACGTCAATTGTCCAGTGAACTAAACTAACCAGACATTGTATGCGCTATAAGGGTAACTTGATGATGGGAATAAGAATACTGTCAATACCATTTGGGTTTCATTTTTACTGACATCTAAAAGGATGGAAAATATCACGCGGTTTTCTATTTTAATTCTTGTTCTTGATTATTTTTATCGCTTCACATGATTTATTTTCAACATCATCATTTATCTAATGGCTTACAATTATATAATAGTTTATATTGTGATTAATAGAGTCATATTATAGAAAATCCAAGTAACTCGAAGAAAAATAACGAAGCAGCAGAATCTTGTCACAATCAAAATGCGGCTGTAAAAATTGGACAAGAGTGCTTTTTAAGCAGCATGCAAAATTCAAATAAGGCTTATGAAAAATTGAAGCTACCGTACGTTTTGAAGTTTTTCAATGGATCTCTATTAACAGAGCGCAATCTTTATAGTTTTATTTATTCTTCATTCTACAGTAAATTTTATTTAGCAAAAGTTTTTGTTCCACAACAAATAAATAAATGATTAGAAATTGAAATTGAATAGAATCTAATATGAATAGAAAAAATTATTTTCTAATTATTTTCTTGAAAATGATGTGATATTTATTGTTCTGCTAAAAATAAAATTTATAATTATGTAAGTCACTCTGTAGAATTTTTAATTTCTAGCAATTAGCGAAAAGTGAAATCATTATGAGATCCGCATATCATGGAAATCAATTTTAACAAATGGTGTGTCAAGACCTAATACAAACCCAGACCCATAAACCCAAGTTGTTTGGTGTCGGTCATCACATTAGTAGTAATAGTAATAAAGTAAAGTAATAAAGTAAAAGTAAAAGTAATAAAGTAAGTAATAAGGTAATAAGGATTTAATTAATTCTTTTGATGAGTTCGAAAATTTTAGTTATTATATTTGTAATACAATAATGAAGAAATTGTTCGGATCTTTGTATTGTTTTATTGCATTTTATTGCTTTAAGTCCAAAAATATTTAATAATTCCAGCGGTTCATCTGATATACATTCGCCATATATGCAACTTCAACCTACAGAAACACAGGCCCATTATTTGATGGAATTAGCTAAACGGTTATTAACTGAAGCTGGTGGGAGTCAGACTACAGCAATTTTTAATGCTTCTCAAAATATGAGTTTATCCAATAATAATACTCATTCAGGTATATATTAAAGAAATATATTTTCGATATAAATATATTCACATATTTTAAGCGTATTATGGCGTGCTCAAAATGCCAGTTTTGAAATTTTAAATATTTTTTTAAATTTTAAATCGTTATTTTTCAATGCATATTTTTTAGGTCCTCATCGTCTTTTGCATATATGCTCTTTCCTGATTGGTCTTTATGCTTTGGCTGTCAATAATATGGTGTCGCCTAGCTGGCAAACTCGTACTTATAGTGCAAACGTTAGTTGGATTCATGGTCAAGCTCCTGAAATTGGTTATTTTTTTATTAATTACTACTCTTTTTATCATCATTTTGAGCGGTTGGCTCTTCCAACTACTCTATTAAAATATAAGAAAATTATTATTATTGATTATAACAAATCTTCGTTTGGTCATCTCAAACGATAAGTTTTTTCTTTTTTCTTTTTTTCTTAAATTTAATCTTTTAATTTTTAATTCTTTAATTTTTTCGCTCTATTCTTGTTTTCGACAGGAATAAACCTATCATATCCGAGTGGCTGCTGGAGACTTACCTATAATTTTTTCTTCAAGTGACTCTGTGGTGAAAGGGTCAAAAACTTTTGACACGTCGTCCGCTTTCTCTGGCACGCATAATACTTCCAGCTCGGTGGTACATGCGATAAGTTCCCAGCATATGATCGCAAGGCTTATGAATAAGCTAGGATAATTGCTTGAAATCAAGCGAAATTGCTCTCTGCACGATCACTAAGGTGTGGGCTTGCAAACCAAGAGATTATTATCCACATTCTTTCTAAATATCTTGTGGATGTCGCCTGCTCGTCGAAGGTCCATCTTCCTCTCTTCAGGTCTTGGTATAATTAAGAAACCTGGCTCCGAGCAGAGGTACTATCTATTTCACTGTGGTGTTTCAGATAACTCGGGACAAAATGGCGTAGCGATTTTCCTGTCTGAAAAGGCCCATTCCGCTTTGATTGGGTGGAAACCGGTAACCATATGGTCTATACCCACTTTAAAAATAAGTTCTGCAATATCTTGGGCCATCAGTTTATGCTCCAACTTTGTCTGCAGATAACCGTGGTAAGTTCTATGCGGAACTTCAATTGATAACAAATCTCTGCCGAAACATTACATGGTTGCAATCGGAGGAAATTGCAATAGGTCATGACGCCGCTATGATGACCTCGACAATTGGTATCGAAGTCCGGTGAACCAACGCAATACCTTCGCTTTGTTGAAGAGATAAAATTTTTCTTACTAATATATACTTCTGGCACCGTAAAAGATATAGTCATGTGGACCTCCCTGGACAGCCAATACTCCAAGCAGATTGATTATATCTCAATTGCCGTTGGAAGAGTTCCCTTACTAAATAGTCGTTTCTATCGCAGCGCTGAGGCAGGCAATTTTCATCTGATCATGTTATGGTTCGAGTCAAGATCTGCGCATAAAATTGACAACTCCAATCGCAAGAAGCAGCTCCAAATCTTTCAACTATCTTAAATTAAAGGATTCTGGTATAGTGAGCGCATTTCAAACCGGATTATTAAAGCATTTCAGCGGTATAAATATCATTGGAACTTTTCGGGAACGGCAAATGAATACTGGTCCAAACTTAACCTAATGTCTCCGAAAGTGAAGCCACTTTTGAAAAGACTGCCAAAGGATCAGATAATTAGAACAATTACAACGATTGCATCACTGTGTTACAGATATCACTATTGGAGGCATTTGGCCTTGATTAGGAAATAAGAGGGAACCATTCTGTCTTCATAAAACAATATAACTCAGCGAACAATCAATGAAATGGTAAGTGATAGCAGTGATATGCCTGTTAAGAACATTAAAGATCGTTTCGTAAGATGGAAGGATTTCTTTGAGGACAAACAACCATTATGTGCCATCTGTTTCTCACAAGTAACTGATTCGTTCGTCGAACCATACGTTTGCGATTGCGAACCACCAGTAGAAGGGGAATAATCTCATAAGCTATCCATAAGCTCAAGGTCAATAAAATTCCGCAAGGTGACGATCTCTGAGTTAAATTCTTCAAATGTTATCCATCGTCTTTCATAACGCATCTTCAGCATTTTCTGGTATGGAAGAAAGAAATACTACCAGATGACTGGAGCAAAGTATTTGCTTCCAATTCTCAAGAAAGGTAACATGGCATACTGCGACAATTATCGAAGAATCAATCTACTAGATGTGTCCGCAAAAGTATGCGACAGGATGATTTGCCCTGCCTAAGCTGTATATTCAGTTAGCTGTATTCGGGTACTGATCAGATATTAACGTTGAGAAGGATGCTGGAATTGTTTCAGATAACCCGTTGTTACTTGTTTCATCGACTTTGCAGCTAACCTTCGGTTCAGTTGATAGAATGGTACTTAGGAAGGTGGTGGAAAGGTGAACGCGATGGTTCAGAGATGTTCCAGCGATCATTCGACTTATAAAAATATTTTATCAGCGTACGCAAGTCAGTGGGGAATATATGGGGAACGGACAGACTCCTTAGAAATAAAAACTGTCCATCAAGGCTGCGTACTTTTCCCTACAATATTCAACTATGCTATAAATTGGATAATAGAAAATATTTGGTGTAAATATTTTCTATTATCTATTTTTATAAATTCAAGTTGAGGATATGTGACTTTAATATCTTAAATACTTTAGATCCCAAATAGCCAAACAAAAGACTAAATTATAGTCCGATTAAGTGCAGCTAGAAATATGTTCTTTCGGTTGACGAAATTTTTATAGAGGCTTTCGCAAAATCACCATAGAAAAGAAAATCCACATCTATATAGCTACGATTTGTCATATATCTATGTGACATGGCTAGTGAGAATGAAAGTATTAAAAAGTTTTCCACCCTACCCATCGCAGGTTAGGACATTCTTCATCGCCTGTCACAAAAATTGACTTTTGCCACATATTTCGTTACTTGTTAAGTCCTGTGATGAGTGGCATTATAATCGAAATGGACCAATCAAAATCTGGACTGACATAATCAGGAAAAGTTTTGAACGTATAGGTGAGTCAGCAATGTACGGACTGGACAGTGGAAAAAAGAATGATTTCTAAATGATTAATTGTTGCATGGCATCAGATGGCGCAGCTCGGAAACACCCTTGTATCCTGTGGAGCCAACCTAATCAGTAATGGTGAGAGCTGAGAGAGTTAGAAGAAGGTTCTTTCATCGATATAATTTCATATTCCCCTTTTTGTTTCTCAGCAAAAAACTTGTTGAAAAACAATTTAGTTGTTTTTTCGCCAGAATCCCCATGGCCTCTATTCGGCATTAAAATCCATGCATTGAATTTCCATCTTTCTTTGCAGATTTAGTTATAAGTAGTAAAAACATTGCGTTTTTCAGGTTCAGCTGCAATTAAGACTATTGAACGAGTATGGGAAGTATTGCTAACACCTACGGAAGTTGTTGCTCTTGCAGACAAAGTAATTTTTTGATAAATAGTCCAGGTCTTTCAGACATTCATTGTGATTATTTTTTGGTTGATTAGTCAATTTTAATTTAAAGGACGTTCTTTTTATTGAATCTAATTTTATAAGTTCAATTTCTTTGAAAAAATGAACTTTATGCATATTTGCAATTCATCATGTTTTTTAAGACCCATTTCATATTTCCGGCTTATTGGACCATACAAATTTTTTGGGGTTACTACTGCAATAGAAGTGGTGATCGGATTTTTAAGAAAAACAGATCCTGTCGGAAGTAAAACTCCACCGTTAGCGCTCCGAAATGAAAGCAACAGCCTATTGAACCATTCTATCCCTTTCCTTTTCGTATGAATGAATTTCTGTCAATAATGATAAATTCAATAATAAGTTTGAATTATTTTTTTATTAATTTATATTTGTACATTAGGCTAGTCAGTGCAGAGATCCAGCGACAGTTGAAGCCGCAGCTAAGTTAGCTCTAAGTGTGTTGCCTAAGGCCTATTCACTCAGTGCATCAGAAATTCATCGTGCCTTAAACCAATGTAAGGAACAAAATTCAGAAATGCTTGAAAAGGCTTGTATCGCAATAGAAGAAGTAAGTAAAGAATCAACTTTTTGAATCTGTCAATTTTATCTGTCAAGAATCTGTCAATTTTATAAGAGATCAAAAAATTATAGGCAGCAAGTAAAGATGGTGTATATCCAGAAGTGTTGTTTAAAGTAGCACGTTATTGGTATGAATTATTTTGTGAGTGTGAACCTGTAGTATCTACTACATCTTTTTCGTCCGCAAATTCAAATCCTACAGTGACGACGGTCGCAACATTGTTACATCCTATTATTTCTTCTAGTCCTGTTTCTTTTCATAATGATATTTTATTATCATTATTTGGACAAGTAAGCATTTATATGGTTAACTAACTGTTAATTCGTTTTAAATATCATGGCATATTATTTTTTTCTATTTAGCTTAAGCTTGCATTATATTCCAAATATTTAATTCTGAATGCCTGTGAATGATATATAGTTCCCCGTTGATCACAAAAAAAGAAATTCTTTGCTCGAAAATTTGCTTGATTTTTTAGCCTTATCAGAATATTCTTCCGCACGCTTCGATTGTAAATTCAGCACAGCGGCCTAGAATGCCTCCACCTCCTATGCCAACTTCAACTCACCAGTCTTCTTTCATTGTTCATACTACATCTGTATCACAACAGCAGCCATTTATTTCTTTTTTCTCTCGGTATGTTATATATTTTCGGCTCATATTTCCTATTCTCTATTTCAGTAGTCGAAAATTCTAATAATCTTTGTTTTGTGGTTAATTCCAAAGTCGCCTCTTGCAATGAATTTAATATTATATTCTGAAATTCTTTATCTTACCTCTTACATAGAACACGACCAAGATCATCAATTCCCATCGCATCTACATTCGATGAAACCATGAAGTCTCCACGGCCAGTTCCTACATCGTATCCTCCTCCCCGACCTTCCCTTCCTCTCTCTGCTGTGTCTGCTTTGCATAACACACCTCGATCTTTGCATATCAGTCATTCTGCACCAGACCTTGATCCAGTTCAACTCATTACTCGCAAATCCATGCACAACTATAGATGGAATGAAATCGGTAAAGACCAGTTGAACATTGATCAAGTGCCAGTAAGTCGTTATATATTTCTTAATTGATTCTTTGATTAATTGATTTGTTCTACTTTCAGTATTTTTTTTACTTGTCATTTTCAAAATTTTTTAAATTTCTAGGATATTAAATGAGGTAATCTGCCTCTAATTGTCATCAAGTAAATAATATTTTTCTGAAAAAAATTTTTAATTAAGAATTTTCTTTGCTTCAAAAGTTCAGGATACCTCTGATGTAGTAATTTGGCATTAAACGAATTTGACCAAGGAAATAATCAAATGATGACAGTTATAAATACAATAATATAAACAAAATCTAAAAACGATGAATGTGAGGAAATGGTCAGAGATGGTTTTCGAAATTTGATAATGGTGATTTCAGCTTAAAGGGCATCCAAAGACCTGTTAGACTTTCAGAACTAAAGATTTTCTGCGTTTCGTAGTTGAAAGTGATCCAAAATAAACAGATGAAATCGCTAAACATGTGATACGAGTCAAAAAATATTCAATCATGCATGCTATGTGGAAGTCAAATAAAGCCGGTGCTTGGGTTCAACACTCAACACCAAAGAACAAATGCTACAGTGGTCTTTGATTCCAGACAGGAAAAAGAACTATTTTTAGATGGTCGCTGAAAAATGAGTGTTGTGCGATAATTCTCGGCGTAATATCCTTATTATCAGAAGAAATAAGATGGGGGAATAAAAATTGTTGTGTAATTCACTGTGAAAGCTGATCAAAATGCTACTTCTAAAGTTTACTGTGAGCAACCCATCTGACTGAATTTTATCGAAATTATTCGTAAAAGCTAATAGCTAAATGAAAAGACCATAATTCTGTAGCACGGCAATATAGCGCATGCTTTTAAAAAAATCGCGTCACGCCAAAAAATCAAGGAGATCATCAGGAGAGTTTTCCCACTTGACATCGACTCGACTTTTCTAATCTCCATTTGTTCTCTGCAATCCTATTTAAGAAAAAAAATCCCATTTTTTTGAAAACCACATTTGCAATCAAAATGACATTGAATACATTTTTTTCGACATTTTTATTACATTTACATAAAAATCCGAGTCTTTGGAGCAAATTTTCAAAAGAGTGAAAGTCGAAGTAAAAATCCGTTCGTGAAAAGTATGGAGAATATGGTGGATTAGAAGATTTAATAGTCAAAAATTGTTAGAACTAGCTACTTTTTCAAAGAAAGAAACATGAAATCATAGCGAATGAAGCGATCGATGTTTTTATCATCGAATGTTACAAAAATATATGGCTCCAAGGCCAGATGCAACAAGGAAATGTTTTTTGAAACACTCAGTACAATAAAAAAAAGTAAAATAATAATTTGGATTTTAAAAGCGCGTTTTTGCTAAATGATAATGTTGGATAAATGTTCAATTTTTATTTATTAAAGCTGTGTAAGTACTGATGATGCTTATTATCTTATCTCAGCATAACGTTGAATATTAATATTAATATATTAATATTTTGGAGAATTTCGCTAATAAAAATGATTGTTAATATAAAAATAAACTGTGAAATGTCAAAGGACCAGTACAACAATCCTGCGGCTGTTAATGAACTAGGTATAGAAAAGGCCAGATGATATATTATGAATGATTAAATTAAATCAAATTGATTAAATTGTTAAATTCATTTTTATAACTAGATTCACATTTCAGATGGTGATTGACAATTCTATTATCCATCATTCACTTCATTCGTCTGAAACATTTTGCAGTCGTGCATTTAATCCGATTTCTCATATGCCTCACCATTCTCCACTTAAATCGATTGATTGTACTTCAGTATATCATCCCGCAAATTCTTCATTGCAAGAAATCACTAGTACAAATTATAACATTAATGATTTTCGCATGGTTAAGCTAGTTCATGCTCATCGAGTTGGTATGAAAGCAATGGATACAATGAGGAATCGAAATCTTGACGATCCTCGCAGCTACGCCAAGTTCACTCGAGTATCCTATGAGCTTTTTTCTTTTCACTATTTATCTTAATTAAATTCCGATTTTCAGTTCAAGGATTTCATTTGCGGCCAGTCGATTGATACATTTAATAGAAATCGAATTTCTGCATAATCATGGAATAAGAATAATTTTTTAATCTTTTTGGATATTCAGAGAACAGTTTTATGGAAGTTTAATTAGATGATCTTTTCTAATAACACTTTTTAAGAATCCTGCATATTCTGAAGATGTGCGATGGTTATTTTCAATTGCTGTTCAGCTTGGTAATATCTTCGCCCAAACCTTTTGTGAAGTTGCTGCTCGTTCAATTATGTCACCTTATGTGCTTTTTTCTTTGGTTCAGGAATCTGCAAAAGTTTGTTTCTCTCGAGATTTTTTGGTTAAAGCATGGAAAAACTTCGATGTTTTTTGTCGAATTTTTCCCTTTGTTTAATTTTATTAATTTCAGATTTTTCCTCCGAACGCATTTCATCCTCCTACATTGTCACAGATTCATCTGCAGAGAAGCCATAATTCAAGTGGTGCCACAAAAAGTACTAATGCACCTGATGTATGTGCTATTTATTCATTTTGATGCCAGTTAAACATTGCTGATATTCTTCAAGCATTTCAATCTGTAATTTGTTAAATAGCGAGTGGTTTTTATTATATTTGTTTTTAGGTGCGTTTGCTTCTTTTGCAAAGTGGTTTTTCTAATCATACTGCTGAATTAATGCAACGTTGTGTTGAAATGTTTTACATTGCAGCCACATCACGGCTTGGTCATTCCCGTTTTTCTATTTCTGATATTGACGATGTATGTTTTTTATTTTTTATTTTTTTTATAAAATTTCTCTCCCGTATAATATTATATGGATGAAAAATCAGATTGTAACATTATAACATAAATTTTGCTAGTTTTTCTTTAAAATTTCATTAATTTTGTCGTTCTGATTTGTTCATCTTCATTTACTTTTCACTTTTATTTTTACTTTTAACTGGAATCAAGATGAATAAATAGCAGTGCATCGGATACTTTTTGTTGCATCACTTGAGTTATGGCTTCTCTACACCTTTATTCATTTTATGTTTCATCTTTATTTTTGTTTGAAAGATTTTTTTTAAAAAACTAAAGAAATTTTTTTTCTGCTAATTATTTTATGGTATAGCGAATATTCAGATTTGAAAGTTACAGGTGATTCAGTTAATCGCAGCAGCCCGTGAAGCGTTTTATTGGTTGCCTGGTCATGGCCGGCTATATTTTGAAGAGTTTTTGTGGCATGTCCGTAAGCAGAAAGCTTATAGAAAAGATGTGGCCCAAAGAATTACTGAATATTTGCGGCAGATTAAAGTTGATGAAAGGAAATAGTCGATTAATCGCTATATTAATATTTGATAATCTCAATCAAATAATACCTCTAAAAGCTTTTTTTATTTTTTTTAATAAAATTCATTCATCCTTAATTATGTTATGGATTTTTATTCGATGAATAATGATCATTCGTTCCTGCTATTTTAATTATTGTTGTAATTATTGATTGTTTAATCCAGTTCAGTTCCTTAAAATTTTTTTCTAAGCGAAGCAGTTAAGTTGTTCATTTTCTATTTTTCAGATCTCTTTGTTATTCAAATTTTATTTTATATCGTATCAGTTTTATTTCAAAATGGTTTTACGAACGCATTTTACTTTACCTTTTTTATTTATCCTTTCACTTTAATTTCTTAAATTTTTCTTTCATCTCTTTTTTTGCTGAATACTTTGTTGTGGCGTTCCATTTCGTCTATCCATTTACTTCAGTTATGATTTTTATTTCTTATTAAGTAGAAATAATCTCATTTAACATGTATTTTAATTACTGCATGATGTTACTAGAAGTCCAAGGTCAAGCCTTGAGTTTAAGTTGGTTTTATTGGTTTTATAAGTTGGTTTTACGAAGTTCAGTTGGCTTTATTTAAAAGATTTTAAAGGCTGCTAGTTGTTGCTGTTGGAATTTTTATTTTCCTGGTATTGTGATTCTTGACGATAATATTAGTATAGATTATTTATTTTTATTTATGGTATTATTTATTTATACTAATGGATTTGTTATCATCAATATTAATATTGATAAGATTAGTATTGTTTAATTTTATCGATAAAAATTCGTGAAATGGTTGTTACATTAAAATGTTTTAAATTCTTTAGTCACTGAAAGGGGCATAAAAAAATTATTATAATGAGTACTTTCTCTATTCTTTGTAAATTTGAGATTCTTTGTTTGATGTTATTCGATATTATGATATTTTGTTTTTCATTATTAGGTAATCACTTCTAATTTCTTGCATTTTTTAAATTCTTTGAAAATTATTTATATTATATATTCTTGGCAATTGGATTAATCTTCAATAAAACGGTTGTTTTTATTTGTAGAACGAAAAAATAAATCGTTTTTAGGATTGAATAACGCTAGTAAATAGGATTCATATGCCTTCTTATGGAAATTTCTTCACAATTCAGAAAGAAAAAACGAGAGAGCAAAATGAAGGAAAGGTTTACATGTTACAGATATTATATATTATAATGCTAGCAATGGCATTATTGCAACCAGTGAGATATAAGGAAAAGCATTAATTCTTCAGCGTTTGAAAAGTACGATTGCTATGTTAATTTTGGTTGCCAGCTTAGTGTCCTATTTAAGGCTGTTATGGCTGCTAAGAATCTGTAAAGCATAAGGTTGCTAGACAACGAAAGGATGCCATAAATAAAAAATTTTTTTCGGCCCGGTTTTCGGCTGTGCTTCTACGAAATTTTTCGCCGATCGCGTTACATGGTCATCTTACTTCGGCAACGACATGCTTTCTCTTGTATGTAGGTCTCTTCTCTTATATTTGTTTTCGAAGTTGGACTTTTTTCAAAATCGTATTTCTTGTTCGCCTTTCAAAAAAATTCTTAAGGAACAGTATTTTGCAGAAAAAAATCTGTAGGCGTTTCGCTAAAGTTTTTTGCTTGATTTATTCATTTTCATTTTATTAGAATTTTTTATTTTTAGCGGAGTAATAATTTGCAGTTATTGTTTTGTGGAGTTTATTTATGGAGCCTTCTTATGGAAATTTCTTCTCAATTCAGAAAGAAAAAACGAGAGAGCAAAATGAAGAAAAGGGTTATATGTTACAGAACTTCAAGTTTCCGTTGGAACGGTTTGAAAAATATTGGCTGAACCGTGAAGGGCCAGTTGCTTATTATGGAAACATCGAGAATAAGAATGTATTGACGGACCCGGTTCGCCGAATTCTTATTACTCGACCATTTTCCTCAAACTATTTTATTTCTAAAGAGATGGGAAGTACATCGACAAATAAGGATATCAAAGCAAGAATATATTATCGTTTGAACGATTCAAATGAGAATTTAACCAGAACTGTTGGTAGAACGACTGCGTTTGATAGCAGAATAACAAATACGTCTATTAATTTGTCTTCCAAGCCAAACCCAGACCATCTGCAGCGAAGAGTACATTCGTCGAGTGAAACTGCTTCAATCACTTTAACACCCGATAAATTTATCTCCCCATCTGATCTACCTATTTCCAAATATGAGCAATCAATTTATAAACCATTTCGCACTTTTGGCTCGACCATTTTCTCCAAACTATTCTATGCTAATACCGATATTACGTACGATATTACGTACCAACAATATTTTCTTAGCTATAATGGAACGGAAAGTATCTTAGCTTCATCAGATGAAAATGTAAGCACATTTAAACAAACAAAGAGTTCTGAGGCCACAAGTCAAATTATTGAGTCTTCAAAAGTTTCAGAAAAAACAAATAGTTTCTCGCAAGAGACTGCACAAGAATTCACACATCATTATTTATCTAAAAGCGATATATCAAAGTCACTTCGTTTGACCCATCCTTTTGAAGAATCGGCAGTAATATTTTCTTCTTCCGATCAGCAACCAACAGTGCTTTATTCCACTTATTCCACCAGAGAGGGATTAAGAAAAAACCATTCAATGAAAGACGTTAAAACAACCCGTAAAAACGAAATAACTATGTCTTCGAAAGCAAAAATTAGAACGAAGGCATTTTTGCCACATTTTCAAAAAAAGATTGATCAATTCACTATCCCTTTCGTAAGAGATTTTGAAGTAACGCCGGTATTTCGAGTTGAATTATTCAACGGTTCAGATTCCACCGCGTTCACGAAAGATTCTTTTTCCTGGTTTTTCAGCAATGAACTATTTTATTCTCCAAAATCTGATGAAGGCAAACCTTTGACGGAAAAAAATTTAACCACTGAATTTAATCAAACTGGTGTTGAATTTAATTTGACAACTCTATTAAACCAGAAACATGCCAAATTTAATTTAACAACTCCACTGAGGGAAACTGGTGCCAACTTTAATTTAACATCTTTGAAAAACCTGAAAGGTGCTGAATTTAATTTAATAACTCCATTCAACCATAAACATGCCAAATTTTCCGCTCGTTCATTTCGAACTGGTCGATCCACTGTAAATGAAACTATTGGCACTATGGATCACACCACAACAAAAATGATTCAGAATGCAAGAAAACCATTTAAGGAACGAGCTACCGGCATTCATAACAGGCAGGATAAAACTGGTAGAACTGAAGGTAAACAAATTTTATTGGAGACAAATGGTACAACTGATAAAAGCATTCATAAAATTTTCGTACATGGATATAAATTTGATACATTTGGAAGTACAAAGGATAACTATTTGGACAATTATTTGTTTTTCAGTGAAGAGGGAAAAAATTGGACCACATACTCTGGCGAGAACAAGAATATATTAAAACATCAGTTAGACAAGGAAAACACAAGTGAAAAAACCAAATCATTTTATGCAAGCAAAAATGTCATCACACCTAAAATTAAAGAAAAGTTCTTAAGTAGCATTTCGAATATAGCTCAATGGAATTCTCCATCATATTCCCAGTATAAAAATCTTCAATCCAGGTTTCCTCCATCTTATAATCAATTTCCTAATGAAGGATACGAACAAAAAGGTATAACTGAGAAAGCACAATATATAAATATTTTATTCAATGATATCAACAATTTAATACAGAGTACCATTAGTGGCAGACAAGATGTAGCGGATGGAATGAGGCAAACGGATGAATTATCATTGGACACACAGAATATTATTAAAATTCCATCAAGCGCAAAAATCTCTTTGAAAGAAGTCATTGATGCAAAAAAAACGTCGAAGATTTCCGATTTACCACTGAATAATTTTTCTAAATTTGGCATACCAGATAGTACAGGTAGAGGCTATGATACTGCAACAATGCACAAAAATACAGAAATTAGCGAAAAAATCTCGAGTATGGAAAGTAATATTTTCCATTATCCAGTCATCAATACAACTTGGTCGAAATACTCATTGGCAATATCTTCAAGCAGAAAGGTCAAAGAGACTTATGTTCAAGCCTCATATCAACAAAGTGTTCAGCTATCGACGACGATGCATCCATTGAAAATTGTTAGCACAATAGATGAATTAACTAAAAAAACAGCTGAAATCCCTAGTAGTTCGAAAGGTCTGCCGAATTCGGCATATTTGCATTGGAAAAAAATGAGTGCAGAATGGGACGAAATGACTTCAAGTATTCGGAATCGAACATTAACAGGTGAAGTAAAATTTTTGTCTAAAGGTTTTTTAGTGCTATTGTTTCTTATTAAAACGAATTTAGCATTTTTTGGCTTTAATCATTAATTCATTTTATCAAATTACGAAATCTAATATATTTAAAAAATGATCGTTGATAATGAAATTTAAAAAATTAAAAATATAAATTCATTTCACCAAAAATCAATCGTCGGACGGATTTTCAAAAATAAAAAAGGGTGTGTAATCGTTTCCTCTAAGTTTTTCAGCTTTTGCTTCATCCTTCATCTTTTTCCCACTGAAATTTATTAAAGCCATTACTATCATCAAAATTATTTAAAAACAAATAATTTTTTTGGAATTCTTTTAAAAGGCTAAAAGTATTTTATAAATCATTTATTCGTATATGAGGAGTCAGACGGGAGATAACACCATATCCTTTTGAATTCTTTATAATTTCCGAAATAAGAAATATAATTTTACTATATTACATTGCAACTTATTACACTCGTATATGATAATTTAAATTGCGCAATTCGCAAAGACATAGACATGGATTGAGTCGAGTGATAAGTCCATTTTTTTAATATTTTTTTCCCACTTTTTTTTTTACAAATCAGTTGTGTATATTTCCATGTGTATTAATAGTTCTCATCGTCATTCTTTATTAAAATTATTAAATGGATCAATAAAAACAAAATTCTTAAACCAAATCATTATTGTTATCAAATTAATAGAAAGTCCTTAGTCCTTTGAATGAAAAATAGTTTTCAAAACACAGATTACTTCATATTTCCTCGAAACTCGTTATATTCTTTTAATTCTACTTCGTCATGTCAAATATCTTGTGAAGGAAGATTAAAGCCATGGAAAAGGATTTATGATAAAAGAATACGGATTTCTTGGAAGGTATCGAATAGAAGTGGAATAGATTCTTCACAAAACAATTTTATGGTATATCAATTTTACAATTTTATGGTCTGTGTCGGACCTTGTTTTACTTACTTGATCGGTTTTTTGAGATTATTAGGTAGTTATAACAAAAAGGAGAGACTGGATAAGTGGCATGCTGCTTCTACTAAATAAACATCATGACTCCTGTGATGGAGAAAAATATGCCATTAAATTAAATGCGAGTGGTGTTTCAGTGTTTCAAGATCTAATTTTAACTTTATTGCTCTCGCTCTCTGGTGAAGGTACCTCATCCTCATCCTAGTAGATAATAGAGCCAGCTAGAGCGAAAGTGAAACCAAAAATATTGGATGCCATTAGAAGAAGAGTTAAGTTAATATAATATAAGGGAGCATTAGGGATTTGAAAAACTACTGTTGATACTACTAACTGAACTACTACTGATTTTAAAGCAGGATTATAGTGCAATTTAATGGGATATTAAAACTGGTTTAGGGCAATTTTAGAAGTGTGGAAGTTTTGAAAAACATCATTTCAACTCCTTTAATTCTCCACGATTCATTTGATTTGCTTAATTTGACAAACCGTTAAAGAAGCAGGGAGATGAAAATATTGAGGAGTCAATCACAACTTGGTCTGGGCCAGGAGTTTAAAATAAAAAAAATTCGTTAAATTGTCACAAAAGAATGCAATAGGATTTTGTGAAAAAGAAGAGAAAAGGAAATATTTGATTAGGCCAAGGTATGGCCAAGGGCGCTTAAGGAGTATTAATGTATCATAGCAAAGGGTTTTAATACTATTAGCCATAACAAAACAACGTTGTGTAAAGGCCCAACGTAGATATATTACATTGCATTTTTAGTTTATTGTTTACTTTTAAAAATGAGCACTACACGTTTAGAAATTCCGGGCGTGCTTGGATTTTGGATGAGGAATGCGACAGGGGCTTTTCAATTAAGAAATTATAAATATTTTTAAGAGATCGAAATTTTATAAGACGATCCATTATGCCAGTAGATTGTGGCATAGAGAGGTTTAATGAAGCATTAGAGGAATTTAGCGACAAAATTTTGTCAACGGATTAAGGTGAAGGAGATGAAAAAGGTTGCAAAGGGGAGTAAACGCATTCGAAAAAATATAGTGAAAAAATGTCGAAAATATAGTTGAGAAATAGATAAGTTTTTTTTATTATATGGCTTAATGAATTGTGCAAATCCATTTCAAACTTTATTAAAAAGTGGATATTGAAATTTTAGTGAAATAATAAGTTATTTTCAAACTTTTAGTTTTAGAAATTTCAACTCAAATTCGAATTTTATCAAAGAAACAAAGTTTGCTGACAAGCATATCAATTTTTCCGCATTTGCTTTTTCCTTACTTTTATTTCGTAGCAAAAATTTCACCACAATGATTTTTTGCATATATGCTCAAGTTTTTTTAGATTAATCATATGATATAGATTTTTTTTCAGTCAATAAACTTGCAAATAAAAATGAAATTTTGGTTAAAAATTTCTTCGCCAAATATTTTCTTGGATAGAAAATTTCAAAATTTATCAAAATTTACCATTATTTTTTTAGTGAGAATGCGCACAGAGCCAGAAAAATTCTTGTAGGAATTATTCAAATTGATGAATTGATGAATTTGACTAAAAAATGTCTCGAGAACCATTGACATTGGCAAAGTGCGAAAGATTTATAAATACGAATATCATAGCTTATCTTCTACTATTAAGCATTTTTCCTCTAGTCATTTCATCGAAAACTATTTATTTTAGTGGTAGAAGAGTGTCGGTCCGCTTGTTCGAGTGGTTCATCAAATGCTGAATGGGTTGAAGCAAAAACTATTTGCCTACATAAGTTAGATCCAAAATTATATGGTAATTATGAAGAGGCTTTGCAATTTTGCAAATTACATATGAATATGATTGAAGAAACTGATTTAGCTGTGCGAGAGAATCTACAAACAGTCCAAAAGCTTCTAAGGTAACTGCCAGGAAAAGAAAGTTATCAATATACTTAGGCATTTAAACATTACTTACTTAAGCATTTATGTATATAAGTGGTCGTTTAACAAATTATTTAGAAAATGGATTGAGGTAATTTATGAAATTTAATGGAGATTTATTCTTTGTGGATCTACTTTAAAGAATATGCTTGTCTTTTGATCTAAAAAACTAAAGGAATAATCGGAATTGGCTTAAATTTAAATACGAAAATTTATAAAAGCAAAGCTTTAAAAAATTTGGAAGAAAGAAATTTAAAAGAAAGCTTGCTTCTTCAGTGTCTTTAAATAAATAGATACACTTCATTTAAAAATAAACTTTAAAATCTACAGAGAAGGCGATTTGAATGATCTGATATTCGTTTATGCTCCTGTTACTCGACAATTTCGAAATTTTCGTGAAGTTAAAATCATAAATATTAGTTCGAGTACTGTTTTCAAGTTGAATGTGGTCAGCAAAGTGAAAATTGATGCAAATATATCCGATGTTCAAGTTATTTGCAAAAAAAATCGTTCGTTTTTTCGATTTGCATACCTTTTGATTTCGGATTTCAATGAAAAATTTCAACTGAACTGAAAAAATGCAATAGGAAAAGACTGAATTTCTTTAAAAGCTATTGAATATTTAAATATTTATGTAGTTGAAATTTAAGAATATTGTAAACCAGTAACATGTAATTTGGATGCCTTCGAAAACAGAAAAAATAATCACCTGCTTCCGAACCTGCTGCTTCCGAATAAAACTAGGATTTCAAGTGGAGAAATCATCGATGTAATTTGTAATGCGGATCCTTATAACGTTCAAACCATTTCCTATGCCTGTACCAGTGTTGGGCATTTTCAACCCGACCCCTCTGATAATTTGTGTAAATCATTGGAGACTTCAGGTATAATAAATGACATTAAATAGAAGGTCGTAAATAAATAAAGTTGAAAAAAGGGTAATTGCCAAATTATTTGCTAGAAAGTGAAAATATGGAAGCTGAAGAGATTAAATATGTTTCAACTTCAAGAAGAAGAAATTCCTGCAATGATTGCCATGAGCTTGGAACAGAAAAATGCTATAAAAATGCGACAAGTGATGCTACAGAAAATATCTATTGTATTTGTAAACCAGGATGGACGGTAACCATTAATCATAAATAAAAATTTATTCTGACAATTATACTAAAACAATTAGAATTTATAGTATTTGTACTAAAATCCCACTTAAATTTTAGTAAATTCATTTGTCCACTGAGGAAATTAGGAAATTTGATTAGGAAATTTTGATATTAATATATATGATATACTTAATTTATTTAGATGTCAACATGTTGGAAGGCTCCGTTTTTTTGTCGTCCAAATATGTGTGGCGAAAACGGACGATGTGTGGAATTTGTTGATAGTGCTTACTGCGACTGTGATGAAGGATGGGCAGGTGAAAAATGTATGATTAACATTGGAGACATTTATAGTGCAAGTGATATCCTTGACGATGTAAAAAGCAACGTTAGCAACGAAATTTTTCTAAAAACTGAAAGAATCCGAGATCGGGTAAGATATTTGGTAATAACTTCGACAAAAATTATCGCACTGTGCAAAATCATATTTTCAATCATTCTTTCTTTTCTTTTTTTCCCCTTTCGTTCGCATTTTATTCACATTTATCTATCAAACAAGGCTATTTTTATCTGGTATCGTGGATTTGACAGCAGCTAATACATCGTATTGTCTTTTCTCCACTGCAGCATTTATTTCAAGTGAAACATTGGCATTGTTATGAATAAACTATGTAATAATAAATAGAAAATATAAAAAGCCGAGTGTTAGAGTGGAATCGCAGTAAGAGTTTTTCAGCAATATTTCTATTCTTTACTTCCGTCAAGGTTAATGATAATGATCATTTAAAGATTAATAACTTCAACGTCAGTCAAACTGGACTTGTGATATTGACTATAGTTTCATTTGTCTCAACGATTATCCTTTATTTGTTCACATATATTAACGACAATGGAACGTCTGTGAGAGTTTCCGATTCTTGTTGGCTAAAATTAAATATAGATTCAGTCAAAAAAGTCAAGATGAAAAGGAGAACTGAGACTCTTTGGATTAAACTGTAGGAAAATCTACTAATAAAGAATCGTTTTTGTAATTTGTGAAAACAAATTATATCTGTTTTTTTAATTATATGTTTTCTTAATTCTCTCAATGCAAAGGTTTTTAAAGGATCCTCAGGAAACAATTCAAAGGCAACGTTCGTTGGTACTATTCTTGGGTGCATTTATTGCCACTTTTTTCCGTCATCCTGGTAAATATGGTCTCGATAAAAATTATGGTGGCCGTTTCTATAATTGGATATATTTGCAAGCGTTCTCCATCGGTATTTTATAAATTATAAAAGTTTGAAATATATATTTAATGAAATCAGATTCTATTCATTTTCAAAATTAACACATTGAGAACTAGAAGAACTAGAAGACGCAATATTATAACTATTTCAAAAATCGTTCAATTATAAAACTGAATGAACGAAAATTTGGAATTTGATATTTTACACATATTTAATATTTTCAAAATTTTTATGGATCTCGCTAAATCTATAAGTATGAAAAACAGGGATAGTGATATATAAAAATTTTTCGTTAATGGAAATCATTCGACGTAAGCGATGGCAATGAAATTTATTCAGAAGTTATAAAAATTCTCGAATAATGATATAATTATTTATTATAATGGCTTAGGGCAATTTCTGTTCGTTATGGAAGCATTAAATGTTCAAAAAATGTTCGCTGCAACAGCCTTCAATCGTTGGAATTGTGGTAAAAAAGGAGAAAAAGGTTTGACTTATTTGGTAAGCTTAACTGATATAAGGATTATTATCTTATTTTTATTTTCGCTTTCAGTTTGCAAGTTAAGAATCCATCGCATATGATGACTTCTCGGTTTTTGTCCTATTTTATTTTTGCCGTTTGGTTGTTGCCATTTTGATTATATCAGCTTTTTTAAGTTAATTATTCCTCCATGTTACTTTATTCCATTCGCATATATTTCAATCGCTACTATATTGAACTGGAATCATGTTCAACGATCTTGGACCTGTCTGGGACTGTTTAATGAAGATTCATTTAATCTACAACTATCGCTCATTGTTTTCAATGGTATTCTTGTCTTAGCCACAGTAGCGCTATGTGAAAGCGCATTTCAAATTACACGGTATTATTTATTCAATTATTTAATGAACTTTTCAATCCTTCTAACCGTATTCATTTCTGGTTATTTTAACTACTTAGGACAAAAAGTTCAGTCAGATTTTCATCAGAGAATGATGGAAAAAGTGTAGATGGGCATCACTTGAATTTCAGTTTTAAAACCCATTCTGCTTGCACTCAGCCAAAGCAACATTATGATAACGAATAAGAATATTATAAAATGCAGTGAAAAGGATGTAAAAAATCATTTCATTTAGCAAAGTTGTGCAAATTTTATTTTATTGCAATATCAAAGAACTATATATTTTAGAAAAATTTATTTAAAAAATAAATTTATTTGGTGCAGTTTGTGGCAAACTGTGATAAGCAATTGTTGATTATCAATTGATTTTAGCAAAGTTCCTGACGCGGAGGTGTATCGTTATTTATATTTTATTTCGAATCGACCTTACGAACTTGGAACTGGGATGATGCATGTTGAAAAAAATTTGCCATTTGTTTTCTTGGGGCCATTGCTTCATTTTGGAACATGGATTTCGGTTAACGTGGCCACATATTCGCAGTTGTTACCACATAGCTTGTTCGTGGATTAATTGTTAATTTAGATCGTTTACAACCAGGATCACTACATTACCTCATTTTTTTTACAATTCAACTTTTATTTTTATGAACCAGATTCTTTTACATCTGGTAAATTTTTTATAGGCTGATTTTAGCAATGACAATTTCTTATTCTTTTATAATCGTTATTCAGCTTATGATCACTCAGCCAGAGGTGACTTTTGTGACTTTTTTATTTTTTCATTCTTTTTATTCACTATGCATCTCTTCTTCAATTTTTTTGGAAAACAAAAAATTGATGGCAAAAAGCACTAAGAAATATTGTGTAAAAAAGAAATAAAAGTAATACCGCCATTAAAAAACTCTGGTGATGGTGGCGACCCACTTCTAGCTACGCGGAAAATTTTTAACCGTATTAGTAACCAGCTGAAGCCTAACCAAAAATGATGAACGCTTAATACTTCAATTTAAAAAAGAAAATATAACAATATTTAAAAAAAATCAGGTTCATCGTTTTGTTACAATTTTCTTGATGGTCATATTGCCGAAGTTGATAGCGCCCAAGTTTGAATACGTACAAATGCTTACCAGGGACGAAATAATTGCAAAATGGTTGCCATTAAGCTTTGAGAAAGAACAACTGCAAGCAAAACATTGTGAATCAATGCTTAAAAAAAAAGCTGCAGAAGAAATTCGCAAGAAAAATGTCGAATTATTAAGAAAAGTTCGATTTTTCACCAATATTTATCCTTTTAGATTATTCATTATTCTTTTCTTCATGAGGTTGTTAATTTAATGGAAATTTCTCGAGAAATTTTTTTGTTCCATATTTCTCACCAGAATTTCTTTTTCTTTTAATTTAGATTGCCATGCACAATTATTTTAAATTCCCTTCTTATAATTTGAGAGAGAAAAATATATAAGCATTTATTCATGGTAACCTAATAATAATCAAAATTTAATGTCATATTGTTAGATCACTCATAATATTTTATTCGTATTTTCTCGGCTGGATTTGTTAATTTATTTCAGTTTATCTATTAATACCAACAACACTCTGAAGAAGCCTTTTATCCTTTACTACCAGTAATATTCTGAAGAGCAATTGTAGAAGAAGTTCATAAGAAAAATGATGAATTACTCTGAAGAATTCTTACATTTCTTAAATTTAATTTAACTTCATTATTGTATAAACGAATATTTTTTCAAAATTAATTCATTTATGTAGTTTACTATTTAGAAAATATAGTAGGAAATTATTTTTAGAAGCAATAAAAATTTTTTTTTCAGTATTTAGGCATTCAAATATGCGCCCAAATTAACGCTCCCTATTCTTCAACCAAAATTTCATGGAATACAGATGTTCCATAAGTTTTCTGGTTATTAAATTTCACTAGAAAAATTAAAAAATCCATTCCAGTACCCAAATATTCCCGGAAATCTTTTATTCAATGTACCAGAGGAAGGTCCACTACTGTTTGCTCCATTATTATTTCCTTTTGCACCAAACCATTCTGATTATATATCAGAGTGGCAGCAACTGATGTTGAAAAGGCGATGGACGGAAGAATTTGCAAAACAGCGCCAAATTGGAAACGATAAACCTCAATCAATTTATGTACGTAAGATCAATTTTTTTTGCATATTTAATAGCTATTTTTTTGTCATTTTCTTAAAACCAAAATTATTTAAAATTTATATTCTATAGTTTATTGTCTTCGATATTTTCTGCCATAAATTCTCTCGTTTGTCTAGGGTGAACTATCATTAAAGATGAAATTCGAGTGATATTGGAAACCTATTTGCACTTCCGTTTCCAGATGATAAATACATCACAATTAGAGAAGGAAGAAGAATTAAATCGGATGTGGGATTTACTGTTTATGATAAAGTTGTATGATAAATTTTGCATGTTAAATTATTTATCGGTTTTTTAAAGAATGTTAAAAGTAACGATATGGACGAAGAAGATTATGAAGTTACTAAGGCGAGATTATTTGTCTGGGATCAGTGGGTAAATGAAATTAGCAACGCCGATGTATTTGACAATGATCTCGTTATCAAGCATAAAGTTAGGCGATTTTAATAAAATTCTATGACAATGGAACTTATATATAATGAAAATAGAACGACTCAGTGGCTCTCTTCTCGCAACTCCGATGCCGGGGTTCTACTCAAGGCAGAAGAAAACCTATTTTTCAAGAATAGTGATGACTTATTCACTTGTACTTTTGTGACCCGGGCAAAATTTTCCTTGTCTAACTGGCCAGCGGAACAATTAACTAAGAATGTATCGTGGAAGTATTTTATGAATTAAAATGAAACGAAATAACTTTTTTTTTACTATATAGTTTACCCAACTTAACAAAATTTTTAGATTGAAAATCCCTTTATGACAAATGATGCATCCATCTTCTTTGATAATACCCGTACAGCCACATTATTGCTTGCAAATACAGTTGTCACGGAACCAGTTACAGTAGCGAAGAGTCCTTCCATTCAACTTAAATACCAAGTATATTATTGTAACCATAAGCTGATTCTTTCAAATTTCACTTGTTTTTGATCATTAAAAATTTTTTTCTATAAATAAAATTCAGGTTGAAAAAGCTATGGAAGTCTGGAAAAAAGCGTTAAATGAAAGAAATGCAGCATTTGATAAAGTTTATGCCGATGACCCAATAGTAAAGCATGTTGAAGCACTAACTAACAACGAAATTGCATTATCATTATTGGTTAATATCTTGATCAAATCTTTAAAAATATACGAAAATCATATTATATAATATATTTTTGCAGTAATTATTTTTCTTTTCAATTGTATTTACTGGAATTATAGAACGTTCAACCTGATAAATTGCCCGGCCCAAAGTATTCTGAAACCAAATATCCAATCAAAATTAATCCGCGATGCATGCCTCTAGAAGATTTCTGGCTTGATCCTGATATGCCTGGCTTCATTGGGCCACACGATTTGTCGAAATACGACGTCCCGGTTTTAGATCCACAAATTCGATTAAGACGTTTTTTTAACCGAATAATGGATCGTAAATGGAATGATATGATAGATGACCATTGGGAATATAAGCTTGGAAAGATCCATATGCGTAGTAAATTTTATTTCCAAGTTTGCCATAATTTTTTATTTTTAATCATTTTATTTAAACTAGAAATTTCTTTGATAATCGATTCTCATTTAGAATGAAATGCATGTTTTTGACTTCAAGCCAAATAAAAAACAAAGCAACATAGAAAATTTACTCCTAGTTTCGTGGTAAAACTCATGTCTAAAAACAAAAAATTGCAATGATATTTATAATTTTTTTACTAATTTCTTTTAAGTTTCTATAAAATTTTGTTTACCTAATTTTTCTTTTTCAGGTAAAGGCTATTTCATTACGAATTTTTTTGGTTGATAAATTCTTTTCATTTTATTTTTCGAGCTTTTTTTCTTCAAAAAACCATCACCATTTTTCACTTGGCTGACTAGCTACACGATTATTTCACAGAGAATTATATAGTGGATAGAAGTATACCGCATGGATTTTAATAACGTATTCTCATTTATTCCTATCAATGGTTAGGAAGCGAATGGATGAGAAATAAAACTAAATTAGTCGAGACAACACAACAATAGACCATTCAGATAGCCGATCAAAATCGAAAATATTTTTTGCCACTTGGCTATTTGTTAACATATTTGTTATTGGCTATTTGTTATTATATTATCTATATCTATAAAATTTTTATTTATCATAAGCCGAGAAATAATGTACAGCTCGTTTATTATCTTTTACTTACGTTTCCGATTTTTTTAATAAAAGATTTTGTATTATTCTGTCAGTGAAAGAAAATTCATAACGAGAAGATTTTAACCAAAAAAAATCCGAAAAAAACATTCATCGTTTCACTGAATAAAGAACGACAAATTAATAATAGATCAGGCTAATGAAAAATGAAGGATAAAATAAAAACAAATCATTGGTTTGGCTTTGATCTACGCCGGTTTCAATAAACATTGTTGGTGAATTTAGCCAGAAACTTAAAAAAAAATCAAATGACCTAAAAAATGAAACAGAATATACGGACGAAAACATTTCATCAACCGAAATAAAAATACCTGTGAATTTCAACTTATTTGCGCTTAAATAACATTTTTTTTTCCAAAATTTTCTTCCATTATTACTTCTTCCATCGCTCAAATATAAATATTTATCATTATAATTTGACAGGCTTGACAAAATCCCTGAAAAAAATAAGAAATTTCTCCTAATTCTGCATATCCATCTACTTTTGAACAACAAATGATAATTGGAAATTTTAAACGACAGTCACCCTCTCTATTGACTTGAAAAATTAGAAAATAGTTTCTTCAGATATATTTGTGCGACTATTTAAAATTTCATAGAAAAAAATACTGAATACAAATACAAATTTCGTAAATTTTATGAGGTTTTATTTGTTTATATAAATTGTAAGTTCAGTGTTAAAGAATATCCAATTAGATTTAAAAAAATAAGATCATTTAATTTAAAAGTTTGTTTAAAATTTAATTTTTTTAATTTTTTCCTTTCGGCATTTTTAATGTATTTTTTTGTAAATAAAATTTCGCTTTCCGCCAGTATTTCAGATTCTTTCAGATTATTATGGTTGTGCTCTAGATTCAAAAAAAGATCTGCTCAAAGCTTATTCGTAACATTTGTTGTTTCAATTTTGATAGAGCGCTGTTTCCATAATTTTTTTCTCTTATTATATATATATATCATATAATCCTCAAAATGAAGCGAATTATCTACTCGAACAATGAAATAGAAAACTTTTTTTGTCTTCTTAATTGTACGCTTTTTTTCATTGTGTTGAGAAACTAAGAAAAAAGAAAAAAAGATAGAAGGTATAAATGGCAAATGCCGAATTCTAATTTATTCTCAACCAGCAATAATTAGACTTTCCCCATTGCTGGCTTAGTAAAGAATTCTTGCCAATGAGTCGCCTGAGGACAGAAATATGACTGGATTTGCCACTTCACGCAGATATTTTAATGGAAAATAAGCTTAGCTTCTGTCAGAGATAGGATCCGTGCTTTCATACAGTCGGCAAACTGAGCAATAATCATCATGTATTATTCTTTTTCTACATTTTCAACTTTCCTAATTTGATTTGATCCACTAACAACTGGTTTTGAGCAGAAGCCACGTAGCATTTCTTGAGAGAAAGCGAGAAAAATTTATAAAAAATAGATCCACAGTAACTCCGAGAAAGATGCAGGAATTATATGAGAATTGCAGAGCAGAATATAAAAATTTTCTTTTTGAAAAAAATTCAAAATTTCACATAAACGTCTTAATTGAAAATTCCATAACAAGGAGGATCACAAGCTTGGGAGAAAAAGAATTTTTTCTCTTTTTAAAAGTTTTTTAAATAGATTCTAGGAAGATTTAACTAAATTTTAATCTTCCTCTACCTCTATTTTCCTTCTTTCGGTCCTTGTGCACTGTACTCATATTTCTTTTCTCTTCTTTTCTTGCTTTTCGCTTTTCCATTTTTATTTTAAGACATTTATTTTTCGTTTTATCCGTTATTCATGGCTTCTACAAGAAAAAAAATGCTGAATATGCAGCCTATAGTTTTATTGCTTACAAGACAATAGAATATCGATGTGAAGCAGCATTTTTGCATTTTCTAACAAAATTAAGTTGTTAATGTACAACAGTGGAAAACTTTGGAAAAAACCGACAAATGCAAAAAAACATACAGTTGGAATACTTCTAAAAACTGTGGGACAGTTTCATAAAAATGTTTGATGAGTGCGAAAATGGATAAAAGGCAGATTATACGAAATTTAAAACATCATATGAAACTTTAAATTTAATGGCTCAAAGAAAAATCGCTTACTTTGCATGCAGCAGTGTTTGCTGTGGTTTCGATAAATTAACCAAATCAGTGGAATGCTCCATTAAGCAAAGCAATGGAAGAAGTAGTTCATGATTTGAAAGAGCAATAGTTGAGCATTTGTAAGTCAAAAAGTTTTCAAACTGTGTTTGTTGATTTGAAGATAAACAGCATTTTCAAAACCATTATTTTATTTTTTATCATTTTTGAGTCCTCAATCCAAGACTTACTTGCCTTGCAGGAAAAAATTTGTGGATGTATGCAAAATGAGTTTATAGCAATTTTGTTAATTCAACTTTTTAATATCCGCAAAAAATACTTCCACAACACAAAATTTTCTTTTCTATATTTTAAGCAGTCTATTCGTTATTTTATAGTGTGGCTTCTTCATTTTGCTAATGAACCATACAGATTTATCCTTTAAATTTTAAAAATCATCACTTGCTATATATTTTTATAATTTCATACGAAAGTTGGCTGGTGCAGAGTTTTAAAAATTCACATTTTTTCTATTACACGACATGTACCATATATTGTATGTATTATCGTAAATATTAACCTTTCAACTATGAGTGAAACCACCTTTTGAGTGGTTTCATGAGTGATTTATATTTATCTTGGAGAAGTTTTTTATAATCACTTTAGGTTGCGTTTATATTGAATGTGCGCTATTTAGCTTTTTAGCTTTTGAATGCTTTTAATTATTTAAGTTATTTGTATTTGTTTATCCATTTTTTTCAATTTTTAAGCTATCTTTTGATCGTCGTTGTTGATAATCTTAATTTGTTTTTTATTAATTTGTCATATATATTTGAAATTAAAAACTTAATCATTTGTTCTCTTCTTCGCGAATTATATATTTCCGTGTAATAAGACCACACACAATCATGTCATTAGCATCAGTGGGCAGGTGCTATCATGCGTAAGTAGATAGATGGCTCGATAGATCGTCAGGTAGGTCTTCTTGAAGTACAACTTGAAGTTTTTCTTTGGTTGCGCGCCTTTAATTTGCCATCTTGAATTAATTTGCCACATTCCACTGAAAAGTTTTGTCTTATTTATCGTCAATAATGGATGAATCCAAATTTTTTAACTCGAATTTTTTTCCCTTCTAGTAAAAGATTATTTACTCAATAAAAATCTTTTTTTTCGTCGTATTAGTCTAAAATAATAAAAAAATTCGTATATTTATTGTTATTTATGAATATCTTTTGTTTCGGATAAGATTGGATATTTTATTGATTCAAGCGAAAATTTAAGTACAAAAAACATATGTTTTTTATATATATATATTTGCTTACTATTATACTATGATGTTTTTTATTTATTAATTTTAAATTTTTTTTTTTAAAGCGTTCATCACCTATGATTAGCATTATTCTGCTGGGTTAACGAGCCGAGCAAATTTTGCTAAAGAACCCCTCGGATAGATGCACAAGTGGATTTTCACGACAACTTAGATTTCTTAAGAAAAATTAACTTATTCTTACTCCCACTCGGAGTAAAATTCCAGTTTCTTAAAATGCCTCATTCTGCGTCGTTTTAATTAAAATTTATAAATTTAATTAGAAAAAATATAATGGTTAACGAATTACAATAATTTAGCAGAAATAAAAGAGGATAATTAAGAAAAGATGTTTCCGAAGCATTTTGCCTTCCTTGATTTGCTTTCAGTTATAGCTATTGTTAGCACAATTTGCTTATTTCTTTGCGGAATGTAAGTTTTCTTCATTTTTTCTCAAAAACGAATGGTTATAATGAATAAAAATGAGTGAATAAAAGACGGTTTTATTTCAAATGAATTTCAATAAATAAAAATTAAACTTTTCGCTATTTACCAACCTTAACAGCCATTTTTTAAATTTTTTTTACTTTGAAGTTGCTTTTGAATTCTTAGCTTAATTAATTACTTCGAATTATTCGTTGAACACAGTTATACACCGTTGAAAAAAAAAACTGACTAATCTTTGGCAGTGTAAAGAAGAAAATTTTAAAAAATATCATATGATGAAAAATGCAAAAAATCATCTATAATTCTAACAAATCTATCAAAAACTTATAAAATTTGTTCGGAAACTTATCATTTCTTTACTTATAGTCCAATATGCAGAAATATTTGGAAACGCGGCGGCACAAAAGATATAAGTTATACACCATTTCTTATGGGATTAATAGGGTATAATTTTTAAATTTATAAATATAAATCCTTTCCTCTCAAAAAAAATCTGTATTTAACTAATCTATAGACCTATAGATATCTGTAATATCTACACTTATGCTGTACTGGAAAAAAAAGGCGAATTTATGTGGACATTTCCATCAAATTACTTTACATCATAAACCATGAATCATATCATTAATTATCATAAACCATGAAATTTTTGAAGGAAATCATCATAGAACAAAAGTGATTAGCTACTTAATATAGTTAAATTTTTTCTCCAAAATAAATAACTCTTTCATATAAAATATTCATAAATTTCTATTATATAAAATTCTCTTCTATTATATTGTGTATAAGGCTCTAAAAAAGTGGTTAGCGCTGTAAGACTATCTTGCTAACTGTTAGCATGATTAGAAATTTTTGTCAGGGCATTGTTTGGCAACAGAAATACCACCCGGATTTTTTAAATGATAAGTTTATTTCTGTCAGGTTATACTTTTGATGCTTTATGTTCATTTTTTAATTCTAAAATTTTACCGGCTATAAATTGTTAAGTGCTTCATTTTGGTTTCGATATGGCTTATTGAAAATGGATTATACGATGATAATGGTAAATATAGTTGCAGTTATACTTTATAGTATTTATTCAATATTTTACTTGTATATGTCGAAAGAAAAGGTATGATGATATTGTTGAAGTTAATAGCTGATTTTTGAACACAAATGGATAAATTAAAATATTAATTAATGTTAAAAAATGAAAGTAGTTAAATCTTATCATATACATTAAGCTAAAATCTTATCATATACATTAAGTACGCGATGCTAGAAAGGAGTCGCTCAACGATAGAGCGCCAATCGCCTTTTTTTAGTGGCAGGTTCATCACCGGCACAGAATCAAACCCATAATCCTCAATGCGAGTCCGAAAAACCATACTAAAATCAAAATTTTAAATTTGAATGAAATCTATGAATTTTTGGGCAAAAACTTTCCATTTTTATAAAGAACTTGAAGACACAAATAATATGAAAATTTAGCATGTAAGAATGAGAGAGAGACAGATTATAAGGTTGAAATTTAAAAATAATTTTAACCATAAATTAATAATCATTCCAGATGATCGCCTGTTTGCTAATTATTATTGTAATATTCTCAATATCATTAATGGCGTTTTTCGTGCAATTTTACGGCATCCGAACAATCGATATACTGGGATTCACTTGTATGATGCTAAATATAATAAATTTTGGATCACCTCTTGCTGGTCTAGTAAGTTTACTTTTAAAAAATTATTGGGCGATGCCAAAAGTGCGAATTTACAGAACTATTCCATCGAATGACCTAATATGTGTTAAAAACTTTGCGAACTCTATTCATCGAATTTTATAAATTCTAATGAATGTAAATTCAAGCTATATTTTCAACGTATTTTTGTTCAACCTTACAAAATCGAAGAGTTTATAGAAATCAATCGTATAATTTATTTATGCTTTAAAATCCGAATATTTGTTGATTAAAGCAAAAAAATATTTCATGCAACAAGAAAAATTACCATAAAGCATCCTATTATTTTAAAAATTCACTGAATAATTAAACGATTTAGAGAGTGGTTCTTAAGCGATATTCATGCGATACACTTCCTTTACCTTTATGCATCGGAAATCTATTTGTATCAACTGAATGGTGTATGTACGGTATTTTAGTCCGAGATATATATATAATTGTAAGATTTTAAGATTTTCATAAATTTATTACCAAAACTATCTTAATCTTAATGATAAAATCATGTAACATAATAAATTGAGAGAAAAATTGTTTGTCGCACCAAGATTCTAAAAAAAATAAAATAATAGTGGCGAATTTAATAAAAGTATAACTCAAAGTTTATAGCGGTTTTTTAATTTTTCTAAATTTTATATTTTTTAAAGAGTGAGAGATAAGCTGATAAGAAAATAATTTCATGAAAATAATAGTTTTATGTTAAATTTTAAGCTTATGACATATAATTACGACCAATGCCAATAAATTTACTTAACAAGTAAATTAATATTTGACTAGATGGGATAAATTAATGAATTATATTTTTAGATTCCAAATGCTGTAGGAGCATTATTAGGATTGGTGCAACTTTCACTTTTTCTTCTTTTCCCAATAAAACAAGGAGAAAAAGCTTTCATTAACATTTTTTTCGGTGAAATATATCGACGAATGAGTCAATACATTGAGTTGAAAAGTGGTTGGTACTATTTAATTTTATTTAATTCTGTAATATAACTAACTAATGTTACTGTGGACTATGTATATAGCAGGAAAGAAAAAATAGTAAGAAATCTGCAGATTTGCCAAGATCAATAAGATTGGTTATTTATTTTCATTTCCTTCATAGAGAAGGTCTTCAAATTTTATTTTAAGGAAGTAAAAAACGGAAGTTATGGGTTGTTGCTCATTTAGAAGCTAGTGGCCTCTTTCACACTAATTCATATTCTAAATTGTAAGTCTTCGTTTTATTCTTTAAACATCAATTGATTTGGTAATTTTTAAAAAATAGACTTGTTTCAATGCGTTTTCCAGATCTTTAGTAATCAAAATTTTTTCAAATTTTTTTATCAGTTTTATTAATTTTAATTTCATTCCTAAGCATTTACTATATCCATAAATTTATTCATCCATTAATTGATAATAAGGAAAAACAGTAATTCCAGGCAAAAACATGATAAAACAATATGCGAATCAGTTGTTCGGAAATTTTCACAGCCAGCTAATTTCCATATTATCATCGAAGAAAACAAAAATAGTGAAAATCAACAAATCAGTATGTTTATATGAATATAATCATTAATCGATTCTAATATTAGAAATGAAGACTAATCAATCTGAAGTTTGAAGTTTTTAAATTAGCGCAAATTAATTCTAAAATATTTTTATATATTACATTTATTATTATAAACTTAAAAAAGTATTTTTTTTATTTTCTTTTTCCAAAAATTTCTCTTAAAAATTTCTCTCACTTTTAAGATAAAAAAGTTGTTAATAAAACTTCCATTTTCTATTTTCACTTTTTTTTTCGTAGATAGTGGCATATCGAGTTCAAATGTATTGCGGAAAATCAGTGAAACTAGCTCTCTGAAACAATCCAAACGTTCTATTGTTACAGACATTGATATATGTTGAATATCTGTTGGTTTCCGAATGATTGCAATAAAATGTTTAAAAGATTAATACCAATTCAAAAAAATAACCAAATATTCTAGCTTCTCACTCTGACAAAATTATAGCTGATTTCTGATTTTAATAATAATAAATTGTTAACGATCACAAACTAACAATTACATGGTGATAATAAACATTCATAGGTGGATTTCGCTTAAATATAAATGCTTTAGCAAATAATTTTTGTATTTATTCTTGCATAACTAATGCTTTTTAAGTTGCCTAGCTTTGCTTTGCAGCTTAGACAAAACATCTTTTTTCACTATTCCAAGTCGCTATAGTCGCTAAATATTTAAACATATGTTTGTGTAAAATTTTAAATATTGGAAGTTTTTTATTTTGATTATTTTTAATTAAATATCTTGTTTTGAATGTAAATTTGATAACGTAACATATATGTAGTGATATTTTATAGATAAAATACTAGTTTTTAAAATCGAGATCTTTAACAATTCAGTAATATTGGAAAAAGAAATTCTGAATTGCTTAACGGTAAATAAAAATGCAATTAAGTTGGACAGAATACAGTAGAAAAATAAAATAGAAAAAGTGAGGAATCTGAATTTGCAGTCGAAAACAAAAGTTGTGACTATTTTTCAATGAGAAAAGTGGGAAAGGAAAAGAATGGATAAGCAGTTACAAATTTTTTTTAATTTTTTTAGCAATTAACAGCTATAAATAGATGATAGATACAAATCATAGTCAATTGTCCCTACTAGAACCACAAGAAAATTAAACTATTGGCTGGCGAAAAGAACATTTCCAAAGAAAAAATCCTTTTCTGAGGCCATTTCAAAAACAAAATTTTAGGTTGTTCATTCAAAAGTAGATTTCGCAAATTCGTTTTTTGAAAATATTTTTTGTGACATGAAAACACATGAATTAAAAAGTTTTAGTGCAATCTTTTGTTCTCAGTTAATAGAGATTTTTTTGTTATTTAAAAATGAACAAAGCAGAGCAAAAGGGCTATATGCTAGTTTAGAAAAAACAACGAACAAAAGTGATGAAAATACAGTATAACTTTCTTTCTAAAAGAGCTCACCATTGCTGGTTCTGCTCCACTGGCCGAACCAAATTTTGTCAAGGCTCACTATAGCAATATAACTCGACAGTTTAATTTAAGAAAGTATCAAATCCTTTTAATCGCAGAAATTGTTCGAGCTATTGCTTTTCTATTTATTCATTGTTTTACGAATTCTTCCCATGCATCCCAGTTTATCGATCCTTTTTAGTTTAAATCACTTGAGTTAATGGTAAGAAATTACCATATAATATATAAATTAAGAAACAATAGAGACAAAGAAATCATATGGCTATTAAATAATATATATATATATATATATATGACATCATCCTGCCATTTTTTAAAGCAGGATATAGAAGGAGGATAAATTACACTGTTAAGTAATTTCTTCCAGTAATTAATAGTGCGAATGAAGAAGCTCTCTTCTTTTTCAAATAGATTTTAAAAACTTCAGTTCGTTAGATTCAGCGGCATTCGAATTTAAGCTAAAGTTAAAAAATTTATGGCAGTATAGATCAATATAGCCATGTAAAATTTTATATACAACAAATTATGCTTTATTTTACAAATTAGAAAACATTTTCACATTACTTCAATTAATTTTTGCTACTCAAGTGGACGATAATATTTCCCTTAGTTCGTAAAAGATAAATAAGCCTATGATCCACGATGATGATGTGAGTGGATGCCTATTAGAACTCTCAAATATTATAGAGTGGAAAGAGGCTAGAAAACTGCCTGCATTGCTTTGGGCACTCCTGGGCACTCTTTATCCATCTCTCCTTAAAATCTTGAAATTTCCTCCAGGAAAGAATTTTCTATTAGTTGAGAACAATGATAACTGTGAAACGATGTTTTAGTGAAATATAACGAAAAAGTTTTTATCACCAGATATTGAGAAAATATGCATTTTATAAATTCATTGCCAATTAAGGATCAATGGGTCTTTCGCACCAAATAGTTAAGTGAAGTGCGAAAATAAAATCTGGATAACTGCAGATAGAAATGCGTTTTTCTGACGAAGTCACTATGGGAAATCATCAAAACGGAAGTCCGCATCTCATCTGCTGCGATTCGCTCGATCTTATTATAAGGCTAATGAGGGTGGAAGATATCAAAAAATTATCTATCTTTGATTACCCATGTTTAAGGTAGATTTAAGGTAGATTTCATTTGCCCGTCGAGGGGATAAATATACATTAACAACATTGTTACAGAATGTCACCTACTGATTAAGCTATGTTCTTTGCTTTGCAGGGATTGATTCATATCTATCTACGTATTAAGTCCCATGATGGATAAAGTCAAAAAAAAAGAGAGATAATCAAAAACTGGACCAATAGTTAGCATTCTAGGGTGGAAAAAGAAGTGATTTTTGTTAACTTCAGGCATGGCATCAGATTGATCGCATTAGGAGCGCCTTAGACAACAGGGCTAATCTAACTTATGATAGTGCAAGCTTTTAAACGAATAAGAAATCGAACTTAAGTTGTCTTTTCCTTTTTTAATAGATCTCTTCAACAATCATTTGGAAATAGAAATACAGATGGATCTAGATTTTATTTTTTTTGACAGGCTTAAACTCTTATTAAGCGACGAGCTTACGCTTTCGCTGAACATCTATGCTGCTTCGCATGTTTATAATCTGGCATAAATAGAATGAAGTTGTTCATGAATGAATGAAAAATATGTTTTATGGTTGATTTTAAAAAAGACATAGAAAGAAATGAAAATCACTTTAAAATTTTAACAATGAGATGTATAGCAAATAATTCTATATGTCCAGATATGGCAATGTCCAGTTTCTTAATGAAAACCGGTAATCGTTAATGTTAACTAGTTTTTCTCTGATAATAAAATCTGACCAATGCAACTTATAAACAATAGTCAATCGACGCTAAAAACTTTGTTATAAAATAGGAAATGTAGTATTGGAGCTATCCTATTCAAATGCTAATCCACTGAAAATATAAAAATTTATCTTATAAAGCATCATGAAACGAAACCATAAAATATTTCATGTTTGCCTTCTTTGCCAAAATATAGTATAAAACAGGTTATGAAGAATTTTTGTTTTCATTTAATATTGCCAAAAAAACAAATAAGTATCGTTTCATTACTCTTGAATTATAGCTAACTGTACTTTAATACTGCCAAATTAAAATCTTTCTCGAACAAAAAATTCAGCGAAATATGTTGCAGCTATAACCATCAACCGACCACGAACATTCTCATTTCTTATTTATTAATTAAATCGTTCATTTAAAAAAATTCTCAATAATTTTAAAATAACTGCATTATAAACTATATATAGTCGAATATTCAAGACATTTTTTATATTTGTTAAAAATATTAAAAATATTAAACAAAAAATTAGGCAAAATTTTTAAAATATGAATTTTAAAAAATAGATGTAAGGAAAATCGATGATAAAACTCTTTTATTTTGCCGAGATTTATGTTTCGAAACCAGCTAAGGAATTTCTTCATATCTCAGGCTTATTAGTTGATAATGACGGTCTGTTGGCCATTGTTTTGTTGCATATAAGCTGAATCAATAGTTTTGAGCGATCCACCACCAATTGTTCGATCTTTTCTCCAATCGCGGTAATAAATGAAAAATTTTATAGCGACGATGAGCAATAGTATGAGAACCAGTAGCATCAGTGGCAGAATGCACAATCTGACAATCGGATAGTAATCTAAAGTAAGCGAAGCAGTACAAAATGCGATTATAATTTAGCAACAAAATGTCTTTTGGTTTGTTTATATATAAATAGATTTTTATGCATAAAGATGAAGAGAAGTCAAGGAAATAAAACACACTAGAATGTCGAACAAGTAGACCATCAATAAGCCACCCAGTTTCGTTTGTTGATCTAAAAATCTCTCCAAAGCCTTCATGGATATTTGTATTGAAAAAACTCCAAATTGACAATATTATCTCCTTGACAGAAGAGATTATAGCCAAAACCTTAATTAAAATGTTCACAAAATAAAAAATTCAAGTTCATCTGTTCAATTTTAAGTAGTCAATTTTAAGTAGTTCAATAATCATATTTGATATTAACTTTAATATCATCAAGCAACTTCTAATTATGGCTACCAGTTTTTAATTCTTTCATAATTATCAATCCACGAAATTGTATCATATATCATGGCTTAATCCGATCCGAGTATTTTTTTAACCTACGAGGAATATAATTGCTGGTATGATGAGAAATTCGTTCTTGACATAAAAAGCAGCAAATATGCCAACGATTGCCAATATTTCAAGCAGCAAATAAATTCCATATAATATTCTCATTGGCATGGCCATACCCATGAAAAAAATAAAAAAAAGATCGTGGAAAAATTGGTAGGCTATCCATCCGACCAAAGCAAATATCAATTTCTGCAAGTTATAAGATTATAAAAAAATGTAATCAAGTGGAAAAGAGAGCAAATTTCAAAATTTTCAAGAATTTATAAAGGAAAAGTTTGAGCTTTTACAGTATTATAAATCATGGAAAAATTGCCTGTCTACATTTTTGATATTAGAAATTATTTTTGTCCAAATTTTTGAAATTTAATCAGGCTAAAATCAATTTCAAATCGTTTAAAAAACATGCTGAATAAAAATAAAAAAATTGCTTCTGAAGTTGCAAAGTGAAATTGATTTGAGAAAAAATTTTAAAAAAATTTTACTCGAGAATGAAGACAATTGCAATAATACTTTTTATTTTGATGGTTGAAAGGTGCAATTCGAATACCAACCATTTTATTTAATGAACGATGTTAAAGAAAAATATATATTCTTAAGTTGTAATTATAAATGAATCGTTGTCAATATAAACGAGTTGGGTAAGTCGTCCATCAGTCATCCATCCTTTCGTATTATCGTAAATATTTTGCGGTATATTAAAGAATGATCAATTCTCATTTAATAAAAATTTATCGATCGCTGAAATTCCATTTAAACAGATGAAAATCGCTTGGCTAGCCTGGTGTTTTTCAAACAATTGTTGATATAAATTTTTTTGTAATTATTTTGTCCGAGTCAAAAATTTTATGAAGTTTCTTAGAAATTTTGTCTCAAATTAGTTATAAGATGGCTTGACAAATATTTTAGCTATTTAAGATATTTTAGCTATGAAACTTGCTAAATTATCAATTAGTATTTAATTTCAATAGCATGAAGAAATTAACAAATAAATGTTAAACTGCCTTTTTTTGCATGAAACATGTGAAGTGGAAATAGAGAAGAAAAAGCGCAAGAAATACCAGAATAATAAGTTATTCATTTACATATGCCGAATTATTAATATTAATATTAATATTCTCCAAAGAATTATATTTCTTAACGTTTTTTTTCGAGAAATGTTTACTTCTCGAAAATGTTTACTTCTGCTGTTTGGATGACCATGCATGTAAACTGACAAATTGTAAAATCATACATTTTACCAAAATTTTTCGCCTAATATTGTATTCTAATTGTATTCTATACAGCCAAATGACCAAAAATTACTCATAGGAAGCATTTGCTTTTGCCAGTATTTCGTTAAATTTAACTGCAACATTTGATGTTATCTATGTAATTATATTTTTTGCTTGTTGATTTGTCTTTCATAATGGCTCAGTGGCTTTTTTCATCTAATGTAAAATAATAATGAAATAATGGAACAATAATGGATGACATAAGATCCACTTGTCATTATCGCCATTTTTTGAGTTTTTTAGTTGGCATAGCTAAGTTTGGCTACAGAGAGAATCGGGTCTCAAAATGATTCTAAAATTAAAGGAAAATCAATTTACATTGGATCAATTTTTAAATATCACTTCCCAAATAGTTTGTTTTCGTTAATACTTATTTAATTCTACTTATTTAATTTAGCATTCTTAATATTCTGCAAATTTATTTGGTTATTATGATCATCTTATTTATTGTTTATCCAAAAAAGAATCATTAAGCAATTTTTTGCAATATTTCGAAATACTGTAGAAGGAATTCTTTTCGAAGAATTCTTAAATTCTTCGATTCAGTTGGACAGTAATAAATATTTTTATAGGTTTAAGTAAAATTCATTCAATCATCGACTTCTCATTTTCTGTGATATTAAATACAGCAAAAATGGTACTGAAATTTATATCTTAATTTATACAGTACAAACATTTCTAAAATATCGAAAATTTCCATAGGCCAATGGAAAAAGAAATTTAGCTTAATGGTGATTTTTAAAAAAATACAATTAAATTTTAACGAATTACGGAAATTTCATTTATTCATTGAAAATTTATGCCATACTCTTGAGTCCTTTGAGTCTTAAAACTTGCATGGCATCTAATTCGAAAATTTTCTATCTATTTTGCTTTAAATTATACCAATCAGCCAATTTTAATTATCGATCGAGGAAAGACTTTATTTCCACAGGCAAAATAGTAGCATTTAAAAAAGATATAATATAGCATTTATTCACAGGAAATCAAAATTTCATTTCATTTACGACAAATAAGCAAAATAAAAACTGCAACAAGATGTGAGCTGATGATTTAAATAAATAAGAGATTTACAATTCTATTTACAACTTCAAATTGAAGTCAGGTATATTGAATGAGTTTAAAACATGGAGAATTGCGGAAGTTTTGAGAACATCGATGCCGAGTTAAAATTTTCTTCAAATCGAGGCAAAACATAAATGAAACTTGATATGGTCATTAAAGAATCAATTTTTTAATCAATTTTCTTCCACCATCTTTTTAGAGAAGGATGTTGGCGATAAATAAATTTCTTGATGACATTTCTTTAAATCGGGTATACTTTTCCTTTTGTTATCGTCATCATTTTTGGCAAACTATTATGAATAAATGAAATCTGGCTGTGAAACTCTTGCATTTCAACCTTCTTAGCCATAGAAGCAGGTTCCACTACCGTTGATGCATCTGAATTTTTCCCACTCTTTTCGCAGTCTGGTTGAAATGAATACACCGAATTCTGACTATTTTTGCGCTCCAATTGATCTTTATAGGCAAATCTAGGATGGTTCACAATAAAAAATAAATAAATAAGTGAATAAGTGAACAAATATTTACAGTAACCACTGTAACTTATACGGAAATGGTAGTTATGGTATTTAATATTGCCATTACTGCCAATTATTTATTATAAAAGTTTACAAATATTGAAAAAGGAAGATAGCTAGATAGCTGGTAAAAAAATGCAAAAAACCGCAAAAAATTGTAAGAAATTGCAGAACTACAAACTAAAACTTAATTCCACGAAAATAAATCAAACACCATGACTGCTTAACCAAAAACTGACTGCTTTTTAACTATTTGCTTCTCGAATAACCTATCGAATTCATCGGTAACATTAGCTATGATTCTCACAGACCAATTCTGCTTTTGAGCAAGTTTGTTGCCATCACCATCAATCACTTTGACTGGAATAAGAATAGAAATTTTTGTTAAATTCTGATGAATTTCAGTAAATAGCAAATTTTCTGAAATGCTCAGAAAAGAGCTGAGTAATGCGGAATATAATTAGCAAATAATAATAATTGTTATCGCTTATTCACTTTTCTTACCAGAATCAGGTTCCATATCTTCTATCTTGCTACGATTTCCCAGTGCAAGAATTTTCCTCAATGGACTTTGTTGGCCCTCTTTGCGAGGAAAAATAACAAAAAGTAGTAATTGTCCAAAGGAAAGAACTGAGCCGAATCCATTGGGAATCTAAAAATTAATCTTTCAGTTTCTTTCAACCATTTTTTCTGATTAAAACTTTTTTCTTTATAATAGCTACTCAAAATCATGAATTATAAAAATTTCACCATTAAATATATATCTTCCTTTAGTGCACCATAGGCAAACCATATTGCTGAAACAAGATAATTCGCGGTGCAAAGAGGTAGTGGAAGTGTCCTTGTTGAACCATTTCTCAAGACATATTTCTGAAAATAAAGTACGAGCGAAATTCATATCGTAAATTCGTAAATTCTCTTTAACTTTAAAACTTTAAAATAACAATTTTAATAATAAAGTTTTAAGAATATTAAACGATCGTTTAAATTTTTTATGTCTCGGTTGTTTTGATCGCCATAATATTCAACCTAGTATATTATTTTCATATAAATAACGCGTCATTTTTGTTCTAAAAGTCAAAGTTTGTTGCTAAATTTAATCGGAAATTATTTTGAAATTATAAACTAAATTTTAAATAAAATTTGACTTTAGTTCATAAAAAATATATTTTTATTTAAGAAGTGTAAGAAGTGTTTTGTCGTCATCTTATAAAAAATAATCAAAATTTATATATATATACTAGTAGCCTTACCAATCCTAGAAGAGGTGTTCCAAAATCAAATGTATTAAGAAGAAGACATATAATGCCTAGTGGATGTCGAGCTCTCGTCTCAAATAGTTTAATAAGTAAGTATAATATTGTGATTACAATTAAAACAATTCCAACCATCAGCGACGATTTGGTCTATAACATACCAATATTGAAGATCACCAAATAATAATAGTTTACAGACATAACTTGGTAATAATTTGAGATTTAATGTTTATGGTTGAAAATAAGCAAATTTTGAAACTAGATTTTTACCGAAAATTTTTCAAGGATTAAATATTTTTAATGATTGTTTTACCTTTTTCTTAGACATTATCCAATAGAATATCAAATAGGATGAATAAAGAAGAATTTGAACACTTGTAACAGCAAGTACTGTCTTATCATTTTTGAGATGCCCATATGTCCACCAACAAGAACCTCTTAATTATTTGTTCTTATTTGTTCTTTAAGCACAAATGAAAAACGATTAATTTACAAGTCTTCTTAAGATTCCTCACCATTACTGGTAAAACTCGCTCCACTGGCTTGTCGCATTGAGCAATATGTCAGGGAGTCCCTTGGCGATAGAAGTATAGGTGAGTCGCCAGCATCACACCGATTTTTGTACAAGTTTGCTCCTGTGGGGAATCGAACAGCAGCTTCTGCTGCTCCAAATTGAGCAACAACCCACTGAGCCATCCTACCCCCAATTTACAGTGGTGCATTATTAGTACATTCAAAATTTTTGATAATTTCTTTATCTTATTTCATTATATTATTATTCGTTGAAGCATTTACGCTCATTTAAGAGCATAAAATAATCGAAATGATACATTCTTGCAATAACTGAAAGTGTAAGAAGAAAGGTTTACCCAATGACTCCCATAGTAAATGGTCCTCCACTTATTTCTTTCGTATCTTTTCTCTTCCATATTTGTCGGCAAATACCTCTGATAAAAAAATTACTTCAATCGAATTTCTTAATGGAATTTTACTTTATGATAGAATTATCCTTAACAAATGAGAATTAAAATTTTTTTCATTTTTTTAAGACTATGAAAAAAAACGCAAGAGAAAAATCAATGGTTACATGCAACTGAGAAATAATCCCACGGTGATAAAAAAAGCGAATATCGATAAAATATTTAGTAACGTTATACCGTCGGTGAAGATCTCAAACATTTCTCAATATCTGAGTCGTCTAAAACAATTATTAAATTAACTAAATATGCATTTAAGCTTTTTTTGTTCGAATTCTTCGAGATTAGATTAGATTTAAGATGAATATAAACAATACAAAATTTTTATAGTTTTTAATTTTTAAAGGATTTTTCATAATTTTCGTAATATATGATATAATCTTGCTTTTTTTTTAAAATGCGTTTAAATTGAAAAATAAAAAAATAATTGATAATGTAAAGTCGTGTTTTAATTGAATCATGATCGGTTTCACCCGTTAATAATCTGATGATTTTTAGGTGCCTAGCCAATCGGACACTTTGCATTAAAAACTATAAAAATTATAAAACGTTGTTTTTTCTTTTGTCCAGGAAAAGACCAGGAAAATTCTGCCAGAGATGAACTTGGCGCTAGAAATGGAGGTTGGTTGCCCGGAAAGATAGGTTTATTCTTGCCGGAAATGAAAACAAAAACCCACTGCATTTTACGCCATTCTACCTTTCAAAACTTGCCTTTTCTTTTTGAATTACGAAGCGATTACGATTTCAAAAATTTTTCTAAGTTATATAATTTGAGGAACTTTATGCTTAGCAATCTATTTAAATTTACAAAAATATTTTAAATTTCAATAAATAATATTGAATAGTGCAAATTTTTTCACAATATTCTTAAAAATAAATATAAAAAACTAGAAATAAAGTAGAATTAAAAATAAAATAATGAAGCAAAAAAAAGGCTTAAAAATGTAAAAAAAAATGAAAGAGATAGTCACAAAAATTTCTGAAATTTCTACTTTTTACGAAAAAATATGAATTGCTTGGCATTAAACGCTGAAATTAAACCAAATCAAATTGAACTAAAAAATTTCATTTCATCCTTAGTACTTTTTATAAGTTTATTCGTAGCCTGCAAAATTTTTTTTCGTACTATGTAATATCCATAGGAGATCACCACTTTCACCAGTGAATCAAATGAAGGCAGATCAGAAGCAAGTAGATCATGCTCTCAGATCTCGCTCTTTAATGACAGGCTTATTTTTGTCAAGGAAAAGAAATCGAAACTTACCTTCGGCCGAAGCAACCGAAGTATATAGATTGCTCATTATTACTCAACAGCCAGGGTTCTTTATCCATAGGATAACGAATTGAGCTATATTATTTGCAACACAATAAGCGAGCATTTCGCAACCGACAAAAATAATTAGGTAACGCTTCTTATCAAATTCGACAAATCGTGGTTACGAACAATTTCAGAAATGATCGCGGCGATGAACTTTTTCGTAATAAAGGGGCGAATATGTGTGAAAACAAAAGAAAAGCGTGATCTTATAATTATTTTCATTCGTATTTCATTAAATAACTTTATTTTCGCTATTCTATCACGTGAAATTCACACTTTAAATATTTTACTTTAAACATATTCTGCAAATGTTTTTTAAACAAAATGCTTTTTTCGCAACAATGTAATTTAAAATAATTTATAATTTTAGGCCAGAAAAATAAAAATGGATTCTTATGTCAGCAAATATTCAAAAAGCTGAATTCCATAGGAATTAATTTGATAATTACAAAAATTAAGAATTTGATTGGCTAATTTGCCATTTTCTATTATTTCCATTTTGTGTTTTATTAATATATTAAATTTTTATTATGAGAAAAGTTTTGCTACACTGGAAATGGAGCCATTTATTTCAACGCGCGAATTGTCATTTCAATAATTTAAAATGCGAAATGCATTTATTATAGTTGTATTTTCCAAAAAAAAGATTTTTGTAAGAAAATAAAGTAGTAATAAAGAAATTCCTGAAAAGGAACGTCATTTTGTCATGGCACAATACATCATCTTAGACAATATATGACGAGGCCTAACTAAACCGCACATTTTATTTCATCAAAGGTAACTGAATAATGTTTAATTTGATTCCATTTGATTATACTGTAATACTCTTATTTTATCTTCATTTTATAGAATGGTAATTGATTAGTTCGATTTTCAAATAAAGGAATTTTAGCCAGAAAAACTATAAGAAAACAAAATTGTGAAATAAAATATGAAATCATACTTCAAAAATGCTTTCCAAAAATTTTTTCATAATCAAGTGTAGCAGTTTATAGAATGGGCAGAATTTACGATATGCACATAATTCTTCAAAAGTCTCTATGCTTAAGTTGAAAATGATATATTAATATATGAAATTTCAATTACTTTATCGAGCTCTAGCAGCAATCAGCAATGTGAAAATTTAAAAGAAAGTTTTTGAAGAATTATAGGATAAGAATTTGATGATCATCTCTGAAAAACAATGTGAAAAACAAACGTTCAGACGCGAGTTTGCATGGCCTAAGACATCGACTCGTAAGTTATTTATATGATTGAGAAATTTTTTCTAAACTCCGATAAATAAGTCTCTACCTTCACTATAACAAACATCTCATTTCTCGCATCAATGCGACATTAAACGCCTGATGGAGTGGTGAGATTTCAGCGATAATGCACCTTTGCTTGGAGCAAATTTAATATATATAATTTTATAGAAAATTGTGTGCTTGTTTTGCAGCTGGTTGAAGCAAACAAAATTTTAAATATAGCGGAACATAGCAAACCATAATCCAAAATCTATTCAGTCAAGATTATTCAAAATAAATTTGTGATTGACCAAAATTTTAAGCGCAGCATAATTGAAAAAGCAAAAAGACCAGTGCCGATTTTGACCCATTCTTTTTAGGCTGAATATTCACGACTGGGGCATTCATCGAAATCATAATGTTATCTTTCGTGTTTTTCATGTTTCACTGGCTTTATTCAGTTTTCATCTTGCTTTCTATATTGGTAATGTTGCCTTAAATATAAATATTTAAATCTCTTTTCCTGATTCGCTTTTTGGCACACAACTAAACTAACTACGCACCACTCTGTTTGATGAAAATACCTTATCAACCTCTTTTGATTCTTGATTGATCAATATTAATTTGTTGATAAGACAGACTGCTAGTTCAAATCCATTTTTCATTTTCCGACCCTATATTATTAGCCTTTTCGCTTTTACCGTTTCGAAGTGAATTTTGGAAAAAAGAAATAATAAATTTTATTTATCTAGTTGTTTCCGTATCATATTATAAAAAGACCGATCAATGAAATTTCTAGAAAACTGAAGAGGAATCACTTGAAATCCGTTGAAATTAAAAATATAAAACTAAGTGCAAAAAAGTAAAGTGTTATGGAAATGGTGGCTAACAGAAAAAGTGTTATGGAATGATAGAAACAGATTCCACCAACATTCAATTTTATTATTATAATATTAACTTCAAAATATTCTTTCAGAACAGATCAATAATATAAATATATTGAAAAAATGAAATATATCAGGAGTGCCATTTTTGATGCTTTAAATCTTTGGCACACTTCTTAATCTGGCAACTTTGATAAGATTTATCTTTTATCTTGCTCATTGCAATTAATTTTTAATCTTAAATTGTTATCAAATCATTTCATTTTACTATTACTAAAGTATTTTGAATTTTGATTAGAATTTGAAAATTATTCTATATATTTATATATAAAAAAATATATACAAGATATACATCCAGATTTTTGATGTAAAAAAGTATTTATAATATACTTATAATATATAATATGAAAAACTTCGATTTATAACATTTATAAAGAATTAAAACTTTTTCTACTTCTTCTTCTTATAGCTCTCACCATTACTGGTTAGGCTAGCTCCAACGGCTACAAGGGTAAAACACTTCCAAGCGGCGCAGTCGGATGCCATCTTGACAGTAATAGAAGCCATTCCTTTTTCCACCATTCATAAGCTCATATATAAAAGAATTAAAACTGGGAGAAAGAAAATTCCGATCATATTAATTTTCTATTTTATTTATTTTATTTGCTTATTATTTACTTTATTTTTTTATTATTATTTTCTTAAATGTCACTCAAATGATTTTGTTTTTTATTTGAAATTCCTGGAGCTCTTTCATATAACGAAATAACGAAATCTTTTGATTTAGTTTGGAATTAAATAATCATATCAATGGAACTCATAGGATAACAAATAATCATGAAGAGAAACCGAATTCTGAATAGGTTAACTTTCCAAAAAATAATTTGGAATCATACATAAATAAATAAAGATTAAAAAATTCATAGGCTTAGGGAATAATTTAAAAAACAAATTCATTTTTTCAAGGTCTTGCTAAAATTGAGGTTTTTAAGCCCAATCGACATCATTCGAAAATTTAATTTAATTTAATTTTTTCATAATTTACATATAAAACGTGTTTGAAAATGTTATATAGTCGAAAATGCTGTAATTTTAAATCAGATTAAGTAATGATCACAATCCGAATGGGATGGTCTGGATGGTTAGGCACCAATATATATCGCTATTCTTAAACGACTCTCTGGTCTGGTGAAATGATTTCATCCTAATCCATTCCATCCAACCATCGAACACAAATGGTAAATGTAGTACAATAAGAATGAAAAATATGTGCTCAAACATGAGCAAAAGGACAACAAAAGGAGGCAGAATCAGAGGTTGACATTAAAATCTTATTAATTGTTGCATAATAACTTGATAATTTCTTCTCCTTCTTCTAGCAGTTCTCAAATTATTGATTAAACTTGCTCCATTGGCTACAAGGATAAAAAGTCCAAGGTGTTCGATTCGACGCCATCATTGACAATAATAGAAGCCATTCCTTTTTCCATCGTCAAAGTCCATATATAGCTGGTCTATCTATACATTCAAAATCTTTCCTCAACATATCAGTCCAGGTCTTGATTGGGCCACCTCGCTTTTGACGCCAACCGTCACAGAGTTTATCAAATAACGAAATATATGCCAACTCTCTAGTTGGCAACGAAAAATGTACTCTCACTTGCTAAGACGACACTCCGTGACGGCATTGTTAATGCTGGTATTTCAATGAAGATGTATACAATAATGTGAGATTTTGCCTGCTCGATGAATCCGCTTAATGTGTTGTGAGTGGCTAAAGGTGCATAACTTCTTAATATCCTCCACTCTCATTGGCTATATCTTGCAGCTATATAGCAATAACATTGAGCAAATTGCAGCATGTGGAACGTAGACTTTCGTTTTTATGGTGATTTCACGACGCTTCAAAAAAGATTTCCGAAGCGGAAGAATGCATTTCTAGCTGCCGTTATCCAGGTTTCTGCTATTTTTTTGAAACTATCAAGAGATATGGAAAATATCTACGAATAAATTCCAAATCCAAGAAATCCAAGTGATGTTACGAGAAAATGGAGGCTGCAAAAGATCATAGAACATTACGAAATGACCGGAAATGCACTGAGAATTTAGGGAAATTTGTCAAAGGGATTAGAAGAAATACGAGAAGAACAATCAACCGAGCTGAGTTCCATGAGCTAAACAATGGACGGTAGCACTAATTGGGTATTCAAGAGACGAGCATATGAGAAATTTTTTGAAGATCCATCTGTCCAAGAACTGATCCGCTGATCGGTTGAAGACCATATTGACGAATTAAGTATAATTGAAATCACAGTTTGTGGAACTTGAAAAGAAGAAAGAAAGCAAACCTGCTGGAAAAACGATGCCAGCATATCGAACCCAATAACTTCGTGAATTTGATGGGAAACAAATGGGCGCAATTTATATCATCATTTCGAATCATAGCTGAGCGATTCGATCCCCAACTTCCATAATTTTTGGTATCTTACTGGGACAACTCAGAGGCCAAAGGCCAAGTTAACAATCGAATAATGTGCCATCATTGAATCAAATTATGAAATTACATGAAAAATGATAGAACGTCATTAGTCATAGGTCGACGAGAAAACCGACATAATACATTAATAAAGAGACTCGAAAAACGATTAGAAAATTGAGACAAATGCTATCGACAGATGCTATTATCTTAATTAAAAGCTATGATCAGTTACGAAGTAGAATCGGAGACATTGCTGGCGCTAGTCGAAAATGGTCCATCAAATTTACACAAAGAGCAAACAATGGACGATAACGAGGGAATTGTTGCTAAAAAGGTAAATTATAGCAAGACACAATCGAATAAATGCAAATCGAGAGAAATTACGTTAGTAAAGCCTCAAGTAAGAAGTAAAACGATAGGGACTGAACAACCGAAATTGAGAGACAAAGAGAGAGACTAGGGACAAACGCCATATATCATTTCGAATTTCGAAATAACAGCAGCTTCAGACGAACAATTGGAATGAAGGCATATATGCTAAAAAATGAATGGAACCTACTCAACGAGCAAACATTACGAAGTTGTCATACGATCAATTGAAATTGTGCGAGGAACTTTCGGCACCAAACGTGCCTGAGAAATTACAAATAATTATTGGTATCGATTTTTAAGAAAGATTTTTTGTTGGACAACCAGAACGGTTGGCAATTTACACCACAGTGAAGTCGATTTCTTCCTGCTTTTGGGTCAATAAAATTGGCATTTGCCGTCATATGATTGTAATTCTGATGGACTCACACCATTTCTAATACGAATGGGTATCGAAACATCGAGCAATGAAACAGTGGACGATTTAAAACAATTAAAACAATTCGCAGACAAAGAGAAAATAATCGATGAAGGGCGCTGCATAGAGTCAGTTTACCATAAGAAATATAGCAAGCAGCCAATAATACTAAGCAATTATGGTAAATCATTCAGTTTGAAGGCGCTGATCAAAACCCTTTGCAGCCATCCAGAAGGGAATAAATCAAAGAGTGGGAATAAATAAACCAAATACTAAACTTGAACATCAAATATCAGATGGCAGTACGGATCCAATTGGCTAATAAAAAATAATACTACATGGCTTTCCAATTTAAGGTCAGAAAGGAATGAACAGATTGAAAAAATAGAGAATGGCGATTTAGAAAATTATAAACGAATGAAAATTTTGGTCAAAATTGTGGCAAAATTGTTACAATTTACGTTTTGTTAACGTGTTCAATAAGAGAACTCGACATTATTGCAGTAAGGAAAATTCCATGTGTGGATCCAATAACTACACAAGAAATACGGCAAGCCGAGAAGGCCTTAACACAACAAGCTCAAAAGGAAGATATATTAGAAGAAAATATTCATCAATTTGGACTAACAGTTGAAAATAGTTTGTGGGTGACGAGAGAAAGATTCGAATAGTCATTGATTTTCTTGCCTAGAGGTCTTAGGCTAAATCGGTTGTTCTGGATAATCACCAATCGTTGCATGCATCGATTGATACAGCAGCATGTTCCATAACCGAAATACACTCAAACTATTGGAAAAATTATCAATGAGTGCATATATTATAAGATGGTGGACCAGACAATTTGAATCCGAATATGAACAAATTTCCCACGAATTAATCGCAGTGTTCCCTCACATATCGAAATGGATCTAGCGCGCCTAAAGTGGAAAAGTTTATATGCCTTGCTACAATTTTGAAACTAGTACGATTTAAAAAGAGAAGTTCTTTATGTCATAAAAAAATCTTGTAGGTCTCAGCAGACTTAAATTTCGATATAAGAACTTTCTTTTTGTTACTTTTCTTTTCGCAGTGATTCCACAGTGACCAAATAGAAGAAAGTTTTTGTCCAAAAGTTTTTCGTCTATAAATTAATCATTTAGCAAAAAAATTCCCTGCATAAGAATGTGTATAGAAACTGGATGCGTTTATGCATGCAAATCTTTTACCAGAATTTAATATATTTGCCCACAAATAAAAGGTCTAACATCTATTGATTTTCTGTTGTAATTCTTTTTATATAATTCTTAATAATTCAATAATTCTTTGACTACCAGAAAAAAGGATCATTCTCTCATCCAAAATTTGTGGTCTTTCCGAGTAAATTTTTTGAGGCCAATAGGCAATCTTCATAATTTTGTCTTACAGTTAAATACAAAGGGAAGAAGGCATCATCGATCTACCATAGTTCTTATTTCGAAAGGATATATTAGAAAGGATATTTCTTATATATACGAGTTTACATACATACATGACATAGGAGAATATATGTTCATTTTTTTTTATAGGAGCGAAGAACATGGACATGTTATGATGTAAATGATGTAATTCAAACATTATTTAAGCAACTGAATGATATGAGATTTTATTCGTTTAAAAGTATATAAAATATTTTAGACAAGAATGGTTAAATCTTTCACTCTCATCTGCCTGCCACGTTCGGCAGCTATATAGCAGGACTGCGCTCACCGCAGTTGATAAAAATGAATCTTCATTTTGAGGCTGATTTCATGGGGTTTTTAGAAGGATCACGCCTGTTGGGAGAAAAAAGTTTTAAGTAAGAAGAGTCTATATTAATATGATGGCCAAGTTTTATTACTGTAGTTCTTTATTAATAATTATTAATTACCTTTATTAATAATTGATAATAATTTTTGAAAATAATCAATTCGACTCGAGAATATTATTTGAGGAAATTACTTAGCACATACCGTTCAAAAAGAAATGTATAACAGATCCAAACTATATGATATTTTTATGTTTTAAAAAACTTTCCGGAATCTATAACTATCCGGAACTTCATTGTAAAATACCACAGCAATTTTCCACATGTCAATTTAATAATGGAATTGGCCTTTATTTCGATGAATTGCATGAACAGTTTCGTAAAAATTTAATTGCTCTAAGGCAAAAAAGTAAATTTTAAAATAATTCGATAAATATATGATTGGCAGTATAATAATTTTGGATATTGGTAATGAATAGTTGCAGGTTGGCTTTTTAGTCAAAATAGCCATATTTGTCCTTACGCGCATATACGTGTTAATCGTGTTAATTCATCAGCCAACTGATTTATTTCCTTGTTTAAAAATACTCGAGATTTTTCGCCAGCAATCACCTTAAATTTTAGAAATTTAGCTATCTTAAATCATTTTTTATGAAATTTTTTGAAGCAAGAATTCACCTCGCTCTCGCAAATATTCTATCTCATCCTCATTCTAATAAAAGTTCAGGAATGTCTGTTGCTCATTGTCCTTTCAACACTAATATATAATTTCGAATTCATATTCAAAGAATTAATAATAATAAGAATAATTTTAATTAATTTTTGCGACTCAAATAAGTATATTTAGGTAGGTATGTTTAAAACTTGAAAAAAATGAAATGAAAAAATGAAAATGAAATGAAAAATGAAATGAAAAAAGTACCAAAAATTCATTTTCATTATTTGGATATTGATCATTTATGCCTAGCGTAAATACTGGGATTCTTTTATTATGTAAAATCGAAGCACCTGAAATTTCGCGTCTTTTTTTTCCAATCAAGCGCTCTTAAACTATGAATTAAAAGAAGTATCTAAAAATTTAAATCAATATCTTAAATTTTTTTCCTAAAGAAATATTTTTAAAAGTTTTTATGTAGATAATTTCTTAATATAATATCACTAAAAACCTGGAGCAGGATCTTGTTGACTAAAACCATCAGTGAAAACTATCACAGCAGATGATGCAGCCATAGATCTGTTTGCAAGCACATAATCAGCTTTCATAAGCGCATCATTAGTGAATGTTGTCCCACCAACAAAGGCGATTTTCTTGGCTGCTTGGATAACCGATTCCTTGTCATTATATTTGCTAAGTGAAAATATAATGATTATAATATTGGTAAAATGGAAAATTCGAAACCACTTAACATAATAAGCATAATTAGAAATTGGAATTAAAGAAACATTGAACTTAGGAATGTATCATTCCTGAATTTCATCTATTAGGATGAAGATGAAGTAGATAATACTTGGGAGAGCCTAGCAATAACAGATTAACTTCATCCAAAGAATAAACGAGTTGCTCGCCTAAAGACGAGATAAAAAATATCTTCACCATACTATTTAACTAACCATATATACATTAGATTCAAATAAGATATAAATTTCTATAAGAACCCATTTCTGGATGAGGAGTTTAAATTATTAAATTATTAAACTAATTTATCATTTTTGAATAAATCTAATTTGTATAGAAATATCTTACTCAAATTGAAAAACAACTTTTGATTTTCCTCTTCCTGCATATTTAATGATACAAATTCTCGTGTTATATGGGCCAATCACTAGCCTTTCCAAAAGGGTAACTAATAAGTCGAGTTGCTTCGAGAAGCGAGACTTTAATGAACCTGATGCATCTATTACGAAAACGAGATCAAATGGACAACCATTATCTATAAAATAAAATAATAACAAATATATCTATGGAAAAATAAAAATATATCTATGGAAAAATATCTTGAATATAAATATCAAGAAGTATGTGAAGGTTTGATTCCACTTTATTAACTTTACTCTGCTCCTTGTTATTTCTTACTGCATTATATCTTGCCTTCCATTAAATTCAGCCATTTTTTTGGTTATTAGTTTTATTTTTTATATGTGGTGAATATAAAATATATAAAACTTTTTCTTATCCCCTTAAGGTGGTCATGGTAATCCTCAACCTTGGATCCTCTACCAGAGGTCTGGTAAATTGAAAGTTCTATGCAATATCTTAGCTGCCCTAATAGTGGGCTGTTCTGGATAGAGATCTTTCTGGAATTTGCTGAAGCTATTTTTTGGGGTTAGGGTCACAGTTCCAAATGCTCCAATCATCACTGGAATTATTTTGGCTTTTATTTTCTACATCTAGTTCCTCTTTTAGGCATTGATATTTCTCTAGCTTTTCATATTTCATTTAGTATTGGTATGTCTGTTATCAGTGCTTTTGATTTGATTCTTGATTCTTTGGCCATTTTTGATTCTTGTCTATTACCACGATATGGCCAGTGCTTATTTATCTGCCTGGATGATGAAGTCCCACAGGATCCTCACCTTACATGCGTATATACAAACGTATATATACATATATACATTATATACAGATATATTATATACATATATATATATATATATTTGTATAATCTGCATAGATTTACAACAAGGATTCACCACACTAATGAGAATTATAGATGCAGATTATCAAAAACGCCCTAGAAACAATCAGATGGCAAGATGTAAAATGCAAGCAGAAACAACATATGCTGAAAGGCATAACCAAATAGCTGGCATCATCTGTTCGGCATATGGCTTAGACACTCCCAAGACTAAACGGGAAATTCCTCAAAAAATCGTAGAAATTAATAAGGCGAAGATCCTGTGGGACTTCTCCATCCAGACAGACAAAAAATGCTGACGAATGAACTAGATGTCGTGGTAATAGACAAGAATCAGAAATCAACACTGGTCATCACTACTGATATAGCAATACCAATAGCAACGTCAGGAAGAAGGAATATGAGAAATTAAAGAAATATCAAAGACTGAAAGAGAAACTAGAGAAGATGTGGGAAATAAATGCCAAAGTAATTCCATTGATAATTGGAGCACTTGAAACTATGATCCCTAAACTAGAAAAGTAATTTTAATAGATTATAGGAACAATAGCAAAGATCTCTGTCTAGAAGTGCGCATTATTATAAGCAGTTAAAATATTGCGCAGAACCCTCAGTTCCAGGCCTTTGATGGAGCATCCGAGATTGAGGATGATCATGACCAACCGGGAGAAAAAAGTTTTTGTTATATATATATATATATATATGAAATAAAAAGATAAAGAAAATTTACTTAAAATTGGCTTTGGCTTTGATGTGACAATTTTTCCCACTGTCTTTTGTTTCTTAGTTAAAGGCTGCTTCGGGATTGCTGCTTGTGAAGTTGTCTTTGGTGAAATGGTAAATTTTTTCGAAGTATACTCTTTCTTTGCTTCCGCTTGACCTGTCAATAAAAGTTGCTTATAAGTACTTATTGGTGAAACAAGCCCTTTTGATCGTATAGTTGTCCCAATTTTCGCTTGCTTTTTGTTTGTGATTTCTTCACGTGAAGTTTGTTTTGAGGTAATCAGTGGTAGAACAGATTTTGCGGGTTGTATAGGTATTGCAGTTTTTGGTTGTTCTTTTCTTGCTGCTACTTGAATCCTGTAATTTTAGAGCAATAAACATAATTTCTAATAATTAACGAATTCATTTTTTTAAATCAAAAATTCCAGAAAAATTTTTTTTTTGACTGAAAATCTTAAAAAGACTGTAAATTTTCTAACTGAACAAAAAAACAGAATTCCAGTGATGTCTAAATGAATACTTTCTAGATATTCGGGTTTCTAGATGCTTTTCAGTTCTCTTTTGAATTGTATTAAATGATTTTAGACTTACGCAGGTTTCTTGGCTGGCTTTATGATAGATTTTTTGATATCATCATTCAGTAGTGTATTTGTTGCTTGTGGTTCAAACTGTTCTCCTACAATATATTAACAAGATATATTTCGCGAATAATCTAGCTTTTCAATTCTGATCATGCCAAAATTAATTTTTTGCAGACATGTTAAAAAACTGCGAATACATTATTTAAGAAGTTTTTTAAGAAAACTTTCTAAATATCCAAAACAAAAAATAAAATAATAAAAAAATAATAAATAATAAAGAGTATATCTTTTGTTTTATCATTCACTCTTTTAACTCTTTTCATCATTAAAAATTTTAAAACGAGTAAATATTATTAATCGAACTTTGCAAATTTGCTGTTTCACTCGTCAACAGTTCACTTTGACGAGGTCCTGTATTACATGATTTGAGCACTTTTACAAGTTGTGGTACAGACTGCATATCATAGAAAACGTGCCTTGGGTCGCCCGCTATTTCTTCAAGTTCATGTCTAAAAAAACCTTCTTAAATTGTTTTTTTTTTAAAATTGATGGATGAGAAATTATTACTGTCTCCAAGAAGGTGTTACTGTCACTGTAAATGTTCGAACACCAGGTAATGCGTGCAGAGTTGCAGCTGGCACATCGACTATATCATAGCTAAAAGTCACTGATTATTTAATGAATTCTTTCTATTAAAATTACCTTCATTAGTTGCTGTTATTGATGATATTTTTAGCTCTTTTCACCATTTCTCGACAACTAGAAATAATTTTTATAAAACGTTATAAAACTGCTTAGCTTATTCGTTAATATCTTTTACAACTTTATGAATCATGCATAATTCAATTCAATTTAATATGAAGCTTGGAAACTAACCTAAAGCCATCAGTAATAACCACAACATTAGCTGGAACATTTGATCTGCGTGATTTGAGAGCTTCCAAAGAAAGATTTAATGCTGATCCTGTAGCTGTTATGCCTGAGAAATACGGTAGCTCTGCAAGAAATTTTTATGAGAACGTTGCTCTAAACATAAGGAAAATATTGAATTCAAGGCAAAATGTGGATTAAAATTGAGCTCTAGCTTATTACATTCCTTATCTTGGATTTACTTTTATTTTTTCCTTACATAAAGAGTTCTTATGAATGATATGTATCATCGTGTTGAAAGGCTTAATTTTAATGCAACGTCATGAATTAGCAATGAATTATTTGAGAAGAAAAAAATAGAGTTGGGAAAACCCTAAAAAATAACCCGAAAAATAATCCAAAAAAAATGGAATAAACTGCACTTCTGAATTCTACGCCATAATCGAATTCGTACTATATTAATAAAAAATTCGCTATTATTGAATATGTATAATATTGGCAAATATACTAGCAAATTGCTTGTAAAATCAACAATAAAAAATTCGCTGCATAGCAAAAAAATTTTTTTCATTTCATTATTTAACATAGACAATTCTACCCAAAATTCAAAATTTATTGCTAAAAAAAGTGAAAAAAATTAATTGGCCAACAAAAAATTATTCAATAATTTTGTAATAATAATGAACTATAATTATGGGATATTCTTTCTTCTTCTTCTAACAGCTCTCACCATTACTGGTTAAGTTTGCTCCAACGGCTACAAAGGTATGACGCTTCCAAGCAGCGCGGTCTGATGCCATCGTCTGTAGTAATAGAAGCCATTCTTTTTTCCATCGTCTAAGTTTATATATTGCTGATCCACCTATACGTTCAAAACCTTTTCTGACCGTATCAGATCAGGTCTTGATTGGCCCACTTCGCTTTTGACGCCATCCATCACATGGTTTAGCAAGTAACGAAATATGCGACAACTCTTGTGGTGGACGACAGTGAACGTGCCCTAACCACCAAAGGCGTCGTCCTGTGATAACATTATTAATATAGATAATGTTTGAACGAAGGTGAATGCGATCATGTGATATTTTATCCACTCGACGGACCAGTAAAATATACCTTAGACAAGAGTGGTCAAAAGTAGATAGCTTCTTAATATCCTCCATCACCACTGGCCATATCTTAGAGCGGACTTTCGTTTTTATGGTAATTTCACGACGGCTCCATAAAGGTTTCGTCAGCCGGAAGAAAGCACTTCTAGCTGACGTGAGCTATAACATCGTCTTTTGCCTGATCATTTTGCATTAGAGTGGACCCAAGGTCTTTAAAATCGGGCATTTCCTCGTTGGGCAATGAATTTACAAAAAGAGCATTTTATCAGCTTTTGTACATAAGACGAAAAGACTTTCGTTTTGTATATATACATATATTGACCCTGAGTCGTATTCTTGCTGCAGTTGATGACACGTTGTTTAGCATTATTTGCATTTCATCATAATTGTTAGCAAAAAGAACTACATCATCAGCGTATTCAAGATTTGTGATGCTCTGGACTGATTTGGATACCCCTTTAGTGCCAACAAGCGGTGTTCATTACCCAGTCTATCGCATAATTGAATATTGTGGGGAAAAGAACGCAGTCCTGACGGACACCCGTTCTTATCCTTCTTAACGTGAATATCTGGTCAGAACAACCGCGCTCTGGTCTGAAACCAGCTTGATTAGGGCGTATCCCGCTATCTCATACTTCCATAAGTTTGTTGAATAAAAGGGAAGCAAAAATTTTCGCTGAGACGTCTAGTAGGCTGATTCCTCGATAATTGTCGCAGAATGTCCTATCATTTTTCTTGAGAATTGTGAGCAGAATTGCTTTACTCCAATCATCTGGTAATATTTCTTTTTTCTATTTGTTGAAAGTGTGCTATGAGGGACGATGGACAACATTTAAAAAGTTCAGCCCGAATACCATCATCTACCGGAGTCTTATTGGCCTTAAGCTTATGGATAACATATTATTTCTTCTTCTGTCTGGGGCTTCCATATGGTTTAGCGAATGCATCAGTTATATCAGAGGCAAGAGAGAGGCAATCCTTAATACTCTTGACTGGCACGTCATTGCTGCCTCTCTTACAACTTCACTGATCGTTCCCCGAGTTGCTTTTTGAAAAAGGTGGAATGATTTCATATTATCGTCTAATCGAGCCGCCGCTTCCATTCCTAAGGCCATGTCACTCCAGTAGTGATTTCTGTCTCATCTCACCGTGCTGCTTTCTTTGCAAATCTTCGAAGCATACGGTAATCAGGATCATCTTACCTTCGTGCTTTGATAGCTTTTTCAGACAATTGGACAGTTGCTTCCAATACCCAACTAACGCACTTCCTACTAGTATGCCCTAGCGTAGAAGTGGCTGACTTTCGGAGACATTCCTTTAGTTTGGACTAGTATTCATTTGTTCATTCATATAATATTTGAAGTTCCAGAAAAGTCATTGATATTTATATCACTGAGATGCTTCAATAATTCAGTTTGAAATGCGCTCACTGCCCTCGAATTTTTTTGTTTGCGATAGTTTAAGGATCTTTGGGGATATTATTTTCTGCGAGTTGTCAGTTTTATGCGGTCTTGGCTCAAATCATGGTCAGATCCATGAAGATTGCCCGTTTCAGCGCCGCGGCATGAACGACTATCTAGTACGGAACTCTTCCAGTGGTGACTGGCTAAGATATAATCAATATAGTTGAAGTGTTGGTTATCCAGGGAATTTCACGTGGCTAGATGTTTTCTACGATGTCGAAAGCAGGTATTAAAAAGAACTTCATGCTTTTCGGTATAACGAAGAAAGCGTTCCTCATTGGTGCACCGGTCTCTGATGCCATATTTGTCGAGGTCATTGTAGCGCCATATGATCTACGTACGCATTCCAGTCTCCCTCGACTATGACCATATCATGTTTTGGTAAAGATTTTGTTAGCACTTGAAGTTTTCCGCATAGAACTTATCTTTATCGCGGTCATCTGCCGACAGAGTTGGAGCATAAACACTGATGACCGAAATATTACAGGACTTACCTTTAAAACGGGCATAGGCCACATGGTCGCTTACCGGTTTCCACTCAATTAAAGCGGAAAGGGCTTTGTCAGATATAATCGCTACGCCATTTCGTACCGATTATCCAAAGCACCACAGTGATATAGCCAGTACCTCTGCTCAAGCCAAGATTAATAATCACTCGAGACCCGAAATAAGGAAGACGGACCTCCGACAAGCAAGGAATATCCGCATGATATTTAAGAAGGTGTGGACAATAATCGTTTGGCTTATGACGTCCATAAGCGTTCCACGCTGATACGGCCAAAACCTCGACAGCGTGCAGAGAGCTTTTCCCCTTGATAGATTTCGAGCAATTCCTGGCTTGCGAGCACATTTTATCAACCTTGGGATTGCTTTAAGCGCGGATTGTGCATTTATCGCATGTACCACTGGGCTGGGAGTGCGCATCGGGAGATGCGGACGCCATACCAAAAATATCTGATCCCTTCACCACAGAGTCACTGGGGAAAAAGATGCAGGTAGCCATCCGGATTTTTGACACAATGGCAGGTTAAAGAAAATAATAAAATAGATAATGAAATTTTAAAAATAAAAATAAGAAGGCAATTAAATTTTAAAAAAATACATGTACTTATATATATATATATATGTATATATAATAATATATGTATGTAAGATATATATATATTATTTATATAATTTAATTGATTTGATTTATAATTTATTTAATTTAATTGATTTAATTTTAATTTATTTTATTTTAATTTTAATCGTTGTTTGGTAAAAAAAAAGAAATTAAAAGTTTAAGAGGACTTAGCTGAATTGTGATCAGAAATGATCAATCAGAAATCAAAAATAATTCACAAAAATAAATTTGAAACGACCGCTCAATAAAACGTAATTATGGGATGTTATTTTATTATTATACTATTATTGTTATCATTTTCATATTTTGTCATTATTATTATTATTCATTGTTATTATTATCATTTGTAACTTTTATAATATTAATATTGTTATTTATTATTTTTATCATCATCATTACTATAACTATCACTAATAATGCTTATTATTATCAATTATTATTAGGGCATTGTGGCCAGTCGATGAAATTTAGACAACGATCAAAGATAAAGAAAATAATTATCAAGAAAATTAAAAATAACGGGGAACTATTCTCCAACAAACAACAAACCTTTTATTGCTTCATGTAACTCCGTTTGATTGTTGATTTTATCAAAAGGAATCACCAACTTTTTTCGCAGTGCACTGCTATATACTATTACTAGAAAAAATTTAGGTTTGATTAAAGTATAGTTTGAATTTCTTTTGAATATAAAAATAATTTTTTCGCGATCAGTCGTTCTATCAATAATTTTTGATTCGGATTTCATTTATAAGGTGTGATTTTATTTCATTCTTTGTTTACTTCATATTTCTAATTTTTTTTTTTTTACGTATTTCCATTTTTCTATTTTTTAATCAAATGAAGACTTAGACTGCAATTAAGAACGACTTTGAAAGTATAGGCTGCCTTGCAATAGATGGAAAGAAAATGGCTTCTGCCATTTCCGGATGTGAACGGATAACGAACCGAGAGGTCTGAATATACTTTATTTTTATAGCCAGTGCAGCCAGTCTAAACAATAATGTCATGAGCTGGCAGAAGAGAAAAATTTAATTTAATTTAATTTAATTTAATTTAAAGTTTAAAAATCTAAAAATCTAAAATTCAGAGAATATCTACATTTTCCCTTCAAAGAATTGGAAAGGTGTCATTGAAAAATAAAATTTCAGACAATTTAGAAAAAGATAGTAACATAGGTTTAATTTTGCCATTATGATCAGAGACAATGTCATTAAAAATAAGATCCGCATGGCATTGAGAATCTACAACCGAGAATTCAGAAAAAAAAGTATTTCCATCTTAGAAAGAATCATGATATCGCATTTCGTGTATTGTTTTGTAGTATTCGTATGATCCATCAAACTTCTAGTGTTTTCTTCTCTCAAGCATTCCTGATCACAGATGCATGATTAGACTGGCTCTAATGAGTACAAGGGCAGTTTCCAAGTTGTTCAGCCCGACCTAACGATATCAAAAGCCATTCTTTTTTCCATCGTCTAAACCCATATATAGCTCTGCCACCTATAAGTTCAAAATTTTCTGACATTGTCCTCCTCGCTTTTGCCAATAAACATACAATTTAGCAGATATTAATGCCTGCGATAAGCAACAAACCTAACCAATTTAGATGACCATCATATATACTGCAGCTAAATAGATAAGAATTTTCATTTTGATGATAATTTCGCGACGATTTTATAAAGATTTCTAATAAAAAATACTTCTAGCTGCGTTTATCTACAGTTTTGTCTTTCGTTTGGCCGTTTGGTGCTAGAGTGGATTAAGCATTTAGTTAGCACTTCAAGCCATGATGAATTGAATTGATAAAAATATTTTATCAGTATATGACATGCGATGATATATGCGATGAAAAAAGATTTGATTTACATTGATCATTTTATTTATATTGATTCCACCTCAATTTTTACTGCAGTTGTCGATGCCCTTTAGCATCATTTATTCATGGCAAAAAGGGCTACGACTTTAGTGTAAGATATATGATACTGTGCTCTGGACTACCTTGAATATCAGCAAGTGTCCAATTTAGATCAATTTAATCCAATCTTTCGTATGGTTGATTATAATGAAAAGAAAGCAGACATGAGTTCTTATTCTGAAAGTATCTATCAGTGCTCCAAGCAGATCTAATACAGCGCATGGTGGTAAAATGCCTTTATAAGTTGGATGAAATTCTCGAAAACCATCTAGACTAGTGTGATCTCTTCCAAATATTTTTCTCTTCTTCCAGCGAAACTACTAAAGGCTCGAAAAACTTCTAATATAAGAAACATCTTGATCAGATAAGCAAACCTGCTACACGTGTGCCATTTTCACTGATTGATTCCAACATATCCACTGTGTTTAGAACATATTGGCGATGGTCTTCGAAGAATTTTTGTACTGAACTTGTCGAATCGACGACAAAAAGCGTATCAGAAATACAATCTGAAATGAAATTTCTGAACAAAAAAAATTGCTGGCAACAACTCTTACCAATCTCCAAGTTTGAACTTAGCAAGACTTAAGAAAAATTCGTCGAAAAATTGTTGTTATCGTTTTATATATGGCGATAATAAACTTTATAAAACTTCCAATATAAAACAGCAAATATGAAAAAAAAGATTTAATTCAGGGATTAAAGGTGAAAATGTGACATAAAAATAGTAGTTTATGCGATAATGATGTATATAAATTAAATAATATTTTAATAATACTAAATAATATTTTCGCTTTAAAGATTTTAACTGAATAAATTCTATTTCCAGTCAAATTAAATTTAAAATTCGCCTTCGGTAATCTTAGTTTTCTCAGCTATATTGCCGATTTACCGAATGAAACAAACCATGATAGCGGAATTCTTCTTCTGCCGGAGATTCAGTAGCTGATATTAGTTGTTCTATTTTGACTCCTTTATCTTCTGGTTGATCTGCTTCGAATGTGGGCGAAATTGGCCTTAGTCGAGGGATGCTGATTGGTTCAACGGGCACTGTGGATACCTATAATATATGTTAAGTAGCGTCATAAATCAGATGGAAAATATTATTCTATGATACTAATATAAGGTTAAAAAAAACTAACGGCTGGTTTTTCTAGCATTTTTAGCGATGGAATAGTTTCCGATTCAGCTTCTGATGGTTTTAGAGACTCCTTTAGAATGGCAGGCTTGGTACGAAGAATTGTAGTTTTTTGCAAAGGTATTACTGGGGATAAAATTGCGTCAACTCCTTGTGGAGACGGTGGAGGTGCAACAGGCCTTTTTGTGGACTTCGGTGGAGATTGAACAACCTTGGCTGCTGTCGGAGTCAGTTTTTGCTGGGATATAATGGACGGTGCTGGCTTTGGTAATGAAGCAGTAATTTTTGGTGCAACTGGAGGGAATGGCCTTTGTTGAACCACTGCCGATGATTGATGCAACTGGACATAATCTGGCGATGGTGGTGGTGCAGGTGGTTGGACTTCAATTGATGGTTCACCATATTGAGTAAAACATACCTGGATAATAATGGTTAAACAAATTTTTTTATTTTAATTGAACTATTTATAATGTTCATTAAAATGCGAAAAAAAGAAAGAAAAAGATTTAAGTTCTGGTAAACTGCTAAATTATACTCAAAAGATCACTGATTGATGAACATCACTGATTTTTATATGTGTCAGCAATATCTTTGAATTTTTGCTAATAATCTTCCTGTTCCACTCCACTTTTAAAAAAATTCTAAATTTTAAACAGGTTAAGTTTTTTGGACAATTGACATCTTAGAAAACGGAAAAATTTCAAATGGAACTTTCATATCGTTTCGGCACTTCGAACTTCTATCGCAAAATAAGAAATTACTTACCTGCAATAATGAAATAAAGAGGACTAGCAATAAATACATAGTTGAGGAGTAGCAAGTGCAATCTAAATGTATCGTATAATTAAATTAAATATGCTTTAAATTAGGCAAATATCGTTGCAAGAATATTTTTAAAATATATGTCTTTATATCTTTATATATGAATATCTTTATATATGAATACCTTTAAAAAACTGGAGGAAAAATTCGCAATTTGCGAAATACAAGGAATATGATTGTTTCATTTCAAGTTGCATTTTTGTCATTTATCATATCATGAAACATTTATTATTTGCATTTTAATCCTTTTTGGAAGATGAAGGACGAAAATAAAAATAATCCATTGGAGATAAAAAGAAAAAATAAATTTGTTCTTTTAAATTTGGCATTTGGCAATTTGACAAGAAAAAATAAATTTGGCATTTATCAACACAATTTGTAACTAATTTAATTTGGACTTTTTTCATCTTTATAATCATAATCATTGTCTTGAATCGCTCGTTAGCCTTTTAAATATTTGCGAAATACGCCTATCGATAAAGAAAATCATTGCCAATCAACAACAATGTACAAGACTGAATTCGTTCGATACTGATAAGAAAAAGATCAAGGAAAATTTTAAAAAAATGATAGTGAAATCTGGATTACCATCATATGTTAATGAAATTCCATTCAAATCTGCTGTAATAAATTTGTTTGCTCAGTCATAAACCGGACTAACGGGATTTTCAATTTTTTGCTCGAATATTTCTAAAATATAGAACTTTTTACGTTTGATTTCAAAAAAAAATTTCTATAATACTCTAAGAAATGACTATTTTGATAAAGGATATTTTAAAACAGACCAGCTTTTTAAGGTTTTTTTTTAAATATCCCTCAAAAATATTAGATAATTCACAAGCTCCTTTCCAAACGTCGCATCATCTAAAACTCACCAATGAGAAAGATAGAGTACTACAGCTGCGCCACTTCAATTTTATGCCTAGCAGAAAATTTTTCAGCCATATATAAAATCAGGATCGACTTCCGTTTCTACAACTTAAATCGCTTAACAACGATTAATTTTGCAACTGGTGCCATTTTAGTTATTAAAAAAATTCTTAACGGCCAGGTCTATTGATAACGAAAGATTCAACATACACCAGATCCATTAAGAACAAACGCTACTAGAAAATTAGTCTACTAGAAACGCTACTAGAAAAAAAATTAATTAGATGGAAATGGAATTTTCCGCCTCCACCTTTGTGAAAATTGCAACTGAATGAATTGCAGCAATTTCAAGTAACAAACGAGAAAAATGCCGTTTTAAGCTTTTCCGCAATTTGAAAGATATCATTAGACGATATCATCCTGTAGCGATTTAATTTAATTGCAATTAATAAATTTAGTGTCGCATTTGCTTATGATTGATAATAATAATAATGATAATAATGATATTAATGCTAGTAATAATAATGATAACGATAAAAATAATGTTAACAAAAATATTGATAACTAGTAGTAATTAATTAATAAAGCATAATTAATAATATTAATAGAAACGATTTAGTAAACCAAAATAAATAGTAATAAAATATTTCATTTATCAAGTGTTCCCAGTCTTTAATTACTCAACTATTACAGCTATTTAACTTTGGTTTAAATAATTAAATAATTCCGCATTTATTGAATAATGAAATAATCAAATCGTGCTTCAGTTATATAAATAATATTTTTTATTTTTCAAGCAATTTTCGTCAAAGTTAAATCGTAAGAATCGATAGAATATCACTTAAAACAGGAAAAAAATTAATGAGTTATAGAGAGAACAAAATGAAGTTATAAGCCATAAATTATAGTGTAATGTGAATTAGGAATCATTATTAAAGGTAAAAATTCGAAGAATTTTAGCATCAATTTAGCCAATAAAAAATAATTTGCCACATGTAATGACCCAAAACGACGCTTCAGTTTATGATAAACCAAACTTTTAAAAATCTTTTTCATTTTATTAATTGGTTTGGTAAATGCGATTAACGAATGAATTAATTAATTAATCGCTGAATTACGAATTTTGGAATTTCCAAAACTATATTTGAAAAATACATTACAATGCAGTACTTACAGCATTATAGCAAGTACTTACAGTATCATCACATAATACAGTATCGTTATCATATTAAAAGCTGAGCAAACTTATTTTTTACAAATTATTTGCATTCTTTAATTAAACGCACTTTAAATTAATAGTTTAAATCGTTTCTGTAATTGGTTGTAGTGATTCAAAACGATGCTTCAATCATTCATTCCTTCACTCCATTCATATCGTTTTGAAAATGACAGTTACAATTGTTATTGGCCATTAATTAACTACTATTTTGTTTGGATTTTTTTGATAATAGAAATAAGTCAACTAAATAAGTGAAAATAAATTTTATTATTACCTAAAAAATGATTTTAACGAAATCATTCTGCAATAATATAAGGAAAATTTAATCGCAAATTTAAAATTAAACCAGCCAGTTATTTCCTTGATGAAAAAATGAAATATGGCAACTTTTTTCCTATTTTCTTAAAGAAAAATCTTCGAACGATTTTACCGATTTTCCAATTTATACGATAATTATAAAAATGAATTAATCAAAAATGTCAATACCAAAAACCTAAAACCATTATTTAAACTTTTAATAGAGTTTTAACACATTATTTACAATAGAATTTTCTATAAAAAGGTCTAAATAAAATATATATTTTTCCGAAATAGCAATCTTAAAAATTTGGTAAGATCAATGCTAGGGGCAGCAATAAAGCTGCAATGAAAATACAATATAACAAAAAAATAATGTAATAATAAAATAAAATTATAATAATAAAAATATACAATTCGTTAAACTTGAATTAGGCTTGAAAATATTGAGTGATATGAATCTCAAGTACATTATATGTATATATATATATATTTTAGTACATTATTTATAGTAAAATGTGGGCTGAATAGCATAGTGCTCCGACTGAGTGGTCTGACTAAGCAAATTCAACCCCAGTAAGATCAATAAAAGTATCTATCAATCAAGCATCTATCAATAAAAGTAAAATCCAAGTGGAGCTGGAAACCCATTTGTGCTTTTTTTTCTGAGTGGTTCTCTGGAAAAATTCAGCAGAGCCAGCCAAATCAGAAATGTGTATACTATCAGAAATGAGAAATGAAGAGGATCAATCTACATGATAATTTTTAATTACATAAGCAATAGCTTAATACAACTTTTTCGTTATTTGGTTGTTAAATGATTATGTTTACTTTACTTCTTCATTTTAATTGATGATGTATCACATTCTCTGAGAGAATTTATCCGTTTTCGCAAATTTTTTTATACCGAATAAAAATATGGAAGACTTGTTTTTTTCAAGAATTTTCTTAAAATATATAAGTGCAATAATAAGCTTTAAGCTTATTTAGTAGGAAAAATTGGAACTCGTTTTTATTGTGACTATAATGGTAAAGATTTTTACTGTATTTTTCGCATTTTTAAGCAGTTTTTCGGCTAAATAATTTTTTCATCAACACGGCATTAAAGACGTTTACGAAACAAGTTTTGGTGTTCGTTGTCAGTTCAAATTCATCGCCACTTATCAAACATTGTCATTATACCAGTTCCATTTTAAATCGTTAATACAAATGATTTATGAAAAAGTTCTAACTGATATCAACTATTCACTATTTGCTATTTACAAAAAATAAAAGAAAAAATCCAAATTTATTCCCATTTAATGCATCGTTTCATGGAATCATTCCATGGTAAATGCCGCTATTTATAAATACTATCAGTGGAAATAAAATATGCTCTAATATTGTGACCTGCTCTAATATAAATATAAAATTATAGATTATAAATACTGTTTTTAAATCATCTTACAAGCAAAAAGGATGCAATATGATGAAAATATGGAAATAATGTTAACTAATTTCAAGTATGCCGTATGTTGAAACATGAAGTGCCGAAGTGCTCCCAAAGTATTCCATTAATTAACGAAAAATTAGCAAATTTTTTGATCTTTTTCTTCAAATATTTCTCAACTGGTTAGAATGGCTCCGCTGGCTACGTCTCCAGCCATTTTTGACAATAGAAGCCATTTCTTTTTCATTGTCTAAGTCTAGCTGGCAACGAAAAATGCGCCTTTACCAGCCAGATGACAACACTCCATGATGGTACTGTTAGAGCAGGTGGGTGAAGATGCAATCATATTATAAGATTTTATTTGTCGGCGAATCCGCTTAATATATGCATATATATATATATATATATTTTAGAATGCATTATATATGATGAATGGTTAAAAATTGATAATTTCTTAATATCTTCCACTCTCACTGATTATGTCTTGCAACTATATAGAATGATTGAGTAAATTGCTATTTTAATTTTTATGGTGATTTTGCGAAACGCTCTAAAAGTTTCGTTAATCGGAAGAACGCATTTCTAGCTACCGTTAACCGGATTGTAATTTGGTCTTTTGCTTGGCTATTTGGGATTGAAGCGGATCCAAGGTATTTAAAGTCGTACATCCTCAACTTGAATTTATATAAATAGGTATTTTATCAGCTGTTTGCATAAAAGACGAAAAGGCTTTATTTTCATTGAATCTGAGTTCGCCGACTGGCTGAACTTGTCGACACATTGTTTAGCACTATTTGCATTTCTTTATATTAGCGAAAAGGACTACATCATTAGCGTATTCAAGGTCCGTGATACTGTGTTGTGAACTGATTTCCTCTTGAGTGCCGACAAATGACGTCAATTATCCAGTCTATCGCATACTATAAGGGGGAAGGACGCAGACCTGACGGACAACAGTTCTTTATTCGAAGAAGTCTGTGAGTTTCCCGCATGCACAGACCAATGTATGCAGATAAAATGCCTTTATGAGTCGAATGATATTCTCTGGAACATCGTCGCATTCCTTCACCCACCTAAGTACCATTCTATCAATCAATAAAACGAAAGTATCTGCAAAATCGATGAAACAAGTGATGATGGGTTGCTGATATTTAAAGCGATGTTCCAATATCTTTATATCCAATATCTTTCTTAATATCTGAATATCTGATCAGTATAATCGCCAGTCTTAGTCTAAATCTAGCTTGGTTAGGGCGCACGTTGCTATCTGGTACTACTATAAATCTATTCAGCAAAAATTTTCCTGGATATGTCTAACAGGCTGATTCCTTAGTTATTATCACAATATGTTATTTCTTTCTTATTAGGAGCGAAATTGCTTTGCTCCAGCCGTCTGGTATTATTTTTTTTTCCATGCCAGAAAACATTTATTGAAAGTGTGATATGAAGGACGATGGAGGACATTTGAAGAATTTGGCCCAAACATTATTTTCTCTGGAAATTTTATTGCCCTTAAACTTCTGGATGACAGAAGTTGTTTCCTATCCTATTGGCTACAAACATATGGTTTGACGAGCAAGTCAGCTATAACCACGACAACAGATGACACATAGTGGTTAAGTTCTCAACAAATTCCCTCCATCTTATGATGCGATCCTTAATGGGCTTAAAAGGCCACCATTACTATCCCGTATCATTTCACATTCATGACCATTTTCCGAGTTGCTTCATGAAGAAGACGAAATAATTTCCTATTATCACCTAATCCAGCTAGAACTAAATTACTGTATTGGTTTATCATGTCGATTTTATTTTAAATCGGTACTCGAGTTGGTTTCAGATAATCAGATAGATGTTCGAAACACTTTCAGATGCGACAATTTCGCCCTGAGTTACCAGAAGCACCACAATAATGTAGCAATAATGTACCTTTATTCAGGACCAGATTTAGTAATTGCATGAGATCAGAATTTAGACAATTCCGACAAGCAGGCAACAACCACGCGGTATTTAAAAATAGTGTGGATAATGATCGCTTGGCTTCCATGTCCATAAAAAGCTGTTGCAGCTAACACCTTGCCGCGTCTGCGTGCAAAGAACCATTTCCTTTGAATGCAATTATCCTGGCTCGCAAGAAAATCATATTCTCAAGACTTGAGGTGTACGACTACGTCCGGGGTCGGGAATATCATGCGCGCCAGAGGATGCTCTGATCCTTCCACCACAGAGTCACTTGGGGAGTTACGACTGGATCCCCAGCATCCACTCGGATTTTTGATACCACGATAGATTCACTCCCGCCAAAGACAAAAAGGAATTAATTAATTATTTTAAAGTTAGGGGAATATAATAATAATGAAAGGCTTCACAAAAAAAAGGAAAAAAAAAACTGTCTGATATCGATAAATATGTTCAGAGTACCTTTTCCGCACGACCGCTCACAATTCCTTTGATATGAATGAAGAAATATACATTTTTTGCAGTTTTAAAGAAGAAAAATAAAATGCTATAAAGAACCATTAACCCGTAAATTTGACAAAAAATCCTTTTGAAAAATATTGTTTTTAAAGCAACAAAATTTTGGAATTTTAAAAGTAGGAAAAAATAGACCATTTGGGAAAATATTTTTTAAAATTTAGCTTGCAAACAACTTTGATATATTTTCATTGTATTTCGCTGATGGCAAATATTTCAAAGGAATATCCACTGTGGTACTTCTATAAAAAATACTCGAAGCCTCGACCCGACAAGTTCCGATTCTTTAACATTCATATTTTATTATATTAAATTTGTATTTATGAAAAAATCCCCAATAATCGCACTGATCATCACCCACCATCCACAAAGCCACACTGTCCATTATGCTACGCCGGAATCCACCAATAATTTTAAAGCTCATGCCCAGTTGCATTATATGTTCACTTGCATTGTTTCCTTAGAGTGCCGATAAACAAATTGCACTTCGGTCAAATCAGTAGCCATAAATTTTAAGGTAGCAAGAAGTGGCATGACGAAAGTATTCAGTGGGTATAACGTGAAATAAGAGCAAGGGAGGTGAAAGCCCGAAAAAGGAGTGACGGTTTTGCGAGGTGAAAGAAGTGTGCTGTGATAAGATTCAAAAGGAGCGACATGCGTGGATGTGGGTCGACGGGATTTCATAATAGTTCATAATCAATTCACTGATTTCCCTTTCCAACCATTTCTCTTCCACAATTTCTTAATTTTCACCTCTACTAAACGATCCTTCAGAGAACATAAAAAAAACTTCAACATTTTTTAATAATAAATTTTATCAAAAGTTTAAGTTTATTTTACATAAAGAAATATCATTTTTTTAAGAGAAAAATAAATAAAAATGAATTTTCTGACAATAAATTTTTTTCGAATTTTCCATAAATTTAACAAATCGGTTTGAACTTTCGTTTACAGACCACTTGTTTGCCAACTAGTTACCAGTTATTTATTAAAATAACTGAACGTTAACAGCCAACGTTAAATAATGAGCGAAACTATAACAATTAATCATATATTCGCAACACCACTTTAATTCGTAAAATTTGGCAAATTTTGCAAAAAGCAACCGAATGAAAAAGTTTTGTAGAGTCAAAAATAAAGAAAAAAATAAAGAAAAACAATCTAATTTTTTGAAAATTATGATTGAAAAGCACAAATGAAAATTTTTATTTTATATCGAAAATTCTATACAAAGATGAATGTGAACAATTTAATAAGAATTTAAAAGCATATTAAAATTTCCTTTAGATATTCACATTTTACAGGATAAATACAGTTATATACAACAATTATTCTATTGATTAAAAAGAAATCTCGTAAAAATTCGGCAAGCGCAGAAAACAGAATTTTGACAAAACCATTTATGATCAAAAAAAGGAATGTCATTAGAGGCTAAAACAAGGGCAGCGGAATGCATTTTAACAATTAACGCAAACAATTCAAAAGCAATAAACTATACAGTATAAAAAACTATTATTTTTAAATACAAACAGATATTTTCATTCAAAACAATGGATGGTGCAATGAATATATTTATCCCAAAAAAATATAAAAGGATACATAAGCCTCCTAATTTCTCAAAAAATTTCAAAAATCATTTAGTAAAATTTAAATGAATTTAAAACTTCATTAATGAAATTCTGCGACAAAATTTAAACTTTTCATCAGAAAATTTTAATTATCTTTCAACTAAGATAAACATTTGCTAATACTTCATCCCTCTCTTGCATTCTTCATATCGGGAGCATTTAAATCAAATGTAAGAATGGATCGACGAGGTCGTTCTGGCAACAAATCTAAATAGACCAACCATATTTATAAATCAAACCCTATAGCTACAAAAATGTAACTTTAACCAAATTGAAATTTTGTTCAGTTATTTCATATTTTTTATATTCTTATTGTTAGTTATAAGGATAAAATTTATTCCACATCTATAAAAGTTTTTTCTAGAAAAAAAATTTAGAATCTGACGTGGAAAATTAGTCAGTAATTAATAAAATTAGTTAAAAACACTAACCATCTAAGATTGCCGACCAAGGTAATGTTATATATGTTAGATATGCGTTGAGCGGCATACTTTCTACTTTGCGTTTTTCATGAAGCCAGTGCCAAGCCTGACCAAAACCACGCACTGACCATATTTTCGTTAATACACCCTCGGAAAGTTCTGAAATAAAAACAGTTAAAGATATCAGGGCAATCACGAACAAATAAATTAGTCAGAAAGTCAGAAAAAAACAGTAAGTACAATAAAAAAATTGACCATCATCGATAGCATTTGCTTCAACTTCAGGATAAGGATTCACAGTGTCTGCTTCACTTTGCCACCTTCGATCGCGACTACAAGCATTTCCCATCGATTTTAGCGATAAAATTGTGTTTTCACATAAAGGACCATTTAGATTCGATTCCGACAGACGGCGATGGCCAATCTTTAAAAATAACAGAAAAATTTTAGAAAATATTCGTAAATGCGAAAAAGTGGAAAAAAAAACAAATATTTGGTAGAAAAATGTGAATATTACTAAATGTTAGAAAAAATATAATATGTACACAGAGCTCAAGCACTATCACAGCCTGCACAACCTCGCAATCAAATTTTACAATAGTAATACCAATACATATAGTACATTTATATAGTTATATATAGTTTTTGCGATGTTCGCCAATAGAAGTCACCAAATTTTACCAGTGCATTTTCCTGATTTCCTGACTTGCATCTTCTACCAAATGCCCATGATAAGGATTCATCGGCCATAAATTCCTTTACAGATATATTTAGCCACAAAAAAAATAAAAAATAGCCCATATGCCGCTAAGCAACCGCACCTTTCGTTACAGTTGCGTTCATGTCTACGTTTGTCGGTGTGGTCTTGTTTGCGTTTGTGTCGACGGTTGCCTTTATTGCCGTGGTCAGAGCAATCGGGTGTCAGAGTTAATTTTCTATTATTTTTTTAAACGCTAGCCCAATAAAGACGTACCCAAAAAACAATATATTGTAAATATAGATTATAAATATATATACAAAAAATATATACAAAAAAATCTCTCCCTGTGGGTGGTAAGGATCTTCCTCAAGTTTGGGACCCGTATTACAGGCCTGGGAAATTGAAGGCTATGTGGAGTATTCCAGCTCCTACTCAATGCGCTCTTCTGAACAGAGATCGCTGAAATCCCTGGAATTTGCTAAAGCCACTTTTCTAGTTTAGATGTCAAAGTTCCAAGTGCTCCATTTATTACTGGAATTACTTTGACTTTTACGTTCCATATATTCTCCAGTTCCACTCATGGTACTTCTCTAATTTCTCATATTCCTGACGTTTCTATCGCTTGGTATTTCCAAATCTGCCACCAGTGCTGATTTCTGATTCTTGTCCACTACCACGGTATCTGGTTGACTAGCCAATACTTTGTATGCATGGAGAAATCCCACAGGATCTTTGCCTTATTATTCTTTAGGATTTCCTAAGGAATCTCCATTTAGTCTTGGGAGGGTCTAAGCCATATACCGAGTAGACATTCCTGTAAATAATGCCAGCTACTTGATTATGCCTTTCAGTGTATGTTGTTCCTGTTTGCATTTTACATCGTGCTACTATATGTTCAACTGTTTCTAAGGCGTTTTTACACCTAGAGATTCTGCACCTAGAGATCTATCTAATGTGGTGGATCCTTTTTTCGATGAATCAGCCTGTTCTTACGCTGTGACCAATGCCTCGTGTTGCTTTTCACGTTTTTTCAACCACTGGTAGGGTTTCAAAGTTACTTTAAGTTACAAAGTTACTATCTGTCGATGGAACCTACGGAGGAAAACCTTGTTTTGCCATGGTATACTTTTTCTGCTTGGTCTTTTTCCACTGATTTCTCTCTCTCTTCACTTCTCTCAGCAGCTCATCCTTTGGCGCATCTTGTTGATATATTTCTGAATGCTTCATGTTTCCTTCAAGAAAAAGTTTTTATACTCACCACACTCGCTCCTTTCCGACTGGTATACAGTCTTTATGGTGGAAAAAGACTTTCCGCTCATTGTGAGGAGTTTTTTGGTCACTTTCAATTCACATCAGCAGATGCCTTTATGCCTTACTTTGTCCACTATGTCAGCTATGTACCCTGATGACTGACAGGGCGTATATATTTATTATATATTTATGACATGGATTCTATTCTATTGAGCTGGCTTTTCAGCATTTATCTTATCTTTTAATGATATTTAGATGTTGCCTCCTCATGATGATTGCCACGTGACTATTCATAACTAATCTGTATGTTCGCTATGTCCCAATGGCAACTCCACCCCATTAGTTATTATTACTTTTCTTCTCTTTACTATCACCTTCATCTGGCCACATTTCTAAACCGAATGGCATCCCATGTCCTCGCTATAGACCTTTGCTAAATGGATGAATGAATCAATGTCTCGTTCATTTTTAGCATATAACTTGGGTTTTATCCAAGTAAAAAAAAAAAGGCTAATGGTAGTTCCATTCTCGAACTTGTATCCATATCCACTTCTTGTGACTGAGGGGATTTACACTTATGCAGAACAACACTTATGCAGTAGGGGAGACAAGGCGTTACCTTGATATATACCGCAATTGATAGCCAGCTACTTGTGTAAGCTGGTTTTAGTCGATTTCAAGTGTCGTTTTCCAAAATCCCATTGAATTCTCAATGAACGTCTTTAGTGACTTTGTATAGAGCCAGACATTCACAGATCCATGTGTGGGGCATTGAATCATTGGCTTTCCTATAGTCAATCCAAGCTGTACAGATTAGTCTGCCCGAATTTTGAGTTTTTAAAATGATTGCATTATCTAGATAAAATGAGCAGTTGATGTTTGGAGCCTTGGTGTTGTTCCCAACGTCTTTTTGAACTACCCATATAAATTGGTTCATATGGTCATAAAACTTTATAGCTATGATGCCTGACAAGACTTTCCACATTGTGGGTAGTTTATTGGCCAGCAGTTGGACGATGTTTTCCCTTATGAGAATCTTTCATAATCAATACTGTCTTTCCTTATATTAATAAGTCTGGGTGTGAGCCTGTTAAGCAGCTGATTCGTCTGTGCAGCTAAGCGCTCATGGACAGTGGTTGGCTTCTTTATAAGTACTGTCCAACTTTTCATAATTTTTAAGTTGCTGTTGGATGTCAGCAACTGTGATGGTAGCTGCTCTGTGACTGATTTCTGCTCTGAGGTTGCTATGACTTGTTCTCAGATCTTGCAACCACTTTAACTGGTGTTATGAATCTTTTTCTCCATATATTTTTTCAGAATTCGGCATTATTCTTAATCTTCACATCTTTCTGCGATTCTATCAGCTGGCTGACTTCTCTGTTTTGATCTTATTTTCCAGTCTTTTTTTCAATGGCATTGTTATCTTGATTTCCCAGCATTTCCAGAATTACTACACTTCAATTCATTAGTTTCTGTTATGGTGGCAATAGGAATTGTTACGAGGACTTTATTTGCATTTTCAAACATATTATCTGGTGATGAGTGAACTTCGGTCTGATTGTTAATTACATGCCCATCTCTTCTTTTTTCTTCTTTCTGGTCTGAGGCGCAGAATTGATCCATCTCCAGCTGAGCAGTTTCCTTTTTCTTATGTTAAAGCACTGAACTACTAACAGTTAATATGGATATAGGTCTTTTCTTCATCTACAATTGCTTCAAATGTTTCATATAAACCCTTTCATTAGGTCTACTTTTATAATAACATTCCATCAATTCCAGATTATCTTTTCTCATTCATGTGAGATTTGTTCCAGTAGGCCTTTTAACGTCAGATTTCCATGGTTCTACAATACTTGACGCTATTCCAGTAGTCCCATTTATCTACAGATAACCCTGCTCCCTCAGCCTTTGATATGGACCTTGTTAATCCAGGCGACATGACTCTAGTACACAACACTCACATATTCAGGAGCATGTAAACATTAAGAGGGTCTCGTCTAATGACCCCACTGAAAAAATAGAGGCTTTAGCTTCTATTTATATATATATATATATATTAGGAAGAAAGAATATGTGAAGAAAGTTAAAGAATTATGAAGAGGTGTGAAAAGAGGTATAAAAATATGAAAAAGGTAGAGAAATGAGTGAAAGAGGAACTAGATAAGATGTTTTTCGAAATCATTCTGCTTTAATTAAATCTTATCATCGATAAATCTATTATATTTTTTTTAGCATTTCCGAAATAAATCTGGTTTTTCACTGCTAAGCTGAGAAATATCGGATTGGATGTTGCTTGTGTTGAGCACAAGCGTAATTCCTTCCTTTTTGCCTGGTAAAAAGGTATAATCCGAATGACTGGCAGGGATCTCTAATTTTACCCTTAGATAAACCATTAAGCGGAGCAAGAATGAGAGGATTAAAAGAGAGAATTATGCAAAGTTGACTATGAACCAAATCTTTTCCTGTTTAGATCCTTGTATTTGGGACAAATCGATGCTTTTGAATTGCTCATTGTAATACTTTTTTTCATACGTGCTTCTAATATCAATACAAAATATTTTAAGGTTATTGAAAGGTTTTCATTTTTTTTTTTTTGAATTCACTGGGAAAGATCTTTATTAATAATAATTTGTAGGTAAGATTATTCAGCCATTTTATCATCGAAAGAAAGAATCATTCATAAATGATTAGACTTTATTTGAAAAGGGTATATAGTGAAACGTAATATATGTATACATTGAGAAATCCTACCAGTGGCTGGAAAAGGCTGGTCTAAAAAACAGCAATAACAACATTTAGCTGTTTATCATAGCAACACATTTATCATAGGTAGGTACCAAACATCAGATCCATTGAACCAGTGATCTACTGCATCAGACAGGATTCAAGATATACTTCTACTGTGCTCAGAACCTCAGAAACTGCTCAAAATAATGGGATGTAAAATGCAGGACCAACATACATTGAAAGGTATAACTAAGTAGGTGATATTATCAGCAGGATCAATATATATTTTAGACCTCCCCAAGATCAGTGAAGCCAAAGTCCTTCCCGCAGAATTTCTCTATCCAGATAAACAAACAAATGCTGGTCAATGAATCAGATATTTTGGTAATAGACAAGAAGTAAAGTAAGCAGCACTGGTGGATAGATATAGCAATACCAAGTGATCAGGGAACGTCAGGGAAAAAGAATATGAAAACCTGGAGAAATAGCGAAAGAGGAACTAAAAAAATGTGGAAAATGAAGGCTAAAGTGGTCTCACTAGTGGCAGTAATCCCTAGGCTAGAGAAAGTAATTCCAACTCCAACAGATTCCAGAAACATATCAGAGATCTCTGTCCAGAATTTGGACCAGATCAGCGTCTCAAAAATCGCTGTTAGAACAACTAAGATGCTGCACTCAAGGGGAATTCATATGCAGTGGCTGGAAGACTTAACTTAAACAAGATTCAGACATGGTTCAATTCTTCTCTAATTAATACTTTCATTTTTGAAAATTTGAATTTATATCTACAAGAATCTTAACGAATGCAACTAACCATTCATCATAATCATTTATATTAAATAATCTTAAATCAATTAATTGATAATTGATTATTTGTAATGAACTGTAAAATTAATGGAGGAATGAAGTTTGGCTGATGATGCGATTATGAAAAATTTCAGCATTCTTTTATCATTTAAATTTAAATTTCTCGAGAATCGAACAATGTTTATCAATATAAATGGAAAAAAAAGAACAAAAATTGGAATGATTTGCAGATTAATGGAGGAAAAAAAGGGGAAAATTAACACTTTAACACTTCAATGGATTAAATTATAATTATGGATAACGAGATGACACTGGAATTAAACGGAAGTTGATTGTGTTGTTTGATCATTTTTCATTGCTGTATTGCTCCTGCAAAGATTTTCGAAATAATTTTCTTTATATTTTTCGAAATTTAATGCTAAAATTTTCTAATTTTCCAATTTTCAAAAAATTAAAAAATATATTTTTTAATATGTTTAATAGAAAAATATATTGTTTATTTACTTTCCATATAAAATTAATAGATATTGAATTGGCTAATAAAATATTTTCATCAATGGGATAAGGATAGACGAGTGGTAGAGATGTCGAGCATCAGAGGTTCCATTCTAAATTCAGACAAAAAAGGCAATTAAAAGATCCCACTTGTCGCTAAAGTTCCCAGCCAAACCAGTGGCTAGCCTAATGAGAAATGATGACCGCTAACTACTTGTTATCAATTAATTCTCTAAAAAATTTTCACCTCAGGCAACAATCTTTAAAAAATTTACCTCAGACAACAACCTTTGTTTAATTCATCTTTTTCCAATAATTTGTTATTTTCTATCCTAAAAATTGCGAATTTCCTATCATAGAATAGAATAAATAGCAAGAATAGAATTTTTATTTTATTTAAGAGTATAAAATTCAATAATAACTTTTGGAGAACAAAAATTCTAATGGAAAATATTTGAATTTTCTTTTTTCTTTATTTTTTCGAAAATTAATTTCAAAATTTTTTATTTTTAAAAATTTAAAAAATATTCTTGTTGTTTCCTTTTTATTTTTCTTTCGATTATTCTCTTAATTATTGAAGTTATCGTTAATTTTGTAGATAAATTACTTGACAGAATGATCGTTGTCTCTTTGCTTAGTGGAATTAATATTATTTGCAAGGCAGTGAAAGAAAATATATGCAGTAAGGCCACATCTTGCAATAAAACAACAAGCGATATCAATAAATACAAATAACAACATAAGACATATTAATGCGTATATGAATATTCGCCAAGTACCTATATTTCCAAACTTTATACGATAATCCGATAGCTCTGAAAAATCGTTATTCCATCGCATCTAGATGAAACATTTGTGGCTAAAAAGTTTCGTGATTACAACAGGACCTTTAGGGAAATAAAATAAAACAGGATTTCTTCTGAACAAACATTATAGATGAATCGAAAAATAAAAGGAAAGATGAGACCAGGCGTATCCAGTATGAGAGAATAAGCGCTGCTTTCGCCAACACTGTTTACGGCTAATAATTTCACTTCATATATTGATAGAGGCTTTAGAAATGATAGGTCTATCTTAAGATCATTGCTGTGCAGCTGGATCATTTGACCTTCGTCCACATATTCTTTCTTAAAACAGCTAGTTGGTACTTTATCTTCAAACAAAACAATGATGGAGCATTTTCTATTCCACTTCCATTCATATCATAATTTTATGTCATATACCTCTTCTTTATTCTTCATTTCTCTTATAAAAAGCTTATAAGCAGTGATAGGAGATCCAAAGTCATTTGGAGCCTTCCATATCAAATCGCAGTTTGCCAAACAATTATAGCGAACATCACTAGGAGCTTCTGGGGCTGAAAAAATGAATTTATTACAAGGAAAGGATTTTCATAAAATAAATTTTTTAACAAAAAAATAATAAACCAACAAATTATTTTTGAGAATCTTGATTCTAAAAATAAGAAAGCAGAAAAGGAAAGAATTAACTAATTTTAGATTCGATTATATTTTGTAATTCACTTAATTCACTTTATAAAAAAAAGAGTAAAATTGAACCCCAAGGAATGGTTGTTTCGATGACTTGTGGTTGACTTTCTCGTGAGGCACCAGCTTCATTTAATGCACTTATCCACACCAAATATTTACTTTTTGGTTCAAGATTTTCAATTTTAAATTCGTTTTTATTTCTGTATGGTAGTGTTATATTATAAATTTTCTTCTGTTCACCAGGACTCTAAATATAAAATATATATATATAAATGTTGTAATAAATATAAAATAATAAATATTTAATTAATTTACCACCATCAGCAAAAATATATTATGGTTATTGCACTAAATATTTGTACAAAAAAATTCAATAAAGATTCAAGAAACTAAAAAATTCAAACAAAAAATATTCCATTTAAAACTTATTTAACTAAAAATGTGAGCAATTAACGAAGAATCTCCAAATCATTTTTGAAAGTGAACGAAGATTTACAATTAGGCCAGAAAATGAACATTAAAAATATTTAAATAACTGCACTGATCCTGAGAATTTTATATTTGAATTCCCATAAAAGCGAGCTAAATTATTTATCATCAACCAACGATTGTAAAAAAATAGTTTAGATAGATTACTTAATTTGGATTATTTAAATGAGTTTGTCAGAAAGCTCTTAGAAACATCAAAATATCTAACATCTAGTCGAGCATCTAGATATAATAAATAAGCTAAGTCTACAATTAACTATGAAGCTAAATTCCGCTATCCTGTCTCCTAAAATTAGGCTTTCTGGTCAGCCGGCGAGTCATTGTTCATTGCAATAAAAACACAGGTGAATCGCCAAAATTACTCAGAGTCAGTAAAAGTAAGCGGGATCCTTTTTTATTTACAACATTTTATTTGGATAAGTTTAACTTTTTCTTTAACTATGGACCAAGTAGGATATAAAGCGATTAGAACGTTAGTGATAAAAAAGTGGGATCAAAGAATAATAAAAGTGAATAGAAAAAATTAATAATAAATTAATAAAACGAAAAGAATTTAAAAAACAGGAAAAAACAATCCTAATATTGGAACGGGGTTGCAAATCTTTTTATAAGTTGTGGATGGTTTTATAATTTGTGGATGATTTTAGTGAAATTTCCTTTAAAACTAGCACAAATTGGGAAAAGCAACTTCGCTTGGTGATTTTTTCCAGAACATATTTTAAATGAAAAAAGTGTATGACAGAAAATGGTGCAAATAGGTTCTCATGTCAATACATACCTCTGGTAACATTTCTTCTTCTTCTAACAGCAGCTCTCACCATTACTGGTTAGGCTGGTTCTACTGGCAACAAGAGTAAGACATCTCCAAGCTGCTCAATCTGACGCCATCACTAATAGCAATAGAAGCCATTCCTTTTCCCATTAGCCATATATTGCTGGTCCGTCTGTACGTTCAAAATCTTTCCTGACCATATCACATATTTGACACATATTTTGTTATTAATTGCTAAACTCTATGATGGTTAGTCAAAAGCGAGGTGGGCCAACCAAGACCTGGGCTGATATGGTCGATGGATCCGTAAAATCATGTATCTTAGACATGAGTGGTCAAAATAAGTAGCTTCCACCCTCATTGGCCATGCTTTGCAGCTATATAGCAAGATCGGGTGAATTATAGCTATATGGATTTTCGTCTTTATGGTGATTGCGCGATTTTGCCTGGTCAATTGGGATTAGAATAGGTCCAAGACAAATCCAGCATTTCCTGAATCGGCAATTGATAAAAACAGGTATTTTATCATATTATCTTGTACATAAGACTAAATAAGACGAAAACACTTTCGTTTTATTTAAATTAATTTTGAGTCTAATTCTCGCTGCGGTTGTTGACACATTATTTGCATTTCCTCATAACTATCAGCAAAAAGGACTATTAGCGTTTTCAGGGTCTATGATGCTATGCTCGCGACTGATTCGTACACCTCTTGAGTGCCGACAAGCGATGCGCATTATCCAGTCTAGCATAGTTGAATATTGTGGGGGAAAGGACGCAGCCTTGACGGACACCAGTTTTTATTTCGAAGGAATCTGTCACTTCTCCATATACACACGCCATGGTATGCTGATAAAATGCCTTTATGAGCCGAATGATCTTCTCTGGGACATCGTCATATTCCATCACTTTCCAGAGCGCTCCCCTATCAATCGAATCGAAGACTGCAAAATCGATAAAACATGTGACGGTGAATTGCTGGTATTTTAAGAGATGTTCCAGCACCCTTCTTACCGTAAATATCTAGCACAGTAGCGTCCCAGTTTGAATCCAGTTTGATTAGGACGCATTCTGCTATCTCATGAGTCTGTCTGCCATGAGTCTAGCGGAAGAGAAGCGAAAATTTCTCCAGAGATCAGTAAGTTGATTCCTCAGTAATTGTCCTGTCTTTTCTTAAGAACTAGAAGTAGAATTGCTTTGCTTCAGTCTTCTGGTATTATTTTCTTTTGCCATACCAGAGAATACATTTATTTAAGGTGAGTTATGAACGATAATGGATAATATTTGAATATTCAGCCCGAAGACATTCTTCTCAGGCAATTTTATTGGTCTTAAACTTATGGATTATAGAAATTATTTCTTCTTCTGTTGACAGTTCGCAGTTGCAAATATATGAAAATATAAGTGTCTGAAAAAGCTCGACATGCGAATCAGTTATATTCGGGTCAACAGATGGCGCATCGTGGCCTCAAAAAATTCTTTCCATCTTCTGAGGCGACCCTTAACAGTTTTAATAGGCATCCCATTAATATCGTACTATTTCACTTGCCCCTTCTCGAATAATAGTTGCTTTGTGAAGAAGGCGAAACATTTTCCTAATTATCACCTATCCGAGCCGCTTTTTCCATTTTCAAGGCCATATCGCTCCAATAGCGATTTTTGTCCCACCATGTTGCTGTCGTTGTAATTCTTCGAAGTACCCGATAGTCAGGATCTAATGATATTCGGGCAGCTTTTTTAGACAGTTGGACAGTTCTTTCCGACACCCAAATAGCGCATTTCCTACTAGTATACCATAGTGTGGAAGACTTTTGTAGGCATGTCTTTAGTTTGGACTAGTATTCATTCGCCTTTCCAGAGATATCGTTCATTTCACCGAGTTTGAAATACACTTATTGTTCCCGGATCTTTTAACCTGAGATAGTTGAAAAATCTTGGAATACGTTATTGTTTGCGACTTATTACTTTTATACGAATCTTAGCTCGAACCATAACATGATATAATCCATGGTGGTTTCAGCGCCTCGATAAAAACGACTGTCAAGAACTCTTCAAGCAGTGACAGACCAATATATAGTCAATCTGATTAGAATATTGGTCTGGATAGTTCCACGTGACTAGATATTTCTTTCGATACAGAAAGCATGTATTAGTAACAAAAAGTATCATGTTCTTTAGCAAAACGAAGAAGGCGTTCTCCATTGGCGTAGTTGACCCGGATGCCATATTTGCCAATTACCGAGTTCATCACAGCGGCATTATAATCTACGTGCACATTCCATTCTCACTCGATTATGACCATATCATCTCTCGGTAGAGGTTAACTTGTTAACAGGGATTAACAGTTTAAGCTCCATATAGAACTTATCCTTATCGGGGTCATCTGCACATAAAGTTGGAGCATATACATTGAAACAAGCGTAAGCCATACGGTCATTCATTGGTTTCCATTCAGTCAGACCGGATAGAGCTTTTTCAGACATGACAATACGTCATTTTGCCCCAAGTTATCCGAGACACCGCAGTGAAATAGCCAGGTTGAAGTCATAATAATGAGAGTAGTTTCGGTAGACATGATAAATCCTATAAGTAATAATCAGATCTTCTTTAATTTATTTAATTCTCAGTGAATCAAAATTATACAATCTTAATTTGGATTTATAATGAAAGATGTTAGGATTTGAGCATAGGATATGTTTTTATCATTTAACTTAACAGATTTACAAATCAGAGTCTAAGGAAATTTAGATGAACATATTACATTGCAGTCTAAACGAGAATGCAATATATATATTAGATTTCTAAAAGTTTCAAAGTAAGATTTAAAAATCTAGAGGATTTTTTGACAATATATTATGTGCTTAAGTTTCCCATCATTTAACAAAATAATTTCTAACTGAAAAGATCTAAAAAATTACGTGAGAAACTAACATGGATAACAGGGAGATGGGAACTTTCAGTGTTATAAGATATCTATTTATCTTTCCCGAAGCTAGATGTGTTAACTATCTAACTATATTAACTATATGTCAACCTGAATACTGAACATGCTAATGCCAATGCTATCATAATAATGAATAGAATTTAAATGAAATTATCTGTTGGACCAATATACCATCATATACTATATTTCTCATTCATTACTACTATATACTATATTTTCATACTATATTTCTCTTCTTTTAACGTATTGGTGGCTAAGCTTGCACGAGCTAGTTTGCTCCACTAGCGAAAAGGATAAGTTCATGTCTAGATTTGGGTTTGTCCTCCTTATTTTCGATGTCGTCTATCAAATGACTTAATCTCTGTGAAAGAAAACGAAGTACATAGTGTAATTGGTGCGGGCTAGGCTTTTTGATGAAAATACATATGGTATTTGGTTAAATTAGATAAAATTATTTGATACTCCCCTTGGCGGGTATGTAGGATATTGGAGATGAAAAGTTTGATGACCTCCTGATATCTCAGTAACTCATATTTCTTAGCTATGGTAGAATATAATAGAGTACTGCGACATAGAAGTAAACTTTTGAGGCCTATTTCCGCCTAATCCATAAAAGTTTCAGTGGATAAAATAAAGTGTCTCTCGACATAGCGTTACGAGCTGGGATTTGATTCTTCACCTGACCATTAGGTATGAATCCGAGATATTTTAAGCGTAATAAATCTTGAGCATGTTCATAGAAACCGCGGTCTTATCAGCATTTACGTAAGGCAAAAAGGATTTCTCATCTAATTTAATTTCGTTGATTTGATGGACAATTTTTGGCTGTAGATGATCGATATAAAGTCTAGAATCTGTTGCAGCTCATCATAAATGTCAGTTAAAAGGTTATCACCATCATATTAAATGATATTATGCTCTGGACTGATTTGTAGCACGGGAAAGCGGCACCCGTAATCCAATTTTGCCTCCTATAATTAATTGTTGGAATAGATTATCTAATATTTCTGTATTTATTGCCAGCGTTAAAAATTCAAAATTCAAGTTTTAACGACGTCATCAAAAATCTTTAGTCCATTTAGAGTTATATAAATGTATTTAGCAGCATATATTTTTAATTCTTAATATTTTTTATTATCTTTCTTATTAATATTTCCGGTTCCCTACTGCTAAAATCAGAAAATAGCATTTTCTGCTTGGTTTCTTATAAATAAAATAATAGGCAAAGGCAAACTTGGTCTTTTTCATAAATAAAATTCAAATGTGTCGGGCGATGAGCTCGATCCATATCCACATAATCATCGATTCGGCATATACCGTAATTTGGAAAAATTTCGTCACAATGAAATTCTGATGGTATATTTGGAATGACTGAAAATTTTTACAAGATAAGATAAGATAAAATTTTAGAAGCCAACCCACGGACATATCTGAAAAATTCTAAAAAATAATTATCCTAAAATTAAAACCAGTAAGATTTACTAATAGTTTTTCAGAATTTGGGCACAATTTTCTATTGCAAATTTCCTTGTGAAAGTATGAATTATGACAAAAATTTTTTTGATTGAACTTTTTTTGATAAAAAATTTCTCTCTTCCTCATAAATAAAATTCAAATCTTAGAAAATTGCATTTTAGTTTAGTTAAAGAAAAATAATAATCAGTGGATAAATATGGGGAAAAAGTGTGGGGTAGAATTGTTCAATAGGTTATCGCTCTTATTTCGGAGTGCCAATGTTTCTCCTGCAGCAAAATCTATCCAAAATCGAAATCTATCTTCCAAACATCCGGGTGCTGACGCGACTCACCTGCACTTCTATCCTCATTTAATAATTCTCTGGAAAAATTTGTATAGCCTAACAAGCCAGCGCAACGAACCAGAAATGGTGGGTGCATTCAGAAAAAAAAGTAAGATATTTATGAGCAAGATTAAACTGATTGGAAACTGCAAATATGAGGTCAAAACAACATACTATAATAAGATTAAAGCATTGTGAATTGATGCCAATTATTATTTGAAATTATCAAAGATTTAAAATAACAAAAAAATAATGTATTAAAATAAAATATTTGTTATTAAGAATCAGCCATATAAAAAATAAATTTCCATGAAATCCATTTTGATGGTTGTTGGGGGAATTTACTGACTATGCGATATCCCACTATTCGTGCTTTTTACGAAAATTTTCCTACCAGTTTAACAAGAAACATACAAATTTGATGCAAATCGATTTGAGCATTGTCATCTCCAATGCCATTACTAGCTGTACATTTATAATTTCCAAAGTCAGTTTCGCCCACCTTTTCGATCTAAAACTTCTTAGATCAATCAAAAATTCAAAATCATTATTTGAAATCACGAAAAAGAAATTTCACCACTCGTGCAGAAATTTCCATATTATCTTAAAAATTAGTGGAAAAAATATAGTAACTAAGTATTAAAATTCGATGAAACGAACGATTAATTTTGTTGTTGTAGATATTGTATCAATGATATAAAGGTTGCCATCTGCGTCAACAATTTCATTTTCTGGTCCTGTCCAAATCCAAACTGGATCAGGTACTGCAACAGCTTTGCAAAACATTTCAGCTCTTCCACCATTGACAACATATATTTCATCGCTTCGGTCGATAATAGTCGGAGCATCTAAATATGCACAACATAGAATTGAACTATCTTAATTTTTTAGCTGAGATGTATGTATTCAAAGACAAGGATTTTGTGGAATTCAATTGAGAAATAATGAAAAGAAATATCTAACGGATAATAGCAAGGTAGGTGGAACGCTGGTCAGTTCCAGCTTCATTTTCAGTAACACATTGATACTGTCCAGCATCATCATCTTGTACAGAAAATATCGTTAAAACCGAGACACCATCTTCTAATCGCACAAAAACTCGACTGTCCTATGGAGTTTCTTCATAAGCAGATCAATGATTTAAGAAAAAACTTTTTATTTGCCAGAATGAATTATCCTAAAGTCCTTTTTTTAAGCGAAACATCAGTTTACTTCGGCATATAGGTCTCCGCCTGCTGAATATTTCGCTATATCAAAAGTTTTAGCTTGCCACTGTTCACCATTGTGGATCCACTTGGCTGTTATATTGCCATCGCCTGAGAAATAGCACCGCAATTCGACAAGATCTCCCCGAGATCGAGTCTCGTTTTTCATCATTTCGATTTTCGGCCTCCCTGGAATAAAAAAAAGTAATTTCACATTCTACTTTATTTTTTAACAATGTGAGTCATTCCTGGTTTATCTAACTGCAATATCTATTAAGAGCCAGAGTCATCTGGGGATATTTCTTAGTATCATCCAGACTTTTACTGCCAGGCTTATTTATTATAAGGAATCAGTATCTATTATTGGTCATATTTTTTTCCACACAAATTTCACAGTTTTTTCTAAAATCTTTAAGCAAATTAAAAATTAAAATCAAGCAAATTAACGCTTTTTCCGTAAGGGAAACGAAAAAAGGAAAAATGATACAATATATTTGCAGTCTTTATTCATTAAATGATATAAATTAATAGATCCATAATAAGGTGTAACCAAAGGTGATGGAAGATGATGAAAAGAAAGAATTAGAAAAAGAAATTTGAATTTGAAATTCAGATATTTATAGAATGTGCTAAATTGTTGAAAATTAAAAAATTTTAAAAAATTTACGAAATATAGTTAAATTATGGTCAAATCTAGCTGTATCTAACGCATTTGAGGCAATACAACTGTAAATTCCTTGGTCATAGGGCATCAGAGATTTTACTACCAGTAAGCCATTTTTCACGGAATATTTCTGTGATTGCTCAATAATTGTTTCAACGCCATTCTAAAATTTCAGTTGATTTTTATAATCATATTATAGAAATTTTAGAAACAGTGGATATTTTAGATTGAATAATGCATAATAATGAATAATAATAATAGAATGAATAATAATGGTGGCAAAATATGAAAATTAGTGCACAAACTTATCAAAAGAAGAAGCATCATGCAATGAATAATCATATTAAAAATATTATTTTTTGAAAAATAAATACTTAAAATAAATAAATAAATACTCTTTTCTTCAAATAAATGCAACATTGTGTTCTGGCTGACTCTATTATGACTATCAGGATGGGATACCTAAGTTATCAGAAATGGGGACAGAAATGAATTCCTAGTGGCAAACATTACTTTTTAAAGACGGGTTATTCCGCTGAATTTTAATTCAAATCTTCTCCTTCTAATAGGCGCGCACCACTGTTTTTGATTGGATGAGGTTTTTTAAACTAATTTTCTTATCAAAAATTTATAAAATTTATTTGTTATTTCACAATTTAATATCACAATACCGTATTTTTTAACCATCTATAAGATGGTGGAGGTTTACCAGTAGCTTGGCACATCAATTTGTGATCCTTTCCTTCATATTCTTGGTTTGATCCTTCGAACACAGTTATTTGTGGTGGCTCTACGGAAATATAGAATGGATAAGTTTAAAAGAGTTTTGAATTTCGCTTGGTTGCGCTTCACAAGTCGTTAAAAAGTGTTTTAACGTTTGAAAATTTTTGCCAGATAGCCACTTAACTAAAAATATGGGTGGATTTTCAGCAAAACCCTCATTTTAAGAAATAAAGTAAGATTAAAAATTAAAGGATTAAAAATAATATGCAACCATAAGCGGTGACGTTAATGATTCGAACTTTAAATGAGAAGAATTGCGTAGCTCGACAAGAATATTCTCCATCATCTTGAGCAGATTTAAATTTTGGAATGAATAGCACCTGACTTTTATTTTTAAATTCATAACCTCTCGGCCAACCTATAATTTCTTTATGATTGAATTGAAATGGAAATGAATTAAATTTCCACTAAATTCCACCTTACATTTCTTATTGAAAATATACTTTGTAAATAAAAAAATATTTTGGAAAATATTTAGTTTAAATGAATTATCGAACCACCTTCTATAATATTTTTTCCATTGAACTGCCAGTATATTTCAATTGATGGATGCCCGCTAACATAACAAATTATTTTTGCATCCTTGCCTTCAGTTGGATGTTGTTCTGGTGGTGCATTTTCAAAATTAATTGCCTCTAAATTTTTTCTAATTTTTTTAAAATTAAATTCGATTTCTTGAAAATTTGAGGAACAAATTATTGAAAACTAGCAAACAGACAAAAATTCATTTAATGTATATTCTATGTAGATGAGGTGATCCATGGAAAAAAACCACGATACGCAAAAATCTAACCAACGAAGTTAATTTTAACTGATTTTTCTATCATTTTACCATTTGCAAGTACAACAATACATTTATAATCACCACTGTCCGTTATTTTCGGCCCTGTTAACATTAGTCGAGTTGTTGCATGACGAACTTTGCTTGCCATAATTCTTAAATGCAGCCATAATTTTTATTGTCCAGTAACTTGAAATTTCTTTTGTAAAATAGAATATGCGAATAAATAGAAAATAAAAAATATTCTGTTCATGTAATGATACAGTTGGAATGAGCCGAATCACTTCATAAAAAAAAAAGTTTCTAATTTCAAAAATTTTACCTTCCATATGATGGAATAGGATTCTCCAGTCCATTTTTGTACCAAATAATGTCTTGCACATTGGATTTATTTGATGATGTTGTACACGTAACTGCCAGATTTTGGCCAGCTTCTTGGTTCAGTAAATGTTCGGATGTTGGCCAGATGTCTATTGAAATTGCTGAAAGTTATTCATCACAATCACATCAAATGCATGATTATTTTCAAAAATCCTTATCCCTCTTTTAAATATTCCAAATGAGGATTTTTTTTTAATTTTGTGATCAAAAGAATTTTCGTCCAAACAATAGACAATAAATCTTAGAAATTAGATTAGATTGAAATTGATCATTAAATTATATAGCGACATATACTAAATATATAAGTGCAATGTAATGGCAATGGTAGAATAGCTTAATATGTTGTTGCCAGATGATATGTTCCTAGCAAGGGTGAACGCGTCTATTAAAAATTCGGGCAATGCCGGCAACCCATCTGCATTTTTATCACCAAATGACTATCTGGCAAAAATTTCCGACTAACACCCAGTGGATTGAGCCTAACAATTAGTAAACGTTATTTTTGTCAAAAAATCTATACAAATATCATATATTTATCGTATTAGTTACAGATGCATTAAACTTTCCTGGTACAAACAAATCCTTTAAATGAAATGGAAAGTGAAATGATTATTTTATTATTAAATGATTTTTAAGAAATTGTAAAATCTCGTCGGATAATGCAAAATTTGTTCTCAAAAGCTCTAAGTTTACTATTGCATAAAATCTTTTCTTATTTTGTCGAGAAAAAAAGCGAATGTGGGAAAGAAACATTTGAACAAGTTTATTCACGCGATAAATGCGAAATTTTATTTTCATATCATTCGTAATTGACTGATGCAGGGATGTGAATCCTGAATAATGATTGGCAAAGTCCAGATTCCCTGCCAAAGTGTCATTACTTTGCTGTGAAAATAAAGCTGATTCGAAGAATACAAAATTTATACAAAAAGAATACAAAAATTTCAAAACTTCTACAAAAATTTTTCCAAATCACATCGATTATCATTTACCACATCTCTGGCTTCGCGAATTCTAGATCTGATGAATTATTCTTCGATTCGAATCTGAATGAAATTGAAAGCAGAGACGAAAAAACTTGCAAGTTTGTGCCACTCATTTTGTTTTGTTATTATTAGGTGAAAATAAATTAAATTAAAATAAAATAAAAAATTAAAATAAATTAATAAATTGTTAATTAATTGCCGAACTCAATATAGCATATTAGTATTTTAGTACATATCCTCAGAGAATGCTCGAAAAAGTAGGATGGTTCGATATAAATCAAGCATTATGAGCCCGATTACATCTCTTGAAAAAATTAAGTCTATATCATTAATTCAAGTGATGCATTTGTCGCATGCTTCTATCTTCAAGTGACTCTGTGACGAAAGGTTCTCATGCAGAGTATAGTTAATAGAGTCAGTCAGCCAATCTGAAAACGGTGGATGTTGTTAATGTTATGAAGAAAAGAAGGAATTCTTTCCTTTCGCTGATGCCACATTTCACATAAAGCAAAATTCAGTTATATCTATTACATTAAATAAGATAATTTTGCAGACAAAGAGAGATATAATTAAATTTTTTTCGAGGAAAAATATAAAATTTAGAGAAATTTTCGCATTCGCATATTTTTTACAAAATTCAGTAAAATATAAAAATATTTATTGATCAACGTAAAGAGAGTTAGAATAAAAAAAGTTTGGTGAAAAACTTTAGGTACAAATTATTTTTTAGCTAATTTATTCCCAGTTTTTCATTATCGTAAAATAAAAAAAATGATAAAAATGATAACATTAATTAACCTATTAATGCATTTATTCTTTTAAAGAAAATTAAATAACTTTATCCACTATAAAATTGGAAGAGGATAGAACAGCTCAATGGGTTGTTGGTCAGTTTGGAGCGCTGATGTTGAGGTTCCGATTCCCCGCAGGGCAAACCTGCACAAAAATCCAGGTGATGCTGGCGATTCACCTGTATTTCTATTGCCAAAGGACTCCCTGGCATATTTCCCAATGCGACAGACCAGTGGAGTTTAACCAGTAATGGTGTGGATCTTAAAAAAAGAAAAAAAATTACAAATAAATTAATAAAGTAAAAAAATCTTTTCCCGGAATAATTGCTTGGCTAGCGCTGACTTTTTCAGGTTCGACTAGTTCTGCTAGCTGTTAGAATAGTTAAAGTCTTGCTAAGGAATAATCTGGCAACAGAAATGTAGTGGACGACCCGAACTTCTCAATGTCGGGTCAGTGCATATCGAAGCAACCAAACTACTCAGCCATTTTCACTCTAATTTAAATAATTAACATTTTTTGAAAACATGGCTTTAAGAAACGTTAGAGGTTTAGAAAGAAAGAAACAATTTCAAAAAAATTTCGTTGAATGATTTACTTTCACAGTAATTAAATCGAATTTGTAAATTTTAAACGTAATTGCTAATACATACAATAAAGAAGATTTAATTACAAACCTTTTCGACCTTTTAATATCATTCATTAATAAATAATTACGGTTATTAAAGTGGCTTTACGGTTATTAATTATGTCATGAGAATTAGTAACAGTAATGATTAAGCATAATGAAGAAAATTCACAGCCACTTGATTTTAAGCCAATCTAATTTAATTTTATTCATTGCTAGATACTTAAAGAAATAAAAGAAAGTAAGAATGATTTACACTTGGAGAGCTTCTTGAAACCGGAGTATGTATGCGATGATTGATTTTCTCATGAAAACTCTCATTTTTTGTGGCAAAAATTTTTAAAGATTTATTCATATTATTGACAATAATGGTACCATTATTATTTATTATCACTATTATTATTTATTGTTATTATTGTTAATACCGTTATTATTATTAATATTACTATTATCATTTCGGCAATAAATATTATCTTTGCCTATTTTATCTTTTTCTATTTATTAACTAATTATTATTTATTTATTTTCTATTTCAAATTTAAAATACCGAATGATTAATCTATTAATAAAAGAGAACGATGTTCTACATAAATAAATATATATAAATACAATTAAATTTTTGATTTGACAAGAAAAAATAATAAATGAAAAAATTCCACAAAATTTCAAGAAAATTTCGAAAAAAGAGTTTTGTATATATTGCCTTTATTCTAATGAAAAATTTTGCAGATTTTCGTGTATATATTTCGTGTATATTAAATTTTGAAAATGAATTTATAATGGATTAAAAATTTCTCTACAAAATCTATTCGTTTTTTCTTTATTTAAATTAAATTTTATGAATTATATCTCAATTTCACTTCAAAATTTCACTTTCCTTTCTTCTCATTGGTTAATTAGAAATTAAATAGCAATTTTTCCAAATGGATAAAAACGATTGCGACAATTCTCATTTCTTTATGTAACTTTTTAATTACTTAGTCAGCCAATTAAACATAAAATAATTGTACAAATTTAAATTGTTTTTTCAAAACTATAAAAAATATCAAATTTCTACAATTTTGTTCATAATAATATATTTCAATAGACTCATACGTGAAGCGACAATTGAAGACGAAGCTGCAATCGCGAAAACCAAAGAAATAGAAACTAAAGGCATATTTGCATCAAATGAGTGATTTCGATGGGTATAGACGAATTTTTTTTTTTAACAAATTTCTGTTATTTTCATTAATAGTGATAATAATAACTATTATTATTATTAGCATTATTACTACTATTATTATCCTCATTATTAATTAAAATCGTTTATTTTGCCATTCGGCAAAATTTGATATTTATTTTTAAAACGATTCAATTTTATCTTTTTTAATATCATTATTACTTCAATTATAACATTTTCTATAAATTGTAAGAATAAATTAGCATTGCGAGAGAATTATTGAAGAGTGATTTAATTAATCACAAAGTAAATTTCTCATATTTACTTATTCTTAGATGAGTTGTGATTTATTCAAAGACATTCACGAACGGAGTATCATTATTACTTGTTAGTTTTCCTTCTGCAAGCTAACAACTCATATAGAGAAATGGTTAGCGCTAACCACTTTGCTTTCTCATATAGGGAAAGTGTGTATGTATAACACGGCAATTAAGCAATTGATTAGACCATTAAGAACATCCACATCCACACCACTTCATGTTAGGTCAATTAGGTTTTATTTAATATTCAAAATATGTTATATACTCGATTCTTAAGAACAATTATCGCAACTATCTACATATTGCTGGCTGAAAGATCAACTAGCAATAATTGCTCATTGGTGAGAAAATTTACAAATTTTCAATTTGAATGTTAAAAAAAAGGGGAATCGAATTGAACCGTAAAAGATAAAAAAATCGGTTGAAGCCGAAAGGAACGTAATTTCTTCTCTATTTATTCCACGCAAGACTTCGCTTTTTCTCATTTATTTTAATGGATTCATTTCTTATTTCTTTCTAAATAAATTGCAAAATTAATCATATCTAATTCAAATCTGTTTTATCATTTCTTCACTGACTGAAATTTCGTTTTTCAAAATTTTTCAAAAAATTTATTTATAATAATAATGAATCGAATGAATGTCAATAAAATTGAATTAATTATACGTAAAATGTCAAAATATAATGAAAATTAATGGAAAATTATGGAAAATAAAATTTTAATTATATTCGTATTAATGACAAAATATTATTAATATAATATATTCACTGAACAGATCGAATAAAAATCTCCATGACGTATCGAATAAAAATATCATTCAATGCATAACTAAAATTTTGATTAATATCGCATTTGAATTAAAATTAAAATGGAATTATTATTATTATAATATATTATAACATATTATAACATATATATGTATTATTATAATAAATAAATAAATATATATATAAATATAAGATTCATATATGCATGCATGCATGTTATAATCTTTCATTGACGAGGGAGAGAAATTTCTTATTTGCTATGTGTAATCGCTTAATTAAATGAATATTTTCACCGAATTTCATAAAAAAAAATTTTCATGAAAATGAGATGGGTAATTTAAAAGAATGAATAAAATATTATTGGATAAGCAAGAATTTTTTTCGTGGTATCGTCAATTAAACTTTGGAGTGATCTCGCTTTGAAAATTTATCAAAAAAATCCGATGATCATTTGTCAACGATATTCTAACCTAATTTTTGAAAAAATTTAAAAATGATTATTAATCAAAAGTGATATATATCGATATAATTAATAATTAGTAAAAATATTCTAGATATATGCAATTTTTTGGATTAAAAAATTATATTATTTATATTTGCTGAAATTATTTTGCTGGCATTTACAATTAAAAAGTTTAATTGTTTAATTTCTCTAATTATTTGTATTTGTATTGCAGTTTTATATTCACTGGAAATCCGATTGAATTTTTTAAAATTATTCATTTACATATTTAATGATTTGAAATTCTCATAAATGAAGAACTTAAAATAAATGAAAATAAATTTTAAAAGTGCAAAACATTAGTCAAAGCGTGGATGGGTGGATGAATATATGGATGAATAAATTAAAGGGTGAGTCGATTTGACTGAAACGAAGAGATATTTATTTACTACTCGTAGAAAAGCATTCGTACCATTTAATTAGTTCTCTTGCAAATTGTAAATGAATTTTTTCCCATAACTGGAAAGCTCTAAAATTTTAAATATTTTCTCTAAATATTAAATATTTAAAATATTATAATAAATATTTAAGCACTTTTATTTAAATATTAAACAGCAGAAATAAATTAATTATCGATAAGCCAAGTATTCTGATTCGGTTCTTAATTTGAAGTATTCTTATGTAAAAAACGAGAACCAAATATCACGAAAATTTAAATTCAAATAAAAAGGGAGAAGAAACGATATCTCCCTTTTTCAAAATCAAAAAGTTAAAATTGCAAAATGCAAAATAGCACACATCAATATTATCATAAAGCAGAAACAATATATGAAAATCACATGGTGTCGAGTGGAGTTCTCCAACTTCATTTGGGCCGTTGGGCAATTTCATGAAACTTCTTGAAAACTATCTATTCCCCAAATAAAATTTTTAGTTGGAAACTGATTTCCACAGGTGATAGTCACAGGCACTTCTAGTAGAACTTTGGGTTGTTATTCAAATCATTATATAAAAAATGCGAAGAAATCGAGAACATTCAACAAGCAATGATTCATAATTAATGTTCGACATTTATAATAAAATAAAATTTGTATTGGTTGCATTTATAATTTATTACTTTATTACTTTATTCGACAATTTGCTTGTTAGCTGATATTACGAAAATAAAAATTTTTTCTAAAAATTCAATATTTGTTTCAACAAAATTAAATGATTTGTGACGAATTTTTTTAAAAAAAATTTAAATTTTTTATTTATTATTTATTTATTAATATTATATAATCTTTATTTATATTTGTTTAAATAATTACTTGGGAATAAAAAATATTTTCAATTTCTAAATATTCGAAAATTTTTTCTTAAATTTTGCAGTTTCTCAAAAATAACTAAAAAATAACTAAAAACTTGAAAAAAAAAACTAAATCACCATTCTTTTAAAAATGCCATTCTAAAACATTAAAAAAATCTCTCACCTCCTTTGAGTGGTGTAGCTTATCCTCAATCTCGGGTCCTCTATCAGAGGCCTGAGAGCTTGGAGGGTTCTGCATTCTCATTCTTACGAACTTCTAGCAATGCGCGTTTTTCTCTAAGCGGTATTTGATATTATTCCTGGAATCTGTTGGGACCACTTTCCCAGTTTATGGGTCACAGCATTTAGTGCTTCTACTGTCTAGTAGACTGATTCCTCGATAATTGTCGCAGTATGTCTTACCATCTTTCTTGAGAATTGGGAGCAGAATTGCTTTGCTCCAATTAACTGGAAATATTTCTTTTTCCCATACATTTGTTGAAAATGTATTATTTGTTGAAAATGTGAAGGACGATGGACAACATTTAAAGAGTTCAGCCTGAAAACCATCTTTTCCCGGAGTCTCATTGGCCTTAAGCTTATGGATAACGTTATTTCTTCTTCTGTCAGAGGCAGTTGTAAGCATATGGTTTAGCGAATGCATCAGTTATATCAGGAGCAATAAATGGCACTTCATGGTTAAGGTTGGCCTCAAAGAATTCTTTCCATCTTATGAAGCGCTCTTAATACGGGCACGCCATTACTGTCCCTTAGCATTTCACTGATCGTTCTCGAGTAATAGTTGTTATGAAAAAGGCGGAATAGTTTCCTATTATCGCCTAATCGAGCCGCCGTCTCCATTCTCAAGGCCATGTCACTCCAATAGTGATTTCCCACGGTGCTGCTTTCGTTGGAATTCTTCGAAGCATTCACCTGCATTTGGGTCACCTGACATTTGGCAGCGTTGGCAGCTTTTTCAGACAGTTGGACAATCGCTTCCGATACTCAACTAGCTCAACTAGTTCTAATATGCCCTATCGTGGAAGTGGCAGACTTTCGGTGGCACTGTTTTAGTTTGAACCAGTATTTATTTGGCGTTCCAGAAAAATCATTGATATTTGCATCATTCAGATGCTTCAATAATTCGGTTTGAAATGCGCCCACTGCCTCCGAATTTTTAGTTTAAGATAGTTGAAGGATCTTATGGGATGCTGTTTTTTGCGAGTTGTCAATTTTGTGCGGATCTTGGCTCGAACCATAACATGCTCAGATCCATGAAGATTGCTCGTTTCAGCTCCGCGGTATGAACGACTATCTAATACGGAACTCTTTCAATGGTGACTGGCTAAGATATAATCAATATGGTTGAAGTGTTGGTTGTCCGGGGAGTTCCATGTGACTAGATGCCGGAAGCAAGTATTATTAACAGAAAGTTCACGCTCTTCGGCATAACGAAGAAGGCGTTCCCCATTGGCACACCGGTCTCCAATGCCATATTTGCCAATTGTAGAGGTCATCGCATCTGCACATTCCTACGCGAGCATTCCAGTCTCCCCCGATTATGATCATGTTTCGGTTGAGACTTTGTTAGCAGTTGAAGTTCCGTATAGAACTTATCTTTATCACGGTCATCTGCTGATAGATTGGAGCATAGACACTGATGACCGAGATTGCAGAATTTACCTTTAAAACGGTCATAGGCCATACGGTCGCTTACCGGTTCTCCACTCAATCAAAGTGGAATGGGCCTTGCCAGACATGACAAGCTACGCCATTTCAAACCGAGTTATCCGAAGCACTAGAGTGATATGTGCCAGTACCTCTGCTCTGAGCCAGGATTAATAATCACTCGAGACCCGAAATAAGGAAGATGGACCTTCGACAAGCAAGCGATATCCACACGATATTTAGAAAGGATGTGGACAGTAATCGCTTTACTCGTAATGTCCATAAGCATTCTACACTGATCCACATTCTACGTTCCACGCTGATACGGCTAATACCTCATCGCGCGTGCACACATTTTATTTAGCAGCCTTGGGATCGCTTTAAGCCCGGATTATACTAGAGTCACTTGGAGATAGAGTTACAGGTGGATCCCCAGCAACCATCTAGATTTTAGACACGAAAGGTTTACTCCTGTCGAAGACAGACATATTTTCATATACATATATATATTATTATATTATAATTTTTTTTTCTAATGGTCTAATTGTATTGTTTTATATAAATCGAAATTCAATGAACAAATAAAATCCAACGAGTTCAAATGCAAAATGAAACTACTAATAGAAAAGCTCAAATAATGGATTTTTTCTTAAAACCTAAAACTCCGAAAAACTAAAGAATTTTTCATTCAACAAGAGTTTATACAAAGCTTTTTATTGAAGAAAATATGCAAAGCATTCGAAAAAAATAAATTTTCAAAAGATTTTGTCAACAAAAATTAGATTTTAAATAAATATATTGATTTTTCTACAATAAAAAAAGACAAATAAAAAGTAAAAAAATAAAAAATAAATTTAATTTTTGAAAAGACAAAATATTATGCAGAAGAAAATTCCTTAATATGAAAAAAATCTTATTTCTCATTAAGAAATTTACCTAAAATTTTCTTCAAAATCTAAATAAAATTTTATAAAATTTATAAAATATATTTGAGCATTGGTTGATTCTTTAGTTAATTTTTCTCGTTCTTCGCATTCATAATTTTTAATTTAATTGCCATTAGAGCGAACTTTAGAAGACTTTTCGAAGTCAAAGAAATTGACAATTGTATAAAATTCTCTTGACAAATGTGCAACAGCACTAGAATTCCAAAACTTCTTTTCGGACTTTTCCGACTTCCTTATCAGTGAAAAATTAATCGGCAAAACCGGTTTTCATCAGGCATTATTATTGATAATATTAAAAAAATACCTTCAATTTTATCAATGAATATCGATGATAGCAGTAAAAAATATAAAGATAATAATAAATCCATTATAATCGATGAAGAGATGAATTTTTTCGTGATTTTGAATAGAAAAAAATAGGGCTGACAATCAAATAAAAAATTAAGGGTCAATAATGATCAAGAAATGACCCCTTATCAGTATTCTTATCACTTTAACAACAAATATTCTATAATAAAGAGGAACCAAACAATACAATCAGTTGAAGGAAGATAAATCGAAGATCTCTGCACGTTATTCCTCTATAAAATGCTTTTTCCTCAAAATTACATTCTCTTCGATTCTTTTCCTCGTTCACATAAATTGGTTGGTTGGTGCATTGGGTGTGTATTTGTTGTTATGTGTTGCTGATCGTCGTTCGTCCACTGCTCCGCCTTTAAAGGCAAAATTGTCAATATGCTTCAATTGTTTGCAATATTTACTAGTTGAAGTATAAAGAAGGTGGATGAGGAGTTCTTTTCCGGTCATTTCTAAAGATTGGCAGATGGTCGGTCATCTTGTGGGTCACCAATTTGTTGACCTATTCGAGCGATATTAATTGTTTAAGCCGATAATAATTATTATGTTCATGGAAAATTACAGGTTTTATTCTAAAATATATTTTAATAGCCAAAAACGTTATATTGACATATTTCCGTTAGTGCTATTTAATTGTAAAATTGTTTAAAACATTTTTTCGCTAATAACCAATAATTGTCGAAATAATTAAACTTTGCTGCAGATCACTTTGATCATTTAAAATTCATACATTTCCATGGAGAAATACTTCTACTTTTCTCACAAGCGAAGAGCTCCATCCTAATAATTAGTGGAAAAAGCCTAGTGGTGCCACTATTTGCTTTTCGATTTTTCATAATTTGCGAGACTTGTAATAAAATATGCTTGAAAGGTCAATTATAATAAAAGGGCATGACTGATGGTTTCGATTGATGGCTGCATGCCATTATGACCGTCGGTCAATCCACAATCACCTAAGGGTGATCAATAATATTTTCATAAACATGGTCATCCATATTTAGACGTTCAGCTATATTAAATAATCGTCAAAGAAGTATCTAAAAAAAAATATCAAGAAAAATACATCAGTTAAATAAAAATAAAAATAAAAGGGAGGAAATGATACGAAAAACTACGTAAATAAATTAATATTCACCAGGAAGAATTTAAATTTTTCCGCGAAATTTTTCTTGAGAAATTTGACGACCTTATCGACGATTTTCTATAAACGCAGTACTCATTCAGATGTGTTTCTTCATATTCAATTATTTCTTAAAATGTAATTGGGAATAATGTTCGAATCTATTGTTTTGAATCAGTTAACATCAACTTTTCACCGTTGAATAAATGAGAGAAAAATTGGAGTTGCAATGAAGCAGCTCGTTTTCCAGTAAACAACCAATTTTTATAAGCAGTAGCCGAGCGAATTTGGCCAGTAACAGTACCAACTGGGAGCAGTTGTTATATAGGCTAATAAAACAAAAAAATTATATTTTTTCCAATAAATCTTAAAAAATAAAGTCGTACATACATAAAGTCATATCATTCAGATTCAGACTAATATTATATTCACAATGAAAGCTATCTAGTATAAAATTCATTTAAGACTACGTTAATGAAAATGGTACACACTTGAAGTAGTAGTGGTCAAAAGCTTTTTAATGTCTTGCATTCCCCACTGGCCATCTTTCCAGTCAATAATAATTGTCTTAAAAATCCTGCTGCTTGAAAAATGCAAAATTTTGACTTTTGCAACGAAGGCTGTGTCAGAATCGAAAAAGCATTTCTGGCTGTAGTTCTTTGAACTCGGATTTCCGTTGCGTGATCCTTAAAGTATAAAATGTAACAGCGGAAGAGTGAATCGGTGTACGAGTGAATCCAAAATTTACAACTGGCACTCCAACCGTTGATGCATTTATTTTCCTTCAGATATACGGGAATACGGAAAAATTCCGTCTTATTTACATTAAACTGGAGAAAAAAATTAATTTGAAGCTTGATTTTCGTTGCTTTTACCGATATAAGCGTATTAATTCTTCAAATTGACAAAAAAAAAACGTACGAGCGCAACGAAGATGCATGCCGCAGGACGGCGGAAGCAAAAAGCAAAAGCTACTTTGGTGTCAACTCGCTTCCATACGTGGTGTGCCCTGGACTGATGTTATCACTACCTAGCATGTCATCAAACGATATCGGTATTATCGCATAGTTGAATATTGCAAGCGGAAATATTTATATTCCTGGAGATCCACCTATACTTCCCATCTCCTATCAATCTCTTGCGAAACGGCCTTGCGCTAGTAGTCAGTGGATGCTATTAGAAGAAAAAAGACCTTGCTCAGATTCACATGTCGATCGACGGATTGAAAATTTTTACTGTTAAAATTATTTCATAGCCAAAACCGAAAATGTCTATTTGTGTGCACCAGTTCCTATTAATGGCCTGCAAAAATACGTATAAAACACGTACCTCTTCGCTTAAGACCTGGAGGTAAAAATATATTACGTGCTGGCTAGCACGACTAATTTCTTAAAAATCCTTATCCTCTCTATTTCTCAGACTAATTCATCTCATACAAATCAGTTAACAACAACGACCTTGCCGTAAAAAGTGACCTTGTCCATTCTCCCACCTCGTTTTATTTTATATTTTAATAATTGGCAGAATTCAACTTTTTTCGGAATTATCTCTTTTAAGTTAATGAAGGTAATTACTGACTGTCATCTCGCAGTTCAATTAATATTGTCGCAGAGAAAGCACCGACCAATAATAATTAGTTTTTATTATTTTTTAGCACTTTCAGCAATGTGCAAGTATAATTTTAATTAAATTTATATGAGTCAAAAAAGATACAGTAATTTTAGAAAATAAACAGTAAATGAAACAATAAGAAAAGCAAATCTCATAAGCAAAATAAAACTGAACTGAATAATAAATTACAAAAATTTTGAAGAGTTTAAGTATTCGTGGTGCTTTCTGATATAACAACAGCCATTGTTTCTGTTTTTATTGCCACCATTCACTAATACAAATGCAACACGTTCACTAGATAATCTGGCGTTTTCAGCAACACCAGCTTTTAATAACATTTCCTACAACTACTCGCCCTCGCCTTTGGCCGAAGCAATGTATGGCTCGACCACCGTGAATTACGAAAGTATCTTCTGTGAAATCCTACATCTTATGGATCTGAAAATGAATAGCCAATAAGCCACAATCCCCATAAACGCCCCTATTGGTCCTGCAAAAACACCACCAAGTGCAGCGCCTCCAGCAGCGACTCTTACTTGCCGGGAAACCCTCGAGCAACTGCTCGCATATCTTTTGACTCATTCAAAATTCGATTCACATAAACCACTGAGACCATTTTTGCCATGATTTTTGCCAAATTTTTTCATTTGTAAATCCAAACATTTCTTTTTCCTGAAATTTTTCTTTCCAAGTAAAGAAATAAGCGAATGATATTTAAGAAAAGAGGCATTAAAGTAAGTTTTTTTTTTAAATGATAAATTCACGAATTTATTTGGTTTCACCGTTATTTTTATTTTAGCCAAAATGAGAAAATAATTTATTATAAGAACCAAACTTCGAAAAATAGTTGAAATAAATTGTTAAACTCGATTAAACAATGAAAAAGCACGAACAACAGTACGAGCCGAAGCTAAGCGAAACTCGGCCATATTTAGTGCAAAAATGTAAAAGCCTTCCAAAATTTAACAACATCGAAAAGCACCTCTTCCTTTCCTCCCTCTTCCTTTCCACTGCCATCCGAAATCCTCGCCCGCTAGCAGTCACGAAGATGAATAACGGTTGCGGCCAAGGAAGCCAAGCAAGGGAAATCGGAAGGCATTAAAGGAGAATAATAAGGAGAATACGAGCTTTTGGCAGAAATCATACAACGAGCACAGTGAGTTTTCTAGTTTAGTCAGCCGAATTTTATTAAGGACGGTGAGAATTACTAAAGTTGCTTCGTCCGTTCCTCTTCATCAAGAACTTATCACATAAAAAATACCCCCCGACAGCAAGCTTATGCACAGTCTAAAGAAACCAATGATTTCCGTAGGCTTGAAGATAATGTTAGCCGATCGCACAATGCACGACTTTTAGTTGTATGGTTTAGTCGAATGGCTATGGTTTAAATTGCCGCTTTTTTACCATCTGGCATAATGCCAACTCCGTATTTTCTTAGTATTTTCGTTCATTAATGGCTTTTTTATGGGTTTGTGGTTCGTTTTTGGTGTTTCGCTAATTTGGCGATTGGAAGTTTGCAAAAGCGAAGTTCATCATTTCGAATTAAAGTTCTGTATTTATGGACTTTTAATATTGTTGAATTTTTCAGTTCGGCGATTGGAATAAAAGTTGTGATATGAGCGATTCGATCGTCGTCGAAGATTGCAGAGACATTAATCGGGGCGCAGTGCTCGATGAAATTCCTGACAGTTTGAAAAAGTACTCCTTTGCTCTTCCGCGATTTTCGACAAGGCGTGTCTCTTTCCTTAGTGGTTGTTTCGCTTGCGGGCACAGGCTCAGTGGAGAAAAGGCAGCTGCGCGGCGAGTCGATTCGCTCGAAAGTAGTCATTAGCAGTGAGAGAGACAGAGCGGAGTGGGAAGTGAGTAAGTAAGTGAAGGGTGAGCACTCACCATCTTCGGTTGGGCTAGTTTGGTTGGTTGGCAGGACTGGGAATTTTAAGTCGGTCGGTTACTTGAGGACCGTCAGGTGCAGGTGGATCGTCGGCAGTGTCCGGGCCTTCAATGATGGGCTTATCCCAGCTGGAATGAGGAGCGAAACCACTTGGTGTGGTCCACTTGGTATAGTTTTAGAAACGCTCAACGCTCAACAGTTGTGTTGTGTCGTATATTTTTGTCATAATGAAATTTCTTCTTGATAAAATTTCATTTTATTGCTATCTACAAAATATAAATTCAGAACTGTTGATAATGAATCGAGTAATTTTATTTAATTTATATAAACAATTGAGGTTTGAGGTTTTCTTATAGATTCACACTTTGCATTGCTAAAGCATTTTATGGGCGTGAACATTATGTGATATTGGATTATATACAGAAAAATATTTGTATAAAGGAAGACGATCTTAGGCAACTGCTTAAATTAGATCAGAGATTTCTTCGTACGGTAAATTTTTTATTTTTTAATATGTTCACCAAAAGTTCGCAGGAAATATTTTAATGTTTTATAACAGTTTTTTCAACTAAAACTGAAAATCAGTAATTTTTTGTTTTTAAATTCTGTTTTCCTGAATTCATCATTTCTTTTAAAATGATAGATTAAAGATTTCGACAGTAATATCCTTCGTTTAGATTTTGCTGCAGCTTAAAGTGGATAAAATTTTAAAAGAAAAACTTATTTGCGAAGAATCAGATCCTCGTCCTCGCAGGACCATTTATTACTATATAAATTATCCTGCAATGATTAATGTTGTGAAATATAAAGTTGATCATATGAGGTTGGAAGTTTATATTTGATATATAAATGTACCACTGATTTTTTCAGATTATTTAATTTTTTTCTAAAATTCTTTTAATTAAATGCTTTTACATTTCTATCAGTTTTTAGTGCCAATTGTTATTTTATAGACAGCGACTGGAAGTAAAAGACAAGGATTCTGTGCTAAAGGCTACTTATAAGTGTTTAGGATGCTCTCATAATTATGATGCAATGGATATGGATAAAATTTTCGATCCAGTCACTGAAGAATTGCGATGTTGGAAATGTAGAGAAGTTGTTGAGCCAGATGAAACTTCAGGACCGACTGATGAAACTCGGTTAGTTAATTTGTTTGGGTTCTTAGTGATTATAAGATATTTTTTATTCTTTTTTCATTGTCGAAATTTTTCGTTTTTGTTTTTGATTTGTGCGTAGTGAATTTTTAGAGAAAAATATATTTCGTATGATCTACCGTTGTCATCTTTAAGGTCCTCACTTGCACGTTTCAACGATCAAATGACATCTCTTTTTTTGATACTGCAAAGTGTGGACGGAATTCGCCTTGCCCGGCATTTATTAGAGCCATCGATCAAATGTGCCGAAAGTATCCAGCCTAAGAGTAAGAATTTGAAATAAATGTCTAAATATCTTTTTCGGTTTTGTAATGTAAATTTTATAATATATTTCAGCTTAATCGTTTTTTTGTTTTTCCAATTAACCATATATATGTATCGTTTCAATTTAGCAGAGGAACCTAAAGTTTTACAAGTCGGCGAACAATCTTTTGGTAATACTTTGACAAATCGATCGTCAATATATCAAAATGGTATAACGATTAGCATTGAAGGCGAAACATCCATGCAAAAAGTGGATGAGAAGAAGGCTGTTCCTTGGCTTCAAAATCAGGTTTGAAATTTAAAATTTCTGCGTTGCATTTTTTGAATATTTTAAATTTTGACCATTTCTACTTTATTAATCTATAAATGTCTATTATTATAAGATGGAAGATTTGCACAGCGATCCTATCGATAAGCCTGCTGAAACTAATGGATCAAGCGAAATAGCACCTATTAAAATTGAAATTGAAAATCTTTTGAAAGAAGAATTCATCGAGGTAAATTTTCTTGCTTAAGTCGTTTATATCTGCAGTTTTGTGATTTCGAAGACATATAAATTGCTAAACATTTCATATCGCTTTCTTAGTTAAATTTTAGGCCATATGCTATTTTATTTTCTATAAGGTCTATTAAATCTGATTATCAGAATAGGATTCCTGGATCATTTTTAGGAAGAAGTTGAAGGACCTGCAGTAAAAAGAGCAAGGGTTACTGATGAACCAGAATACTGTGACGATGATGAAGAAACCGTGATAATTGGTGGAAAAAAGTTCTATATTGATGAAATAACACCAGAGCTGGTTAGTCAAATGACGCCTGCTGAAAAAGAAGCATATATAAGGATAACGCAGGAGGGATTTGATTTTTAATTTTAATTTTTTAATTTTTTTCACCCAAATCTTCACCGATTGGTTGATGAACATATATATATATATAATTTTGATATTGATGAACATATATATAATTTGCCTTTGTCTACGTTCTAAAAGTTAATGACAGCAGTCTCATTTTATATATGTAAACTAAGAAAGAAAGAATAAATTAAACTTTAAATTAAGCTTTACAAGCTTATATTGAAATACATTTGTTTGCTTTGTAATTTACGCCTTCCTTGTAAAAAAAGGTTATTTTTTTTCTTTTTTCTTGCCATTTTGAAGGATCTTTGGAGACGTTGTTAACGTTTCGTTTAATTTCATATCATATAATTTATTTAATCATCATCAAAGAGCATTAATCGCGGAATTTTTCATAAATGCGTTGTTGTGATTAACATTGATTCATTTGGTACTGATTTCTTCAAATAAATAAACAATTCAATAATGAAAAATAGTTCTACAATATAACCATTATATAAGAAGTTAAATAATTTGTTTACAATTTTAAAAAATTGGCGCATATGATCTGCTTGATTTAAAAAGTATTAGATATTCATCTGAAAATTCTGAAGTCATATGTTGTAGTTCGAGCTAACGTTGACATAAAATTGACACTCGCAATAAACAACGTCTCCAAAGATCCTTCAACTTTCTCAAACTAAAATACTTGGGAACAATAAGCGCATAGTATTGAAACTCAATGATATCAACGATGTACGAACTATATATGTCTCCGAAAGTCGGCCAAATCTAGGTTAGGATATGCCACTCGGAAATGGGTTAGTTGTATATCGGAAGCAACTATCCAACTGTCCGAAAAGGCTGCCAAAGCACCAGAAGATCTTGTCTTGAAGGCATGGAAAAGCAGTGGCATGACGAAATAGAAACTATTATTAGAGTAATGTGGTCCTGAATATGGAAACAGATGCTCGAGTAGGAACTAAAAGGGAACTGTTGCGTCTTCTTTAATAAAGCAACCCTGGAAACGCACAACGATATAATAGCAAGGCCATCTTGTGTAACAGAAGAAATTCTTTGGGACTAAAATTTTTTTTGGGACTAATTAAAGTCCTTCAAATGTCCCCAGAAATGTCTTAAATGCTTGAATCTATGTTTACAAGTGCCAGCGGTCAATAGAGATAATTTCTATCATTCAAAAGCTTAAAGCCAATGGAGAGAATGCGACCTTCGGGCTAAAATCATCAACTCTTTGTTTTTATTACGAAAGAAAGGAATAATCCAATGACTGGAGGAAAATATTTCTGCTCTCAAATCCCAAGAAGGGTGACAAGAAATACTGTGAAAATTATCGAAGAATTAATTTATTCTCAGGGAAAATTTTCGTATCCCTTGATTTGAGCTTATATCAGTACAAGAGGATATGCCTTAATTAAGCTGACCAGGGAGCAAATGTGCTTACCAAATTTACCTAAGGCGAGCTTCAAAAGACCAGCTATATATCAACATGTTTATATCGGTCAAAGTATGTTTTTTGCTCTGAATGCACATTAGGCTTGTATTCTTGCTCTAATAATATTTAGCTATAGATTGGGTTATGCACATCGATTGCAGGCGTTCGAGAGATGCGTAGGTTAATCCAGAGCATTGTATCATAGGCATATCACAGGTCTTGAGTGTATTGATTGGCCTATCCATAAATGCAGTAAAAAAAAAGGTTCAGATCTTTGTTTTCACCTTATTTACCTTATTTACTAGACGCTAACGAAGTACATATTCTTATCATTTGATGAGGAAGTGATAGACTCCAAATAAGGTATATCTTTGAACCACTCTCATACCAAACGGTCAAGTGAAAGAACGAATTTGGAAACCGCAGCTTCACATCTGTTTGGTTTTCATCTTGAGTCATCTTCTTTTTTTTACAGCTGCGAATCATGAGCAATGGAAGTGGAAGACTTAAAAAGTTATCTGTCTTTGATCTGTCTTTATATCTAAAACACATTTTACGCGCTTGCCCAGCGGATAAATTCTCATATGAGCATCTTCCACCTTCGTTCAAATATCATATGCATTGATATAATATCGTCCTATAATACCTGTGCTGGTTGGATCATGTTTTTCTCCTCCCATCATAGGAATTGACTTTCCTACATTACTACAGAAGGCGTCAAAAGAACCAAAATCTGGGCTGATACAGTCAGAAGAGATTTTGAGCACATGGCTGACCCATTGATATATTCACTTAAGTGGTGAAAAAGGAGTAGATTCTCTTTTACTCTTAGGTATAACATCGAAACCATCGAAACGAACATCTTACTTTTGTAGAGAGCCAGTTTAATCAATAATGGTGCGAGTTGTCGGCTATCAGCTTTGATAGAAAGTTTTGACTGGTCACAGTACCATGAAGAGGAAAAAAATAATATTTTCTATCATTTTGGAAATTGCATTTATATATATATATATATATTGTATAAATATTTTCATTAAAAAAAATGGATCATATAAATAATTCATTTCACGCAAATATAGAAAGCTTATGAAATTTATGAAAATTCTTCCATAATTATTGTTTATCGAAAATTTCCCATTAATTTTCGTTGATTTCCTGATTTCTATTTAAGCGATTGCAATTAAGATGATGAAATTCCCATAACACGCAAATATACATTTGAAATTCTCTGAAAAAAATGTTAGAATAAGAAGGCTTTCAAGTGAATTATTTTAGGGCGTGGTTCTTCGAATTTTTCCAGAGATATTGCAAGGATTTTATTTATTTCACGACAAACACTTAAGGTGATGGTGTTGACGGTAAGGACTGTGGTTATCCTAACTGCATTCTATTTGAAAATCTGTCATTCCTATGCTGTTTCTGCACAGTCCATTAAATCTGATCAACGAGAGATACTGGATAGAACTGAATTGGAGGTTAATTTTCGTAATATTTGTTCATACAGAATTTTTTGAAAACTTTTGTTTCCTAAGCTTCAAAAATTCAGCACAAAAATTTAAAATTTTGTGGGACTGAAAGTTAATTTAATTTAATTTAAAAAATAAAAGATTATTATGGCTTTTTTCCCTTTTTTAAGTGCGTTCACTGTTTGTGCTTAAGCTCGCTGGTTTATCACACAAAACAAGTTTTGCTAGGGAGTCATTTGGCCATATGAGATGACTCGGCTTTTTGAAAGGAAGGCTTATTCCTGCCATAGAATTCCAGTATTCTGATATTGGAAAATGCGAACCAATTATTTTGAATATATAAAAATAATATATTATTATTTTATATACTTGTATTTCATATATATATATATATATACTTGTATTTTATTTTATATTTAAATTTTTGTTATATTTTATATATTTAAATATTTTATACTTTATGTTTATACACAAAAATATTTTTTTGGTATTCAACTTTGTAATTTTTTGACGGAAATCTCGAAACGCATCCTTTCGCTAAATTGGCTAAATTATTAAAATTTAGTATAAAATAGAACTATTGTAAGAAAACAAAATGACCTAATTAACACATACCAATTAAGAAAATTATCTTAAGTTAATTATACTTTGCATTCGATAATTTTTCGAATATTTTAGAACCCTTTTACGAAGGCCAACTATGTTTTACTGCAGATGAACCCAGGTAAAATTTTTATTATTCATTTCATTAGATTTGCGCTACACATTTTATATATTTTATAAATTTATAAAAAGAATAAGGACGATTTTTAATGAAATGTAGAAATATTGAAATGGAAATTTCTTGCCCAGTATAAACCTAAACTTAACCAAGGTTTTTAAAGAATATTTTTGAAAAAATATCAAAATTGTTTATTTATATTAATTTTTCTAAAATGCGACACAATTTCCGCTAAATTTCCTCGTTTATATAAAATGAAAAATTTTTTATTACGAAAATTTTAATTAATGGGGAAAAAAATTATTACTAGCTGCTATTATCTCGTTAATTTAAATTCATAGATAATTTCATAGTTACAAAAGATGATTCCTAAGAAATTTGATTTTACTGTCTAAGATTTAAAAAAAAAATCAAACATTTTTCGAAATTCAATCGTATTTTTGACCTTTAAAGCAAATATTAATACGAATTTAGTTTTGTAGTTTTGTTAAATGTTCATTCATTGGAAATTGTTTGGTTTATATTTAAATAGCTTAAAATACTTAT